GCAAATAAAATGATAAATATTATGTTTTTGCAAAGCATTTGTAAACTTACACTAAAGAGAATACTTCGGGTATCGTAATAGCTGCTTCTGACAGCAGGCCATATATAAACAATCTTTCAGATTCATTGTCTGCCGAGTTTAGCATTGTTGCCAACAATGATATCAAGAGCAAAGCCGTTGTCTCATCAGGAATATCGAACTTATCAAATATACCAGCATATATCCTCCCGTTGGTATTGTATAAATCTGTATCTGTCAACCCCGCTAATTTTAAAAGATCCTTCACAGCCTCGGTTTTTGCTGAGAAAGGTAGTAATCCAGTAACATAACCCAAAGTAGATGTTTCAATAATATTATCTTCATACAGAATACCATCCCGTAAGCATTGTTTGCGCTCAATTTCCAAAAAGGTACACAGTCCTTGATATATAGCATCCTTGACATCATTATACCTTAGTCCCTTCATAAATATGCCAGCAATAGCAAATGAGAAATGTGTCTCAAAGTTTACACCGCATAATTTATCCAACTCTCGAGCAACGTCTGCTATAGGTGCACGGGCATCTAGGAGTACATCAACCATAGTGTATCCCGAGAAAAAGCCTCCTGAATCTAAAGCGCGAAGAACAGCCTGAATTAATTCTACCGCCATGGCAAAGGTTGGTCCCGTGTTGATTTCAACAAGGGCTACGGCTACCCAGAATAATTGAAGCAAGTAACGCGAATTCCCAGGTAGACTCTCGACAACATTTTTGAGGCACATCATTATACTAGTCACGAGACTTGTGTCTGTGTCATTGAATATTGCCAGTGCACCACGTAAGGCAACCAGGATTTGATATAGCAAATCATCGTCGATTTCTTCCTTACCCAGATATCCCAATGCTACAAATGCACGTGGCTGAACAGCAGGATTAAATTGAAATGACGTACTTGCGACCAAGCTCATCCATCTTGCTCTCCAAAAATTTGCGATATCTAAACTGTCGTCATTAATTTATCAAGCAATATAATAGCTGCTAACTTTATTTTTACCTGTGTTTGGGGCGGCGTAAATAATGACTTCAGATAGCTTGGCAACAATTGCTTCTAACGAAAGAAGAGAAATAGGTTCTATCGTATCACTCAAATTTTCTGAGGTAATTGTAAAAGCATTGGCATTTGATCTATTTAAACCGAACAATAAACGGCATTTAGATTCAGACAATTCAGTCAATAAGAGCTGAAGTTTCTGAACATTGGCAGACGGTAAGGGCATCGATGTACAGAGAGATTGAATCATATTGACAACAATACCGTGTACAGAAGCGCGAACAACTGTGGACCCGACACCTGCTACCAAAGTGATGACATGAAAAATCTCGGGTATTAATCGTTTGACGGGACCTCGGTTATTGAAAGAAAGCATTAGGATAAACCGCAGAAGAATCCCAATCTCTGGCCAAGACGCGTGTTCAGTAAGAGATCTTGTAGGCTTAAAAGATGTTCGGTGAATAACTTTCCTCAAATGTGAAATGAGTTTTGCCCGAACAGCAACGTTAGAAAGTGTGACCAGAGTATCTGCCATCGATTCCGCATGGGCTGATCCAACGCCGTGTTCGTTTGCAAATTGGATAAACGTTTCTAAAACTAGATTAAGAATATCATCTACTTCAGCAATTTTCTTCCAAATTTTAGCTTGAATAAGTTTGCACATCTATTGTGAAAAATCTTAGCATTTCAATAGTTCATCTTATAATAAAAACATATCCTTACATCTCCAGGTAGCGTCAGGTCAATCAATGAACGTAACAGATCTTTGAGTCTAATCTGATCTTCGGCAGACCTACCGTAATACAGAGCGAGATTCGGAAGCCATGGTATCATGTATAATAAACACAGATATCTAAGACCTTGTTCTGATTTTCCGTATCCCATGATACATTCATTTAGAAACTCAATTGTAAGCGAAGGTTCTGTAATTGCAATTTTTTCGCTAATACTAACGATGAATTCTGTACTATTTGCAGGAAGACATAAATCTGTCAAAATATATCAGCTTTAGGAGTATTACAAATAATATATTTTAAGTTACCCTTAGCCCCTAAAAGTTGTTTCCCGACGTCAAAATTGAACTCCCTACTAAGAGCATAAAGTAGATTGTATGATGCTAGGCGGAGATTTGGATCATCACTGCCTAAATTGAGTAATGCCATATTCAGTAATCTTCCGGGAACATCACTTGGTCTAATAGTCCTCTCTGTAATATTAGTAGGTCGAGACATGTCATAACGGCGTTTACTGTGGCGAATAGTCTATGACATATAATCAATATTTGCACAAAAACATTTGGGTACTAAACTTACATGAACAATGGCATCTCTTTTTGGCGAATTGAAGGATATGATTGTATTGTCTCGAATATTTTTAAAACTAAATACGTATGACTGATCCTGTCCCTTTTCGTGCTGTGCAACAGAAATGTCCTCGATTTCAGAAATATGATATGTGTCATTTGTAACTGCATTGAGACCATATACTATTTCCTGCTTCCTGACTGTCATTACTTGAATATGCTCCGCGCTGACCTTGATTGTAACAGGGGTCTGCGTTGCATACTTCAAAACTCTGTTTACTGGGAAGAAAACTGCACTAGGTTCTGTCTCTAATCCAACTTTACAAAGCAGTTAGCCATCATACAACCATAGTCAATCTGGAGAAACTTACTCGTGCTTTTAGGGAGCCTTACTTCAGATGGCAGAATATGTTCATATATTTCTGCTAATGTGGCAGCAAATGTTATACGTTTTGTGAATTTGCTTGAAAGGGGTATTGCCAACTTCTTAATAAACGATTTGAGACATGAATTTGGATTATAGATGTAATAAGCAGTAATTTTGTCGGATTTCTCGTCACTGAAAAGCTGCATTAATTGATGTACCCATTGTGCCGGCACTTCACTGGCTTTCGAAAACCATGTGATATCAATCAAGATTTCGAAAGAACGTCCTCCTGTTCGTTCCAAAGTCTAACATGGCTGATTAGTAAACAAAGTGATAGCACATTATTAGCATAATTACATGAAGGATATGGTAGATTAATAATTCGAAATCAATACTGTCGGCATTGATATGCCGCATAATTAAGTAAAACACAGCGTGATTTGATTTGGAAACACCTCCTTCATAGAAAATATTTTTAGAGATAATTGATTCAACACTGCGATCGCTATTACGACGCATGAAATCAGCGTACAATTGATTCGAAGCAGCATGCACATATTTTCTTGATGGCACAGATTCTTTGGGCGGCAGTTCTGGTGGTCTTCCAAGTTGTGCTAAAATATTTGCAAATTTATCAAAATTACGTTTCCATTGTGTCATGTCATTTGGGTCACTGAATCGGCGTAAATGTCTTGAAGATACATCACGAGAAATACGTTCCATATTTTCACATAGCACTCGATGTAACGTTGCATAAAACTTGTCATTTATCTCATATACTTCGTTGATTTCCTCTGACTCCGAATCTTCCGGCACCTTAGAAACTTCACGCAAAAAGCTTGCTACTTTATAAATGTTACTTGTAAGAAAATCGTTTAAAACAATCATATAGGTTTCTTTTGCACCAAACAGGACATTGTTTGCAAGATTTTGGATCACCTTGGTAGCAATGAGGAATCCCCGACGCATTTCACGAGAGATCGATGCCGTATTCTTCACTAAACCTTCTGTTTCAGGGGATACAATAGCAGGGCAAAAAAAGCGCAAAAATATGAATGACCCTACAGCTGTATATTTTGCTTCCGGAAATTTCTCTCGTACAGCAGTCAATATAAAGTTACATATTTTGCGGAACGATATGGGTGTATCGTTCAGTGAATCGCAAATTGCATTTAAAAACATCTCTGTTGCCTCAACAACGTTTTTTCGGTTTTTGTTGACATCTTCGTCTGGCCCAATCTTTGAAGGATCAAGTTCGAAACACCGGTCTTCACGCGGACGTTCTGAAAGTTTTTGAAATACTGGTAGTAGCACAGATCGAACATACTCAGCGCCGTTGTTTTTGGCATAAACCGAAAGTAATCGAGTGGCTATACTAGTTTTTCTGAATAAATCAGTTTCATTGTCTATTAAAAAAATCTATTAGATATATGCATCGTTTTATGACTTTCTGACTTGCTTTTACCTGTGTTTTCGACTTCTTTTTCTATAACAGCTTTAAGTAAAACCATTGATTTATGCCGCGATGCAAAGCAGGCTAATAGCACATTGGAGACATCATCAATAGCAGTGGAAGGACACATTTCACAAAATGTTAAAGCTAACTTCGAATCGGATTGTACCAGCATCTGAATAGTCAAAAATTGATATATACATATTAATATATCTGTCCTTTGGTATCTGTCAATTACTTACATCAATTAGTTTAACATATCTGTCCGTCATTCCGGTTTCCGCTAAAGTCTCAAATTCTGTTCCTTGATTCAATATATTTGTCAAGACTTCCATAAATGCAGACCTAGTAGGAGTATCATCATGGTATCCCATGGAGAAGGAGTACTTTAGACCGGCATCTACGTTTGCGCTAAGCAAATTAGATAGAGCTAAAATAGTGTAGTTTTTCAAAGGGGCCAGCTCTGATCCCTAAAAGAACTTGTCAAGAAAATGTACATATACATAGTATTCTACTTACATGTCTGAAGTGTGAATCATATCCACGAATTTGTGATTTTGAATCGCTCTAATTAAATCAGTTAGTAAAATATTTAGTTACATTTTTTGTATACATACCTCTGATATACGACATCTATTAAGTAATTTGAAAAAGTATGTGAAGTACTTGTAAAATATTCTACTTTTAACCAAAAGGGCGTCGGACTCATGAACAGGTTCTAATGGTTGTAACGGTAACTGATGAAGCAATGCCACAATCGTTTTCAAGCATGCCAAGTCCAAATCGGTTTGAAGTTTTTCTAATTGAGCGGCCTCAAAACCAGATGACTGACTTGCGTTATCTGGTACCTAAAACGATATTAATAATAATATAAATAATACTCGTTCTAGATCTTACCAAAGCAAAATCACTTGTCCACTCCACGATTATCTCCAAAAGTCTGTTTCTAAGCTTGAATTCTTGCCTTAATGTGATACTGTCTTTCTTATTCATCAAGACTTCCACCAGCTGACACATTTTTATTTTCACCTTTATTGAGACTTGATCTGTACCAAGTTTATTTAAATAAAGAGCATACTGATTGATTAATGTGCTAAAGTCAACTGTGAATAGGTTTTCTGCTTTGTCCAGTCTATCTAGCACTTGTTTAAGAACGGAAATAGCTTGTTCCACAAACAATGTATAACGAGGACCACATATCGGATCGTTGTTGTCGGGACCAAAACATCTGGAAACTGTCAATTCAAGATGCCGGAACAATATATGATATAAAGCAGGAGAGAGATCATTGCCTAAAATCTCCCTAACCCATTCTCTTACAATCATATTATCACAAGCCATTAAATCAACCATATCTACTATAAACGTATCTACCATCTCTGCCGATTCAATAGGTGCTGAAATATGTTTTTTGCTGTTGTTTTCATTCAAACGCGGCTTGTCAAACGCTGGACTATCCGTCATTAAACACACGCCTCCTAAAGCGGCAAGAAACCCAGCGTAATTTTGCCATTCAGAGCATCTTTCTTCATCAAGTGAATCCACACGAGTAGATGAAGAGCTTGGTGTAACTAAATGTCTTGAAGATCCACTACGAAGTTTATCGTGCCATGTATTTCCTGCTCCCTTGCGACTGAAATCAATAGACCAATCATCTTTACTATCTTCGGAATTGCGAGTAATCAATGGTGTCATAAACTTCCATCGCTTCCAAGCTTCCTCCCAAGCTGCTAGCATTCCTGGTGAGCTGTGATTTATTGTCCTTAAAAGACGACGAATTCGACGTTGCTGTGATTTACGACCTGTCACTACACCGCGGTGGTTAGTCAATTCGATGTAGCACACCATGTTTTCTAAAATTGTAGTCGATGAAGCTTGTGGGTCGTCTAATCTCTCTGTCAAATGGACTTCAGTACAGAGCAACCTAAAGCAATCGATCGAAAGCGTACAGATATTAATATCTGCGGAGCATAAAGATACCAGGAGAGCTACTTCCAATCCAATAGAGCATTGTAATCTTTCTCTAGTATCAATGCCGTATGTTGCAACTTCTCGATGTTGCTCCAAAAATTGGTTCCTGGACGAGAGTAATCTCTTTAATAGATCCAACAATTTTCGTAGCGATTGATCTTTTTCTCGGCTATCTAATAGCTGCTTTGCCAAAGTAAAAAGGACTTGTGATGAAATCTTCCAAAAAGATTCCATAATTTTATCGGTGTGTCCCCATAATACTATATATTCAGGTGTATGAAGTTTATATAGACACTCTGCCGCCGCATCTTTGACACAAGAACTTGAATCTCTAAGACAATTCGTGATGGCTGTCATTACTGCTAAAGTTTGCTCGAACCTATCCTCTGCAACACCCTACAATTATTGTGAGTATATCTAGCCGCTTAACATTTATATCACCTTTTACCAAAACAGCAAATTTCGGGTCTGCTTGGTATAACCTTAATACATCCAATATCAATTCAAATCGCTCGTTGACTGGTGTCTTCTTATTTGTTGAGCGTCTGTCTAATTGAAATGCTTTCCGAGATGAGCTTGATGAATGGGTACTTGCATGGTCTGGCTTTTCTCTGATATCCCTATTAAAGAAATCTAGAAATAGCATTCTTATCCTAGTACAAAGGTGTACGTATAGCGCTGAAACTGGCTGGATCCAAGGTAATCGTTTTTCTTCCATTGCAATAGCTAATGCTGCCTTTACTACGCTCATTTTAAATAATGTTGGGGCTGCCCGATCGAAGCAGGTGGGAATCAATGAGCGGACAGTCTTTTCAGCGTCCAGTCGAAACATAGCAACGATACAGTCTGCCATTAAGCATCTATGATCAATAAACACACCAAGAGTATGTGAAAGTGTGTCCAAATCAGATGAATGATTTACATCAAATAGTTTGTCAATAAGTTCATTCTCTACATCAGGTACCACTTGTCGAATAGATGTAAAATCGTCTTTTTGAATATAGCTCGCTGCTCTACAAATATCAACATAACACACAGCGGCCAGCTCTCCCATACGATCACCTTTCATTGCTTTTCTCAAGGAGCTAAAAAATGCAGTCTGCCGTCCTTTTAATACTGTTCCTCGACGTTTATAAATGTAGGGTTTTACCTTTTTATTTGTAGCACGATTGCTGCCCAAAGATGTAGAGAGCATAATATCGGGACAAAGGACGAGTAACATAGTTTGTACTGGCCAGAATATCGCTTTTCTTTTTGTCGTATCAGCGAGATTATCAAACATGTCAAACAAGATCTCTGGCGAACCTTCTATACGGGTTCGTCTCTGACATAAAAGAGAAAATTCTGCCGTGTAGTTCTCAATCCAATTCCAGATAGCTCGTCTTAACATTACAGCGATGAATAATTGAGCCGATTTCTTTAAATGCAAAATAGAGCTTCGTAATTCTAGGAATGTATTGTTTTTATTATAGTGCTTATATTTTTCATGCGACATTTACATACCTGTAAGGACCATGCCTAGTCTTCTACTATTTAATGAAGCGCATTCCAGGAGCACCACATCAGCGATTTCCGGGACTTCTTCTGCTGTCGTTGTCAAGTACATTATTCTATTCTTAACTTTTGAAAAAGTGATTGCCCAATTACTTGCGCTCACATATGCAATGACACGACTAGCGGATTTATAAATATCTGTCATTAGGCTTGCGGGGCCATTGGTGCCAGCCAATGTTTCTGTGGAGATAGCGCTAGCTGCATGGTTTGCTACCAAGCCATGGTCATGTTCTTCAACATAACCGATTTGGTATATGAATCTTGACATGACAAAAATGATGTGTTTTGCTAAAGTATCATCCAGTGGCGGTGGATCAATGGTAGCGCAAGGAATTCCTCCCGATGTTACCCAGGTTCCACTAGCTGTTGCATTAGCTCTGTTTAAAGTTGGTCGGACCGAGGGTGTGGTACCCGGTTGCCTCAGATTATTATCCAAATTTTGACAGTGTTTCCAATGATGTTGCATACAGGCTGATAGCATTCGAAGCAGAAATAGCTGTGACTGAAGTGTATCTAAAGAAACATAATCCTCGTTACGAGAAATTGGTGTCTATCGGGTAAAAAAAAATAAAAGTATTGAGTCCCTCCACGTTTGAAATAAAAATTGCTCTGCTACCTTAGACACATTCTCAATGAGAGCTACAATTGTTGTGGCAATCGTAGGCAATCTATACTGTGAGAGCTCGATCAATGCTGCCACTGTAAACAAATTAGTTTGGACTTATTTTTCAAAAAAAAATATTTGATCTAACAATATACGTACCTCTAACGTCATTGAAGGTTTTTTTAGAATCATAATTTCGAAAGCTGATTAGTATTCTTTCAATTCGCATCGCGATACTTGAATCTCCTTACGTTTGCTGAACCAAAGGATCACTTTCCAAGGTGTCCACTTGAGTACCATTGCTATGAGGTAGCTTTAATTATCAGTTAGTACGACGCGAGTGTAGCACTTGGGTTAAAAATTACTCTGACAGCTATTCTGTTCACCAGATTAAGAATGAGTTTAGTGTCTGCACTCATTTACGACACCCAAATATTAAGGATAAAACTAAATAAAGAATTAAATAAAAAACAAAGACAAAAAAAAAAAAAAAAAAAAAAAAAGGCGAGCGATATATTTTTGAAAAACCAGAACAAACCTTCTAGAATTAAATATTCTTCTTTTGGACAAGATCGGGTATTTCGAATTCAACTGTCAGAAGACAAGTTACCAAAGAAATTATTCCTTATTTGTTTTATTTATTGTTGAAAAGCATCCGGATAAATGTATATAAATAAAGCTTGTTATGATCATCCTCCATTTCATTATTTTTTCATCCTTTCTTTCTTTATTTTTACTATTTTTCATGAATTCACTTACTAGACACTCTGCCAATTTAATGGCTCGAGCGGGTGGAATTTGTACTACTCAAACATGTAAAGATGCAGCAACCTCAATTCTACATGATCTCGATGTAAACGTGGATCCATGCAGTGACTTTTATCAATATACATGTAGGTTTTTATGCCTAATTTTGATAGATTATTTTTGCTGATGCTTACTTTAGGTGGTGGATGGATCAAGGACTCAAACATCCCCGCTTCGGAATCATGTAAGGCTGTCCCTTATTTATTTCTATTTAAATAGTATACCTAATATATCTACAGCTGTTGGTACATTTAACAATTTAAGAAACGACAATATTGATGGTCTTCGCGATATACTTGAGAGCACATACGAAGATCTTCTTGCTGGTGTCCAGTCTTTGGGCAAATCCGATGATGCCTTTATCAATCCTAGTCAAGTCGAAAAGGATCGAGCAAACTTCAATAAAATAAAAGCATACTATGAATCTTGTATGGATGAAACGACGATTGATAGCTTGGGTCCCACTCCTATCTTTCCCAGTATACATGCACTTATTGATACACTTGGTTTTCAAGAAAACGAGGATGGCCGTTTTACTACTGATCATGTTCGTCAGCTTACCGAGGCTTTAATTTATCTTGGTAAAGAAGGCGTAGATAGTCTAATTACTTTCGGTGTTGCCGTTGATGATATCAATCCGAACCAATATTCCATTAGCGTCACTCAACCATCTTTGGGACTCCCTTCTCGTGAATACTATGATCAGCCAGAAATGTTGACCAACTACCGCAACGGATTAATTTCTATTCTTTCTTCTGTGTTGGGTAACCCAAGAGATAATTCAGCTACCGAAGAACTTCGTCGTATTAGATTGTCAGAGAACAAATTGAGCGCACTTGGCCAAGTCGAAATTGAAAATATGGTGGATCGTTTTATTGACTTTGAATCTCGTCTTGCCAAAATTACATTGCCAAAGTAAATATTTCATAATTGTTTTTTGACTAATACTCATTGCTAATTTATTTATTTTTTTGTAAAAAGTGATGAATTTCAAAATCCACTTACATTGTACAACCCTATGCCAATAAGTGAACTCCATCAGAGATATCCTGTAGTGAACTGGATTAAACTTTTTCGTAGCTTCCTTCCTGAAGAAACTTCGCTTCCAGAACATGTTATTGTTGTAGTTCCTCGCTTTTTACAAGATTTGACAGACTGGTTGGCCAATAGTGTCAATAGCGACGACGGCGTAACTACCCAAAATATTCGTGAGTTCTTCATTATAAAAACTATCCTGTCCAATATACAGAATGTAGACAAAGCCACCCGTGAACTTTACCGCAATATGAATAGTAAAATATCTAGTGGTACTACTGAGCCCCCACCTCGTTCTCGTTCCTGTATCAGTCAAACTAGCAATACCTTTGGACAATTACTGGGTCGTTATTTTGTAATGAAGAATTTTGGCGGAGAACGTCAGCGCGAACAAGTAGGAAAATTCATGGACAACATCAAATCCTCTTGGAGCTCCAGGTTACAAAATGTTGATTGGCTTGATTCAGACACACGTACACGTGCTTTGGATAAAGTAAGCAAGTTAAACCACAAGGAAGCTTATAGTATTGTTACCCCAGATGACCGGTCGCCTGCATCTCTTGAAGAATATTATGCTACTATTCAAGTTAATCCAAGAGACTTCTTTTCAAACCAGAAATCCGCACTTGGATGGAGTTTAGGCAAGGAATGGGAGCAAATTGGACAGGCCGTTGATAAAAATACGTGGTACATGAATCCTCATGAAGTCAATGCTTATTATACTCCCACTTTTAATGAGATTGTTGTGCCCGCCGGTATTTTACAATCTCCATTTTACAATTCCGACTTGCCTCAGTACCTTAACTATGGTGGTATAGGTGTGGTTATTGGTCATGAAATTACTGTAAGTTTGGTCATTTTCTTGCTACAATTAATTGCGTTTGTAACAGCTTTGTTTAATAGCATGCTTTCGACAATTCTGGACGTCTTTATGATGGTGATGGCCGTTTGAATACTTGGTGGTCAAATGACACTACTCAAGCATTTGAAGAAAAAAGCCAATGTTTTATCAATCAATATGGCAAGTTTACTGTTGATGGACCGGATAGCAGTAAACTCAATGTGAACGGCAAGGTAAAATGCATATACTTTTTAGCCGGATATATATACGTTAACACTATAATTTATCAAGATGACTTTGGGTGAGAATTTGGCTGACAATGGTGGCGTGAATGCAGCACTTATGTCGATGCGTAAGTCATTGACCGAAAGACCGGAAAACAACTTAGCTTTGCCCGGCTTGGAAAATTTGTCTCCAGAACAGTTATTCTTTATCAACTTTGGTCGTGTTTGGTGTTCCGATATGCGTCCTGAAATGGCCGTTCAAAGAGTACGTAGTGATGTTCATTCTCCTGCAAAAGTGAGAGTCAATGCTGCAGTCCAAAACAGTCCTGAGTTTGCAAATGCTTTCCAGTGTGGCGGACCTGGTTTAAAAGATATGAACCCGGTTGATAAATGTACAATTTGGTAACGCGCAATGATACTCGTCCGCTATTTTTTGTAAAGGACATCACTATTAGATTTAGACACATAGAAGTTAGATAATAAAACAACTTTTAATTTCACACAGCCCTAGTCATTAAATAGCCTTCCTATAGGCACATATTCTTTTCTTAAAATTAATTGTTGCTTGGGCTGTCAGAAATATTAATTAAACAGCAATTGGATTCAACTTCAAATTTACGACTAGATTGTTCATAATGCGATTCTTGACGCTGCTTTCAGATATTTAAGTTTAAGATTTGTTTGTTATTAAAAGGTATATCACCATAACCACCTAAAGTTAAAACTTTATATACCTTTACGCCCATGTAGTTATATTTTTTATTTTGACTATCAAAAAATAACAGAGCTACAACATCAAAAGTTTTGGTCTCATGTTTAAGGTTACAAGCTGCCTTATCTTACGACAATACACTAGTACCATCTCAGATTTGCATGTGAAATATCGGATTCCTTGAATAACGGATATGTAATATAGAAATTAATAAACAAAAGGGGACCAAAAAAAAAAAATATGAACACCATCCATGACACATGGGAATAATTATAAAGAGTTCAGAAATGAAAATAAGGTTGAGATTATTCGAATAATAGGAGTTAAACCTGTATTTGAATTGTTATGTTCATTGTCTACACATTTTAACCACTCTGAAATTCACAACTACCCTATGAGATATAAACTATTTCTCAAACAAACAGCTTGTAACCCTCTAACTTGTCATATCGTGCTATGAAATCATCCCGAAATAAACTGTAATAGAAATGGTTGTGTGGTGGGTATGAAAACATAATATCTGAGTAGAAATATGATCGCTGTAATTAAATTATATTGTGTTGGGCGTTACTTTGACACCAGTAGAGGATTAAGACAAGTATGCTGCAATTGATGTCTATCTCCTTTAGTGTTATCCTAGTATGTGGAGTATTTTGTATATAAGAAGACTTATTACCTACTTTGTACACAAAATCAGGGAACATCTAGTTTATGTGAGACGAATCAATGTGAATTGGAATAGCCACTATTTTAGGATGCCCGCGTCTGTTCCTTGCTTTTTTTTTAAGGAGAAGGGTACCGATGATTAAGCCGAGGCCGGATAAAGTTTTTTATAAAAAGTGTGGTACAAGATTTTCTGTGTACCCAGAAAGATGGTATATGATTTTGTAAAGGATATTGATAAATAATGCATTGAATGCTTTTTATTTAACAATGAAATGGCTAGGATGTAAAAAATGATAGGAGTAAAAAAAGCTAAAAAAAAGCACCCCCATTAAACTTATTTTAGGTCAAAATTTTTGATTGGGATCTACAAGTGCACAAATACAGAATAGAGTGTATTACAAAGCTTATTGTTAAGTTTTGACCTGATCCTAAATAAAAATTTGTTTGTTATTTTACAAGACGTTGTTATAAGAGAAAATATGTAATATAATTTAGCTTACTGGGTTATTGCAGTTTTATTAATTTGCGAGCTAAAAAAGTTTTTTTCTTGTGCACATCGAAAAGAACGTGTTACCATGAAAACCCACTCACACATTTTGGTGTTGTTATTTACCCTCTTTCCCTCTCTATCTTTCTCTCTCATTTTTCCTATCCTCTCCTTTTTTTTCTTTCTTGATTTTTTTCCTCTTTTTTTTTTACCTCTCTCTCTCTATCTCTCTCTCTATCTCTCTCTCCAGTTCTTCCTTTTTGCAATCTAGATTAGACAGTATTACCAATGAGCAATAACACCAGATACAACATTAGTAGGGACCGAATGGCAGAACTTCGTGTATGTATTACTTATCGAAAATAACAGACAGGGACTAAGTTTTTTTTTTTTTTTTTTCTTTGTGATATACAGGGCGGGACAGATAGGTACATAAGCAATACATAAAATTAAAATTACCGTTTAAACATTTACACATATACGTAGCACTGACGCATTTGGACCCACAAGAACCTCTGGTGAAAATACCACAACCACTCGTTACCAAGCCAGGCCAACCAGTTATGAGATGCAAGAAAGACCCGCAACGACTCAGAATGTAGTCTCATCTGCAACCCGTACAGATATTTCAACTACTGAAGGTTACTTAGCAGAAGTAAGGGGCCAGTTTTGGGACACTAAAAAAAGAAAAAAGGGAGTTTTAATATTTTATTGTAGGTTGATGCAATTACTGCTGATATAAAAGCAATCAATCATAACATTGAACTGATTAGCGAATTGCATGATTCTTCCCTTGTTAGCATCAATGAAAAACAATGGAAACAAAATTCAAATCAACTTTCCCAATTTGTTAATGACACCTCGAGTATGAACACTAATATTAAAAATAGAATCAAGGCTCTTGAGTCTAGTAATGCAAAGCACCCCAAAAATTCTGATTTAAATATTAGAAGGGCTCAGGTACCAAATTTTACTTTTATATAAAGTATACTTGTGCAAAAACTAACATGTTTTTTCTGCGGACTAACAGGCCTCCAGAGTTAAAAAAGAGTTTATTACTTGTATCCAAAGATATAAAGATGTCGAAGCAGCATTTAATCAAAAATACCGTCAACGTGTTGCAAGACAAATCAAGATTGGTAACATGACCTGTCCCTGTTTTATTATTATTATTAACTTACTAACACGTACATAACAGTCAAGCAAGATGTAACAGAAGAGGAATTAGATGCCATTATGGACTCTGACCAACAAAATCAAATCTTCGCTCAAAGTGTATGTAACATTTTTAGAAAATGCAATTATAATCTCGTCACCTAACACGTAGAAATACAGTTGATGCAAAACAGTAGATCGGGTCAAGCCAAGGCTGTTTTATCCGAAGTTCAAACAAGACATGATGATATTAAACGCATTCAAAAGACTATTCTGGTAATTTGCCCATATAAAATTTCGCAACATTGTTAAAATAACATATGTTAGGAACTGGCTCAATTATTTGAAGACATGCAAATGATGGTCGAAGAGCAGGGTGAGACCATCACTCAGATCGAATCTCACGCACAAAATGCAGAAACCGATGTAGAACAAGGTGTAAAGCATATCGATAGAGCCATCATTATTGCGAAGTCTACTCGTGCTGTAAGTGATATCTACTTTTCTCCTATTGTTTGGATATTTTATATATCGAAAGTAAAATTAAATAATTCTTTTGACCATAGAAAAAATGGTGTTGTTTCTTTATCACCATTATTCTCGCCGTAGTTATCGCTATTCTTGTTTGGTGGTTTGCATTTGGCCATCCGGTTAGTTGATTTAAATTATATACAATATTCACAATCTAATTTATTTAATAGGGTGTTGGCGGCGGTAACAAGGATGAAGGCACAAACTAACGTTTATACTTCACATCTGTTCAACCATAATATGTACTTTACACATGGTCATCCATATTTACTACTCTTTACTATTACTTTTTATTATTATTATTATTATAAACTCTTTTCCTTTTGTAAATTGTCCGCATTTTAGTAAAAAAAAATTTGAGAGTTGTGTACAAGGCTTTAATAATATAATAACATGGCTTTAAAAACTAAAAACACGGATAGGTTAGGTATCTATGAGCATATCAACTGATTCTGGTGAATAATCTTCGATTTCACCAATGTCGAAATCGTGAACTTCCATCACAGTCTTTCCTTCCTCTGAATTGGCGGATCGTTTACGCTGCATCAAAACAACAGCTTTTGTATCTGAAAACTGTATTTTCCACACAGTTTTTGCAGGTAGAGTAAAATTCCTAATCAAACGACCTTGTTTGATATCCCATAACTTGATTCTGCCGTCATTACCAGCACTCACCATACGTCTATCATCAAATTGAAGGCAAGTGACAGAATTATCGTGTGCTGATATTTGTTGAATACATTCGTAGTGTTGGAGATCCCATACACGCAGACATCCATCCGATCCACCACTAACCAGTGTTGAACCTGATAATTGGAGTTGCCCTACAAGTGATGTATGTCCATGTAGTGTAGCTAAACATTGTCCTGTTTCAGCTGACCAAACACGAATGTTGGAATCTAAAGAACCTGTCACAACCTTGTGCCCATCAAACGCAATGGCATAAATTTGTGTATAGTGACCAGCTAATACATGAAGACATCTTCCCGTGCGTAGATCCCATACTCTTGCTGTAGAATCATACGAACCAGAAACGACAATATTTCCACTGATTTCCATGCATCGAACACTTGCTTGATGTCCAAGCAATACATGCAGAAGTGCTCCTCTTTGAATATCCCAAACTCGCATTGTTGTGTCTCTTGAGCCGGTTACTGCAATTCTTTTATCTTTCATTCGAAGACAGCGCACAGTTGAATTATGACCACGCAATGTATGACGTAACTCACCTGTATTAAGGTTCCAAACACGAACATCACTAATGTGATATGTAAGTATATTAACACATAATTACAACTGACTATACATACCGATCACATCCACCTGTAACCAAGATACGTTCAGGATCATGCTTTTCGCCACCTTTAAATTGTAATGCCCACACGCCACCTTCATGACCTTCCAAAGTCCGCACCTTCTCGGCGGTGTTTGTATCAAACACTTCTATGCGATGATTATCACATCCTACGACAATGTATTTCTCATCATACTGTAGAGAGGTGACTAAACCATCACCAAAACCATCTTCAACTACCTTGACTTTTCCACCGTGAGCCCAAGCAGCTGCAATATTGTATTTGCGTTTAAAGTATTCACGATAAGAAAAATTTCGGCGCTGACTCGGTGGTTCTAGTAGTTCTCCGCCGCATATACTTGAATTACGTCGGCGATACTGATGTTTCATACAAAGAGATTTCCAAGTAGCTTCATCTTTCAATAAAGAGTTCCAGAGTGTGGATACAGTTGCTGCTCTTGCCAATGTCTTTGGATCATCAATAAACGTTAGTACATGAAGTGATATTTCGATAGGCAGTTCTTTAAGAAAATCAATCTTTAGTCTTGGTGCAATCAAATTATTCAAGTAAGTCAGCTGAGAGTTATCACAACTATTGATGATTTCGTATAATAGAAACTGCTTTTGCTGTGGTGTCAATTGTTGGAAAGATTGCTTTAATTGACGCAAATGTGAAAGTTGCTCCTCATCAAACGTATATTCATTGTTTGTTGATTCAGTAAAAGAAGTTCTTAATCTTTGACTGCGTCGACTAGATTGACTTGGTAGCGGAGTACTTTGCGAAGACGAAGAAGAGCTAAAGTTGAAGTTGGGTGGGGTAGCAGGTGGTGAAATATCTTCTGGTGCGCATATATCCATTTTTAACTGAGTAATTTTTTTTTTATGAAGAAGAAAAAGAAAAAAATCTGGCTATTATGTGTGTGTTATGTGTGTGGTGTGATTTAAATAAGCCACATTCAATTTACATTGGCTCTTTTTTTCTCCCCATTCCTTTTTAAGAACAGTGGTTTGCGTTTAAAAATTCTTTTCTTTCTAGCAGCATTTGTGTGCAGCTTTATATGAACTCCTTGAAGATAGATTTTAATTGGCATGTATCACAAACACATTCATCGGCAAAAAAAATGTGTAACCTTGATTATTTTAAGTCTGACTTTTTACAGAATGTTTCTTTTAAACAAACTTGATACCTTACAAGTCTTAAAAAAATACAGATAACTGTAATTGTATGCTGGAAATGGAAAACAAATAGTCCCGGCACCGGTAGATACTCATCGTGTAATTACTATCCTTTCAAGCATTTGATTTATGCAATTGCTATTTGTGGAGGGGGTTTAGCTTATTATATTTATGCTAGATTCTAGGCCCAGAATATGGATATTACTTGAATGACAGATAAAGATTAAATGCGTTGTTAAATAAGGGTCTGAAAGCGTGGTATTAAGAGCTCCAAATAGCCTATTAGACCGCTTGTATACAATGAGATTTTTGAAGCTTGTTTTTTTAAAAATATTCGTAGCAACTCTAGTAGGAGCTTCTTGATCGTGTATACATGTGGTCTATTTTCAATTTCTAGTATACTACTAGTTTTTGAGTGTGCACGATTGGATATGCTATCGCTTCAAATTTATTTATTCTAATCATTACAATAGTTGTATCTGTAGTGAACATGTGAACTACGGGTTACAAGAAATCTTATGTCTATAATTTACATTTAATTCCCGTGTCCCAGAAGACAGTCGATACATACCTAGAACCTTGAAGGAGAACCTATCAGTGTTAGATCGTATCACATCGCAAGGGGTTTCAATGTAGTTAATACAAATAATTCGGTGGAAAAACTGTCTACGACCCGACTTAATAAATCAATGATATCTTGTATTTCAAAGGCATTTGTACGAACTGCAAAATACCCCGAGCTGTCTTTAATGATGGATACAGTCAGAACAAAGATTTGTAAGTCTCGTCTTGGGTCATTACAAATATAACTTGAGACTTTAATCGTTCTCAGAGGTTGAGATTTTAACTGGTATTCTGGGTACGTTGTTTTATGATAGCGTTAGAGGCATTATGGAAACATTCAAAAAAATTCATTAAAAAACATTTATTGTCATTATGCTTTAGACGAATTCTCGAAACACAGTTTGTAAACTCTAACTTAAAAAAATCATTATTATTGTGTACCATTGGTTGTACTTTGATAACCAGCGTCTTCGGGATGAAGGAAAGAACAGTTCTTGCCATACTTGCAATTAGAGCCCTTTCTACATACGACGAAAAAGTTATTTTAGTTCGTTATTCTTCATTTGCCAAAATAAAAATAAAATTAATTACCTGCATAACTTTTTTGGATGAGAGTATTGGCAAGCTTTGTCTAGACAGTTTGGCCATTCAGAACAGCGGCGAGTCATTGCGCAAGATGGACGAGGTCTTTGCTTTATTGGACGGCGTGTAACATGAACCCACGATGCTTCTTCCTCTCCGGGTACCAAAAGGGGAGATTTGCTTCTCTCTGTAGATAATACAGGTGTAGCTATCGTTATCATTTTATCTTGATCCAACAAAAATGTTTCATTTTTATCATGGGTAGTTATTGATTTAATCTTGGGAATAAGCTCATGGATGGAGATGGGTAATCCATCAGAAATTTGCTTGTCGGCAGAAACAGTCTGTTCATCCTTGTGAAGAGTAGAGATAACATATTTCGGTAAGCTGTCAATATATTGTTTGTCCAAAGCAAGGGTTGTAGCAACTGTAGCATTGTAGATCATGAGAGATTGATTGGTTTCAACCCAAGTTTTTCTATCACCCCTGGACTTTGAGTCTGAAACTTGAGATTGACTCGACTTGACTGGAGTATTTATACTAACCACTTTATCAGGAACACAATTTTTATTCAAAGCATGGGTAGGTACATTCGCAACAGTGACGGGCTTATTAGACTTAGTATGACTTTGTTGTACTGGTGCAGCCGTAGGAGCTTTATTTCTTCTGCGTTCCACCAATCTGCGATTATTATAACGACGTGCAGTTGCAGCTGATACCTCATTTTTTCTAGAGCCAATATTTTTCTCGAGGGACAACCCAAGTACAGGGGTTACTATGACTGGAGGCCGTGTGGTTACTTGTGATGTGGAACTTGTTTTAATTTTTTGGTTAAGTTTAATAGTGCTAGTACCAGCGGCAGGAACCTCAGAAGCAGGTGATTTGATTGAGGCGACATCAGACTCTGATGTAACAACTTCAATTGGTTTAGTGGTAGTATCAGATACATGAACAATAGACATATATGGATCTCTGGTTGCTAGTGAATTTAAGGTAACTAAAGGTTTTGTTGACTTTTTCGAGCCTGGAATCTTGGGATAGTCAGAGTGAAATGCAACTTTAGCGCCAGTGGTAAGCTTAGCTGGAACATCAGCTTTGCTTGTAGTTGTAATGGCGTTTGTAGTAGGTTGCGTAGGTAAATTTACAATACTGACAGACAAATTTTGGGGGCTTGCTTCAAGGGATTTTGACTTACTATTATTGGTAGAAGATACTACGCCCTCAGAACAAAAACGAAATTTTTTGGTACAGACATTATAAAGAGATGAAATATACGTGCACACGCCAATCTTTTTGATACTTGAGGAAATAGAAATATTTTTGGTGTCATATTGCTTGACGTAATCATTAAGAATTTGAATTGAATCAAATTTGAGGTTGTATTTTGGAGTATCAATGACAGGCGTACTAGGGAAACTCAAATTATCTTCTTTAGCAACTCCAGAGACAGTAGTTTTGGAAGATAAACATGGTTTTTTTGCAATTTCATGTAAAACTGGACTCAATTTCTTATCTGCATCATTCTGTTGAGTAGTAGCCGTGTGGACTGGCAAATTTTCGTAGATGGACTTGGCAAACATAACATGCTTGGGCTTATTAGCAACAATATTAGTCGGCTTATTAGAAGTGGCATGCTTAGTTTTTGTTGAAGCGACGGCGACAGACTTTGTACCGATATTAATTGTTTCTTTCTTTGGAACGTTAATAATAAATTGTTTCGAAGATTCAATCTTGGTGCTAGCAGATTCAACAAAAACAACTTTTTGTTTGTTGACAGGAGCAGGAACGTCCACAGAAATTATAGGAAGTACAGTGACTGGTTTAATGGAAGGGGCAGATATAACGCTACCATGAAGGACAGTTTTGTCTTTTGAGTTACCGAGGGGAACAGTGCTGAGCTTTGTACGAGTAACAGACGCATGGCTTTCTGGGGGATTAACGGAAGGTTTTTTGGAATTCACAACCACATCTTTTCCTTCGATAGCATCGGTGGATGTAGTAGCAGAAACATTATTTTTAGAAGAAACGCCAACGGATGCTTTCATAGGAATAATATTTACAGAAACTACGGGATCAACAGCAGAAGTGTTTTTGTGAGCAGGGGTGGCGATCACTTTTATAACGACGGCATTATTGATTGCTGGGGCGGAATTCTTAGTTTTCGCTGGGATGAAAGTCTCGACCTTTCCCCTAACAACATGTTTAGCTTCGGATGTAGTGACAGGCGCAACTTTGGCTACTGTATTAGGCTTAAATTTGACTGCAGAAACAGGCGTAACTTTGGCTGCGATAACGCCCGTAGCTTTTGGAGCTATAATAGCTTTGGATGCGGTAACAGCTGGGATGACAGTCTTGGCTTTTTCTGGGACAGCAGCTTTTGCTGGAGTGGCAGTCTTAGCTTTTTCTGTGACAACAGAAATATATCCTTCAGTAACATCTTCGGTAGCATTGATAGAATTTTCAAGGTAACTAGAACTGGATTCTATGGATATTCCAGACATTGATTTATTGACTGTAAAAGTGCCAACTACATTGCTATATCCAGAAGCCTTGCAAGCTGATCTTAAAGATTCCGTCTGGGAGGACTCAATATACTTAGTGCAAGCAAACGTGATAGCTTTTGCATATTTGTCGGATGCACGGGAGATAGCTGATGCATATTCACTTGTAGTCTTTGGATTAGATAAAGAATAGTGCTTGAGAGCGTGGGAATTCTTTTCTATGTATTTTTTAGAAGCACGGTAAATTGAGCTCATAAATTCAGAGTTTTGACCGATTTTGGATTCTGAGCTTTCACCAGCAGATTTTTTTGAGGTGGCCTTATTGTCAAGAGAGTACAAGGTGCTAGTTGAAGGGACAGCCAACTCTTTCGGTTTATCAGGTTTGGTAGAAGATGCCTTGGGCTTATCAAAAACTACAGGGGGAGTCGTATCTTGAGCAACATACCGATACTCTAAAAAAAAGTAGAGAGAAGGTTAGCTTCTTACATACAGTAGCAGCAAAATACTATATTCTAAACAGTACCATAATATGCTGTAGCTCCTTGCCAAATATCTATTAGATTAAAAATAAACAATTAGTCTCGATGATTGATAGCAAATTATATCATAATATTTTGAAGGTCTTACAGCAACAGATAGTATAACAGATAATTAAGGACAAAGCAAAACTCATAATTTGGAAGTTGAATGTAAACTAAGGAAAAAAGATGATATGGAGATGCACCACTTTGATGAGTTTTTATATAAACTGAGAAAAATGTATATAATCAATCTGTTTCAATGTTTTTTGTTGTTACTATTGTTATTATTGTTATTTTTTTTTTTTTTTTTTTTTTTTTTTTGGTGTTAAAGAAACGTATTATAATTAAAAAAAAAAAAAATGGCTGATTATTACTGGCAAATATTTGACAATTAACTATGGGTTCTTTATTATTCTCTCTGAAAATGTATAAAGACTATGTTATCCGTTTTATTGTTATTTTTTTTTAATGCAGGCATCATAATAAGTATCCCTTTTTTAATAACTCTGTTTTATAACTTAGTGATTAAAACAAATACATTGATTGTCAGACAATGAACATAAGATCATTATAATAGGTGATTAAATAATAAAGTCTTCATTATCTTCTTAGATATGACAATGGTAAATTGACTGATGTATTTATAGATGACAATAATAATCTCGTATATACGTGGATAAAACTTTGTACGATATAATAACAATGAGAAGGTGTATCAAAAAAAATTAAACCTAGAATATCATTCACTGTAAAATTTCATTTATTTAAATTTGTTGAATGTGCAATGGTATCGCAAGGTAGATTGCAGCTCTTATTTTTATAGTACGTCTCATGCCAACATTTCTCCGTTAACTGGTTCTTGTGTGACCGATTCTTCTTTTATAGGCACTTCTTCTGTGGAACTTCCTCTAGCAATACGTCTTAAATGAATAAAATCGGCCATCAGAGCAGTTTCTTCTTCGATAATTTTAAATACACTCATCATATCTTGATCTTGTCTCTTTAATAACATATTCGCCTTCTCACGAATACCCTGTGACTCTTCGCTCAATGCAGCGATTAAAAGACATACACGCTGTAACGTGAATAATCCAGCAGCCAGTCGGCGAACATAGAAATCGCTCTCAAAATCCTCAAAATCGTCCTCATCCAATACTGACTTGGCATTTTCAAGTTCCTGTTTAACCGCTTCATCCTTCTTTTCATATTTGTCTTTCATTTCGATAAGACGATCGACCTTTTCGTGGTCATCCTCTGTAAATTTGAGCAGCAATCTCATCCTTTGGACGTCCTCTTGAGTTAGACTTCTCAGTAATGATAAAATGATACATGTGATATGTTCCTCATCTTCTGATTCGATAAATGCCGATTGATGTGACTTTTTCAATTTTCTGTTTCCTTTGCCCATAAAAAGAGGGAACAATGCCTTGAGACCCGAGACATCAACAAAGCGAATACATCTATCTCTGGCATCTTCACCACTTAATGCGTAGTTCAGTACTTTTACTGCACGAATTCGAGCTAATGTTTTTTCTCTATAAATTTATATTAAAAGCCATCCTTATGTAAATCACAAAGAAATAACAGCAATGAACATACTTTAACATGAATACCATAAGTTCGATGCCTTCTGAATCCAAAAAGCGTTTCTTATTTTCAGGTTCGTTTAGAAGAGAACTCATCGCGTTGAAGAAATTTTCTACCATTTCAGATTCATCTTCCGAAGAAGCATCTTTACGTCTATATGCCTATTGTTATGTTGGTACACAATCAAACCGACAATCATGTTCACTTACGGAGAGTGCCCTTAAAAGAATATCCACACCATCCAATTCTCCCACTCTGAGACGAATATCTTTAAATGGTAAAAATGAGCAATAGAATAACGTCGATTACGTATATTTTAACTTACCTCTGTTATCCTGCAAAAGAATCGAGAGAATTTCGCTAGTGTATGCAATATTTGAATCAAATCCTTTTGTTTGCAATCTCTTTAAAAGCCAGGGAACGATATCTGTTTTTAATGCAATATCTTCTGCATATTTGGGATCTAAAGATATAACGTTTTCAAAAATACCCAAAATTTTGAATACACCTTGGCGATCTGACTCTTCCTTTTCATCCATTCTGGCCAAATTTTGCACTAATAATTGTAACAGTTCATTCTCAAGCTACACAATAACTTAGCAGGGTTGAAAAAAAAACTAATAATTAATATATTACCATAGAATCTACAAATGTCTTGATAGCAGTTTGGATTTCCTCTGATCTTTCCAAATCATCTTCGGTAGATGCCATTCCAACATCTTCATCAGTCAATTCATTGATGAGATCAATTGTATCAATCGCAATATCTGTATTTTCGTGGCTTAAAAGCGACAGCAAAGATGGGACACTACCAAGCTTGACAAATTCGGGATACATATGCGGTGCTTCTGTCAAACTTAATAGGTTCTTAATCTCCTCGTCCAAGTCTGCTTCTGATTCCATAAATTTCTCTGGTTGGTCTGCATAACGTACTCTCATTTCCTGATTCTTGTTGATTGCTTTCTCAAACTTCAAGATCATTTTTTTAACATTGGTGGCTGTAAGAGCCTCAGTCTTAAAAAAAAAGGGGGGTTTATTAATTAGCCCTATACAAAGCATGACTTATTCTTCATACCTCGTCGACATCATACTCGTCAACAAGATCCAAAATACTGCTTTGTTCATTAGTCAAACCACCACCAAAAAAGCGGCCTTCTTCGTCCTCAAATTCAGCGTCGTCATCTTGGTAGCGTTCAACCACTTCCATATCTTCATCCCCAATATTTCTTTTTTTACTGGCAGGCTCATTACTACTGGCTTCAGCTAATTCGGCGGCATCGCTAGCTTCTTTATACTTGTCAAAGAACTGCAAATCAGGTGTAGCAGGCATCTTTCGCTTGTTACGACCTGTGGGAATAGCAGGGATCTAAACAAAACGCGTTTAGTTTGAAGCATTCCTCGAGTTGATTAAAACACACCTTAAACAATTCGTCAATATTCATATTGTAGTTGCTAAACAAGTAACACTATGATTAAAAAAAAAGTGATTTTTTTTAGTTAAAGCAAAAGCTGTGACTTGTTCCAGCTTAATTAGTTTAAGAAAAAAAGATTATTTTCTCTGTTTTCTTTCAAATAAAACTAAATGTATAACGGCATTGGTTTAGATACTCCTCGTGGTTCAGGTAAGACCCGGGCATAGTGTGTTTTAATAAATAGACTAAAACATATTTTAGGAACCAACGGTTATGTCATTCGTAACCTTTCTTTTGTGAGACCTCCTCCCACAGACAGAGATCGCAACACAAATGACTTTAAACAAGGACCTCACATGAAGAAGGCTAATTTAGCTATTTTGGATCACGATCGCAAACGCAAAGTTGAGGTTAAATGTATGGAATTAACTATCAAATTAGAAGATGAGGGGTAAATAGGAATATATCAAGTTTTGATTCGATTGAACTAACCTTAGTTTTCCTCAGTATGGACGAAGAAGCCATTGAAGAGAGAGTTCAAGAATTAAGAGAATCCTTATTGAAAGAGGTCGAAAAGACGACACCAGCCGATGCTAGAGAGTATATATCCACTGAAATGTTACGATAAAGAATGAGTGATTAACGGTACTTTTCTATAGCTTCAAAGAATACGAAACACACAAATTGACTGCCGCCAAAGAAATAGACAACGAAAAAATGAAGAAAGCACTCAAGATTAATAGTGAATATGTTGAAGGTGCTGCATTCGATCGCGAACTTCAAGCAAAACTCAGAGATGAGAGAAAGGCAAAGAAAGAAGCAGAAATCGAAGCAAGATATGAACGCGAAGAAAAGGAAAAACTTAAGAAAAAGCAAAAAGCAGATGAAAAACGTAGAGAGGAACGTCAAAAAAACTCTGATCAGGAAAAGAGGAAAAAGTTAGGTGAAAATGGCTCTGCCATCCCTCTTGAAGCTACCGCTTCTGTTAAAGTCAAGATTGAAAAAAGAAGTCTAAGCAGGGACAATTCTAGTTCACCAGTTCGTAAATCGGCCAGACGCGATCTTAGTCCCAATCGTCATCGTAGTCCAAGCGATAGTCTTAGTCCTCCTCGTGGCCGCAGATCTAATCGTAGTGTAAGCCGTAGTAGATCACCTTCTAGCCGTGGATCCAGTTATAGCAGAAGCCCTGTCCGTAATTCAAGACGTCGTAGTATGAGTGCTAGTATCAGCCGAAGCCGCAGTCGTGGCCGCAGACATAGCTCCAGTATTAGTCGTAGTCCTAGACGCAGGTATCGTCGTAGTATCAGTAGTAGCCTTAGTCGCAGCCCCAGTCGCAGCCCTAGCCGTAGTATCAGTCGCGGTAGAGGGCGCCATGCGCGCAGTGAGAGTAAAAGTATTAGCCGTAGTCGTAGTCGTAGCGATAGTCGTAGACGTAGCCCCAGTAGCAGCCGTAGCCGTAGTCGTAGTCGTCGCGTAAGTTTTCATTGTTTCCACATAATAATATATTTTCTAATTTTTCTATTACAGGATTAAGTATATCAAGTATATCAATTAACCAGTACATATATTTTATTGTTCAAAAAAATAAAAATAAATGCAATCGCAAAGGGTCAATTTTTACTACCAACGAGCCCAGTTGGTAGCTCTGAATTGTTCACTAAATCTGTGCATGTCACTTGAGCAATCACTTTGAGATCGTTTTTCTAAAGCTGATGGTAACTATAAGGAAAATAAATTAGTTCGATATTATCCAAGTAGTGTAGATGCGTACCTCTTTAGTAAGAAACTCTATACGGTTTTTATGACTGGGATGAGTACTAGCGAATTGTGGGATGCCTGATTCAGCAGCCTTTTCCATACGCCTCCAAACTTGAATTGCCTCTCTGGGATCAAAGCATGCTTGTGCCATCAGCTGCAACCCAATATCATCCGCTTCAGTCTCACACTTTCTTGAAAAGGGCATCAGCATCAGAAAATTTGTAGTAAACGTATTAAATATAAAAGAAGGGTCGATTCCAAATAGCGATAGGGTGATTTGTAACACTAGCAGGATTTTTGCAAAACTGAGTTTTTCAGCACTATGTCGAGCAAGTTGATGAGAAATCTCGTGTCCAAGAACCGCAGCCATTCCATCTGTTATAGAAGAAGTCTCAGCAATGTAGACTAATACATTTAGACGATATTTCATTACCTTCGTTTTGTACGATTGGTAAAATACCCGTAAATACAAAAACTTTACCACCTGGTAAAACAAATGCACTACATATACCTGGTTAATAACTTTACACAAGATGAGATTAAAACCCACTTCTTTTCAGGAGAATCCACAACATAAAATTCCCATTTCATATCTTCCATTCCAGAAACATTTACTAATCTTTGTGCAACTCTTCTGACAAATTTGCTGTAAGGGTGACTTTTTGGTAATATACGAGCACCATATTGACTCATTACTTCATTGTAGGCCTGAATGGCCATGGCTAATAGTACAAAAGCTTCAATAAACCTTCTTTATGTGTCTGGTAGAATAAAATTTACCTTCTTCTTGGCGTGGGGTGATATCCATAAACCGCGCTCTTCCACTTATAGGGACTCTTTCTAAATGGGTCACATAGTAACCACCAAATATAACAGTTCCTGTACCAACAAAAACCCAAACCCTTTTTGATTTGTAGAAGGGTATTTTTTGATTGTTTTGAAAGCGTCTGTATACATTCACTTCTTCGATGGGTGGTCGGTACTTTATAATCGGTGTTGCGTAGTTTCGAGCCAATGGTTGAAATGTCGTCAAAACGTTCGTTTGAGGTTTTAGCAAAAATGGTTTTTGTAGTCTTCTTAGTACACTATTTCCTAGCTTAAAAGGAGTTGTCATATTGGTTTTTGAGTTGGGGAAGGAAAATTAAACGAAATGATTATTGTTTGCAAATGCAATTGCGGCAACAGTTTTTTCCGGAATATTAAAACGCAGTTTTAAAGAAAGGTAAAACCTGTCGCATACATATAACAAATCCGTCAAAAAACAGGGCAATTTGTATATGGATGTTGCTGGTTGTTCAGAACTTGCGGAATAAAGCTTGTTTGCTTCTTTCCAAATGATTGGTGCATCTACCATGCAGATCCTCAAAAATTTGTTAAAAAAACCGTCCAAATCTCTTTGACGGACAAGATGACAACTTCCTTCCACGAGGATAACAACGACATGAGTTTATATTCGATATCCATGAAAATATTTATTACTATCAGTCTTTGTTGACTTTGAAGAAAGCTCTCAAAAAGAGCTACAAGAAGTTTCGTTTTTCTCCCGAGTTAAAATTAAAATATAGCAAAAAAATCTAATGACATAACCTGGCTTCAATTTTTTAATAGCATTATTTCTCTAGTATGAAGGGTGTCTATCGTTATGTAGTCATGTTGTTTAATGCATATGGTCATATATTTAGTTGCCAAGTGAAGCTTAATTTTAGGCTTTGGGTTGACGGATGGCGAAGGTATGGGACGGTTCTGGTCGTATCTTTCTGGTTATGTCAAACCCACTAGAAATATGGCTGCTGCAACCAGACAGTTGACCTTAACCGACGGGGTGCGATACTTCGCGTTGAAGAAGATGAACAAAATGGGTAATCAGGGGGAAAAAATTTCTATTCTAACTTTGTTCACTAATTACTTTTGTCTGTAAGGTGGTTATTTGAGGCGCACGTGGCCGGCGAACGAAAAGTTGATGGATGACTTGGAGTGTGAAATGTCGAAGGTGTCATCGGACGAGCTGAAGGAGAAATGGAAGTGTGTTGTCGTGGAAATTATAGATCCAAAGGAAACTGGCTTGACAACCCCACTTGTGGGAATTCGGTGGACGAAGCTGATTTCAAACGGAATTCCCAGGAAGATTTAGACAGATATACATATATCTCACTCTTATGTCTTCTTGATGTAAGTTTAAACAAGCATTTTGTCGAATTCGATGTTAGTCTGACTTTTTTTTCCATAGAAGACGTATTGCAGCTGGGGTGGACTCTACTGCGATTACGGCTATCTGATATAAGATTAAGAAAACATTGCGAGAAATGGTATTTTTAGAGCAAGTTGAATAGAGTATATTGTCGTCCTACAAACTTTGCAGATCCATTGTTCGAAGATTACGATTAGAAGGACTTTGCATCTGTGGAGGATAGATTGCTTTAATTTATCTCCACTGCCGCACAAGGAATCCATTTCAGACTTCGCTATCAAAAAATCGGCAAAGTATGTACTATGTGTATGTAATACATGTAGTCGGACGGATCAATATCAAAGCAAAGTTCGCTGACTTGAAAGGAGAATGCGAGCATTTACAAAAGTTCGTTTAAGCATACAATAACTATCTGGGTACGTAACTATATTTCTCCTTTTTTTTTTTTTTTTTTTGTAAACATTATCGAAAAAAATTCCTGTCTACACAACCAGTTGAAAATCTAAGGAAGAAAGTAAAAATGAGAAGAAAGAAGAAGTTTAAGAAGAGAGATGCCAAGGTTGATATGAAAAATACAACGGATAAGAAGTAAGCAACCCATCTTTTTTAAAAAAAGCATTTGTTATAGTTTAATCCTTTTGTTCGGAAATACCAAATAAGTGGAAACCACTTCAGTATGAAGAATATAATTCTAATGTTCCGCTGGTAGTATTTGGGGCTGGAATGTTTAAAAAAGACCTGGTTAAGCTGAAGAGCTTAGGTGTGGCGTGACTGGGGTTATGTGGAGATCATTAAAAAGAACGCGAAGCTGCAGGTAAGTTGATCGCTATCACGATTGACGAGTATAAAACATCCAAAGTATGCAGCCAATGTTACTTTGATGAACTGAAGGTGATTAAAACCCCCGGCTGCAAGGGTAGTGGAGTTTTTTGCTGCCAAAAATGTGAATAGGTGTGGCAAAGGGACGTGGATGCTTCCAGAAATATGATGATAATCTCAAAGGCGATTTGGTCAGGTGAAGGAAGACCAAAGGCTTTTACACTCAGAAAAAAAAAAAACTAGACGACAAGCCTGATATGTTCTCATTATCGTATCGCCGTATTAAATATAGTTTCCTTTCAAGTAAGAATTGAGATCATTACATGTAATGTTTGTCCGGAAATTCATATCCTTACATATTGTCCAAAAAGTAAACAACTAGCGTGAAAATTAAAATTTCAACTTACAAAATGTACTTGGCACTTCATGGCATGTAATTTAATAAAAGCCTTGCTTTTGCCACGGGCTATGTCTCAGACGAGCTGTCAAAAACTAAATTCATTTTCCGCGCTGTGATCGAGTAGCACCCTGGGGTGTTTCTTTTTTCTTTTCTTTTTTGAAATGGCAGCACCTAATTCAAGTTTCAACATGGCCGACTATCCTGTCATTGTCGGCATTGACTTTGGTAAGCATTTAAAAGAATACAGAAACATTGAAAACTGAGTCCAATATTTTGAGTATAGGTACTACCTTTTCGGGTTGCTGTTACGCCTTTGCTCAAAACGAGGAAGTCATTGACATTGTTAAGTGGTAAGAATATTTTAAACAAACGTGTACATAAAATTACATAAAATTAAACAGAGTGAATAGGCCCAAGCAGAATAATAATGTTTACCCCAAAGTAAATACATATGTATAAATATTTGACTGCTTTCCATGCTGACTGCAATGACTTTAGACGCCCACATTATCATTATATCGTAAAGGGTCGACAGAAATATTAGATTGGGGACATGGCGCAAGAAGAACTGCCATGAAACCAAATAGCTCTGAATTGTTGTTATTGTCCAAGTTTAAGTTATATCTTGATGAACATTTGCAAAATGAAACGCTACCCAATGGACTACATATCATTGATGTTATTGCGGATTATCTTTATCTATTTCACAACCATGTATGCTCAGAGCTCCACAAAGGATTTGCTGGAAACTACGACCAAGCTAATTTTCGTTATGTAAGTGTTTTTTTATCTTTTTTGTTGTGTTATAAATTTATATTCTCTCTCTCTCTCTCTCTATGTGCAGTGTTTAACAGTCCCTGCAATGTGGTCTGACCGTGCTAAAGCAGCAATGCGTGAAGCTGCCATTCGTGCAGGACTTGTGTTACGTACAGATCCTCCCGAAAGATTGATGCTTATTTCTGAGCCCGAAGCTGCCGCACTCTATTGCCAAAAAAAATCGGAGCAATTTAATCTTTGTCATGGCCAACGATTTATGATTTGTGATGCAGGTGGAGGAACAGTGGATTTAATTGTTTTTGAAATTGATCAGAGTGAACCTACCAAAAAGTAATCCACAGTTTTCACAAATGTTTTTTATGTATTCATACCCAAAATTTAGGCGTACATTGAAAGAAGTGACCAATGGCCATGGTGCAACTTGTGGATCCGGTTTTCTGGATTCAAGAATGCGAGATTACATCATTCGCAAATTCTCACATATTGGACCCGTCAATGAATTGGCTATGGAACATATCATGGAAACATTTGTCAATATCATAAAGCCTGAATTCGATGGTTCAGAAGATCACTTCTTGGACTTACCTGCCTCTATGGGTCTTGGTAATCTTACAGACGAGTCCATTGGACTAGATAATGGCTCATTACACCTGCCTGCTTATGAACTTTGCAATGAGGTTTTTGAACCTGTTGTGTCTCAAGTCTTGAAACTTATTGATGAACAATTGCGCCAATCATCTTATTTGGAAGCTATTTTCTTGGTAGGTGGATTTGGACAATCCAATTATCTTTTTCGACGTGTTGAAGACGCTTTTGCTGAAAGGGTTGGCATGATTGGTGTACCTCCCAGAGGTGAACTGGCGGTGGTTCGTGGAGCCGTCTATTTCGGTTTGAATCCACAAATTGTCACCGAACGTATCTCACGAAGAACTTATGGCATTGAAACTCGAATGTTATTTCAAAATGATATAGATCCACCCGAATTTTCGGTTGTTGGTATTGATGGAAAAATTTATTGCAGACAAAGATTCAGTGTTTACATCCATAAAGGGCAAAGTGTTAAAGTGGATGAATGTATATCGAAAACATTTATTCTTAGCTACCCAAACGATACTGACTCGGGTATAATTTAATCCAAAAAAAAAAATTGTATTATGTATTGACATACTATTTATATAGATTTGTACGCTTATGATGGCAATGGACCAGTACCGCGTCTTACCACAGATCCCGCAATTCAGAAAGTGGGTCATTTTCCCATTCGCATGCCAAAATTAAATGGTATTAAACTTGGCGATAAAGTGAGCTTGACTATTAAAATGTATTTTGGTCTCACTGAAATAAAAATCGAATCCACCATTCAAGATAAAACATTTGTGTTCACTTCAACATTCGATGCATCGGATGCTTCCTCTGGTCCTGGAGTAACTACACCTTTGATGAACCAAACTATCCCTGCAGGCTCCTTACCCACTAGTATCTTCTCTCCTTCTCAGTCTTATTCGACAAACGGTTATCTGTCTCAGCAACATTTATACAATAATAGTAATCCTAATCTTAGTCACAGTACTTCTATAAACAATCAGGACTTTTATGCTCCACCGCAGCCTTTTCAAAATATTCAATCTTACGCTTCCCAACAAAGGCAACTTTATCCATCCCAGGGATATTACGATCATACTAATAACAATAGCGGATATTAACATGCACATGTATATAACAACGTGGAGCCTTATCGCTTAAACGCATTCCGAATAAACCTTACTCATTTTTAACTTTTTCTTCTGTATCAGCCTTTCACTAAACTGACGTCCTATGGTTTTGACTACTGAAATCTAGTAACCAGGATAATTGTACGAAACATAAGTCTTCCATGGCAAATATCCCTTACCTTATCTTTCTGGTGTCACTCGTAACACAAAGGTGTGACATGAATATCTTTTCTTTTTGAATTGGAGGAATAGCTCGAATATTGCACAAATTAAATAAATATGGTTTATAATGAATATACCATAATAATGTCGTGTTTCGGATTATACATATCTATAATGCATATTGACAAAAACGATTTCCGACTCAAATTGTGATGTCAGTTGTCAATCAAAAATTACGCAGAAATGTATAAAGAAAAAAAAACACTCGACGATTACATCACTTTGCTGTTCGTTTGGTGTCTAAGCAAAGTGTATCAACAATATCAACTTTAGGCGGGTTCGAAAAATCAAAATAAGAAAGATTACTTGTATGTAACCTTCGCTGATCAATCGAGAATGCTTTCTCATCGTATTACACAGAATTTTCCTATATAGGCCTGAACCAAAAGTTAAGTTTGCAGGAAAAAACACTGTAACATCATAAAGTGATCGATACATTCGGTTGTGTGGAACGCATCACATCTGATATTGACCCCGTTCCCTAAAATGTTGTTATCGTATTCCTTCTTCTTCCTTATTGAATGTTGCATTTCGAATCATCGTAATACGCAATAGAAACAGGCCCTAAAAAAACAATTGAACATCCGCCATTGTGGTACAAACTTATAAACCCTGTGAGCCTTTTTAGCTATGACGCCTTCTTATTATTAATTCTATATGCTGAAAACAGTAGTGAAAGTCAGCAGCATCGCAGTAGTTGCATATGCAGTAAAGTAGCAAAATGCAGTTAAGTTCCTTCATAAAACTAATGTTGTACTGTAGGCCATTATTGCGATATTAAGTTTTGATACACCACAACGATGGTAGACTTAATGATCCCCGAGATTCTATTACTAGCAGTACTAATTCTTCATTGTAGCTTAATGTTTTTACATTGGGTAAGATTCCCTTTACACCCAAAGTTTGACACGCCAGAATACTTTGGATTTGGACGTAAGTAATATGCATAAACATAGAAATAAAGAAATGATTAGGGAGCTAAAATTTAGCCGTAAATGACAGACAATCACGGTAGAAACATCAAGATCCAAACGTCTGATAATGTGACCCTTGGTAAATACACAGCTAGATAAATAAGAGCTATAATTTTTAAGCGTTTATTTTGTAGGCGCTTGGCATTTTGTGCCCAAAAACTATTACGATAAGCATCAGTTACGCGAACAAGCAGATGTAGATGAGCAAGTTTTTGACGAAGCACTTGCCGATCCATTATATGACACGATTATTTATTTTCACGGTAATGCGCTTGACCGAGCTGCGCCTTGGAGAGTTGATCTTTATAAGGTAAGGATAGGAATTGAGTGTTGGTTTGGAGTGTGACATTTATGACTATTCTAGCAAATCTTGAATAGATTTGGTAAGGTTAACATCGTCACTATTGATTACCGTGGATTTGGTGACTCTGGTAATAGTATTGTTTCAAAGAAAAATGAATCGATGGGCATTAACCTGCTATAACATAGAGTCATCCCCGTCTGAATTTGGACTTGCTTTGGATGCACACGCAACATTAAAGTGGCTAAATGATCGAAATGGTAAATTTAAAATAAGCATTACAACACAAACTAATGATTCCTTTTATTCTTCTTTCAAAAAAAGTTCCAAACAGTCGTGTTATTCTAATTGGGCATTCTCTCGGTAAAGAATAGACTTTTAAAAGAGATAACAAAACTAACGATCTACTGTAAAGGCACTGGTGTAGCTACCACTTTAGCATATGATATGGCATTATCTGGTACACTAACTTTTTATTTTCTTCATATATAAATATTCCTAATCATAAAACCTTAAATAGATAAACCAGCCAAAGCCCTTATCTTGAATGCAGGGTACAGTTCGATGGCCACTCTTATTTTTGAGTACAATGTACTTCCATTTTTACCACTTTTGGCGCCGATAAAACGTATCCCAGATTTAGAACGTAAGTTATATATCTTATGAACAAGGGTGGGTTTTAGATTATGAAATTAACTGTGACATTAAAATATTTTGTAGAGTGGCTGTTATCCAAATTGAATCATAAATTTGACTCTTTGTCTAGAATTGGGGTAACAATAATAAGAGATCTATCAAAAAAAAAAAAAAAAAAATTGAGATTAAGATGTTTCATGTGATTTTTTTTAGTACATTCAATGTCCCTTATTGATCATTTATGGTACCGCTGATATGGAGATTCCTATCGTACATTCTCAGAGGTTATTTCAAAGAGTTATTTCAGGACTCAAGAACACAAGCATAGAACAATTAGAGAAGAACCATGAAATCTCTCGCACTGTCGTTCCTAATGAAGCTATTGTTTACCAGTCTAAAAATTCAAAGGTGGTCATGGTCGAACTTAAACATGCTCACCACAACAATGGTATATATACACACATATATATATGACGAGGTCCGTTGACTTTTCGTATGTTAATCTAATTTATTTTTATATTTATAATAGTGGGATATTTTGATTACACTTACCAATCAATGAAAGATATACTTTAGTATCACGGAGTAGTAAAATTTGGTTTGAATCACACCCAATCGCCTCTTTTTTTTTTTTTAACTTTCATGCCTTTATAATAAACAGGATTTTTATTTATTTTTAAATCGTTCTTCTTTTTCCTCACACACACACACTATTTTCATCTCTTCTTTTCTTACAATTTTATGGGTAATACAAATTCTAGACCTCCTGGAGAATGTGCAGAAGAAGTGATGGCAAGCCTATCACCACAAAGCCAGAAAAAATTGAATCAAATAGCATATCCAAACTTTTTTGAAGTAGCATCTATAACAGCCGAACCATTACCAGTATCACAAAGAAAAGGTTCCTCGATATCCGCTAGTAGTGATACCAACAAATACAACAGCAGAAAGGAAAGACGCAAACCATCAGCATCATCCGAAGACAGCGATATTTTTAGTCTGACACCAGTTACCCCGCCAGGCGAAAAAAGCAACAGGGTCATTCATTTAAACAATAGCCCATGCCGCAACAGTAAAATCGATTTCGAAATAATTAATGGCAGACGATACCAAAGTTCTCCCGGAACACATTTTTACCTACCGTGTGATGATGATGAAGCAGATCGGCTCGTCATTATGGTAACATGAATCAAAATGCTCTCAAAAAAAAATGAATTGTGAGACTGAACATTATTTACAATAGCATTTTTTGCTTAAATATGCGTTTAATGGCAACGTCGTTGCACCAGTGATACAAAACCTTCGAGTCAAATTAGAGGAAAATAAGGAATATAGACCAAAGGTACTGGATGTCGGCTGTGGTCCAGGAACTTGGTAATATAAAATAGTCCTTCTTTTTTATAATACATTTTCATCTTACGAATCATTCCGTTTTAGGGTGCTGGAAATGGCAACCGAATTTCCTAATTCAGGTAATACATTACTGAATAATAGAGATGTCCCATAGGCACTAATCTATTAAAGTATAGAATTCCATGGCATTGATCTTCGTACCATGTTTCCTTCTACCATAAAACCTCAAAATACGCAATTTCTTCAGCACGATTTTTTAAAGAGTTTACCATACCCCGATGAGTCATTCGAATTTGTACGTATGCGATCCATGCTTGGATTCATCACACAGACACAGCTCTTGAACTTACTTTCTGAAATCCAACGTGTTTTAAAACCTCTGGGCTATATTGAGCTACTGGATGTCGAATATCAAATTCATCGACCCGGCCCAATATGTGAGACAATTTTAAATCAACAATGTAAGAGCTCTCTTTTCTATGTATCATAATGTTTACATCATCTAATTTTATCAATGAACAGTGCAAAGTACAATGCAAAAGAAAGGGATAGATTTTTTAGCAAGTCATCATCTGTCCACATTATTAATGACACAACCAGCCAACGGTGGTTTTATTGATGTTCATCAGCATCGAGTTACGATTCCAATCGGATGGGGAGGTCAATTGGGCGAAGTGCATGCGCAAAACCTTTGCAGTTTCTTACAATCGATCCACCCAAATATCAAGCAAAATATAGCCTATGATAATTACAATCAAATGATTGATTTGGACGCATTGATTGAAAAGGCAATTAAAGAATGTACTACCATGCAATCGCACATGAACTGGTTTGTTTGCTATGGTCAAAAACCAGTCAAGGCTGTATTTACGGTTACACCACCATCATCTGTCAAAAATATGATACAGACTAACTATCCTACGATGGTGACTCCGCTTGCTTCGCCCAATTCCTCAACTATCGAGTTAGAAAAATTTTACTCTCATCAAGACGAGCACACTTGGGATTCTATCAATGATTTTGTTGATGGGTATACCGATTAATGTATATCACACACTTACTCTCCTTCTGACATTTATTGTAAATACAACCCCCGTACACTCTCTCCCTCTCCCTCTCCCTCTATATGTATATGATGTATATTCTTCCCCTAAGCTTAGTAACAATGAAAAAAAATATGTAAACTGAAAAAAAAATGTTTTATTGGCTGTTTCCGACTTGTAAAAGAAAAAAAAAAAAGTAACGGAAAAAGATATGATCATAATAGCTTCAAATAGTATAGTGAAATAATAAAAAATGAGTAAAACAATTTTTTTTTTTTTTGTGATGTATGAATAATAATTTTAGATTTTTTTTTTTTTTTTTAGGTTTTTCGTAATAGTGGTAATAATTAAACTTTTGTTAAAGCTTTGTGAGCTTCAGCCAATTGAGCTTCTAATACACGAATTCTATCTTCCATTGAAATATCTTTCGATTCTAAACCAGCCTTTTCAGATTCCAATACTGCGATACGTGTGTTCAAACGATGGTTGTCTGCTTCCAAATCAGCAACGCGTTCTTCCAATTGCTCCATTTTGACCAACTTCTTAAGACGAGATCGGCGTGCTGCATCGGTATTTTTTTGGCGCTTCAATGCGATTTCATCTTGATCGACGACAGGTGACACTTCTGTAAGACGTCGCTTAAGAATAGGGGCAGGTTCTTCCTTTACCATAACAGGTGCAGTGGTAGGGCGAGGAGCAATACGAGGAAGGATGTTGGCTACTTTAGGTAAAATTGCAACAGTGGCAGCAGGTTTTACGGTGGCAATGTCAGGAAAAAGAGGGACAGTACATGGCGTCTTTGGGGAATCAGAGGTAGCAATACTGGTGGTAGGGCTAAAGGGTGGGGAATAGGGAAGCATAGCAAGAATATCTTGTTGTTGTTTGTCTGATCCAGAAAGAAAATCAAGAGAGTTTGCAATAAGTCCTGATTTGCAGAGTTCGTCAGCAAGCCAGTCATCAATCATGTTTGAATTCAAAGATGGGATACCGGGAAACAAAGTTGCAAGTGCATCCTGCTGAGATATGGTAGATGGATCAATGGTAGTAGGATCCATGTTATTAAATAAATCTTGATAGGTTGTCATTTCTTATTTTATGTTTTACTGGGGTTTCTGTATGGTTGTTTTACTATTTTTTGGTTTGTTGTTTATACTAGTTGTTGTTATTGTAATCGATTTTTATGGTTCTAATTTCCGGGTGGGTAATTTTGTTCTGATGTTTTCTTGCGAGATGTAGTAGATGGTGCGTCTGTTGTATAAGAGAAAAAGGGTTTGCTTGACATGATGTAGCAGATGGGTTTAATACTTGATGATTTTAACATTAATTAGATAATGATATGGATACTTTTAATTTGATAACGATATAAAAAGGATACGGGGATTTAAATAATAATAACAGCAACCATCTTGGGCAAAGGCGAAAAAAAGTGAAGTTATTGAAAAAAGAGTAAGGTGGGAAAAGGGGTGGCGAAACAATAATTTCGCAGGAGAAAATGTTGTTATTTATATTATTTGATAAGCTTTTTCGCCATCTATAATTTGTTATCATCTATCTGAAACATCAGCATTCCTATTGGCAAGGATAATCTCGTGCACATGACCATCTTGTTGATTTCGTACTCTCCGCTTCATTCAGCGGCGTATCACCCATATTAAGTAACATTTTTGTAAGTATCGCAGATATGATTGGATAATCAAATATTTGCTCAAATGTGTGAAAGGCTCGTTATCGCCGCGCGGGCGTGCAGTTGCCATTTCTTTTTGTAACGAATTAAAACGTTACCTGACCCCGACATTTCGGACAAGCTTTTTCTTATCTATGAAGTTGTGTAAGCCATAATAACAAGATTAGGTTTTCCCATCATGTGCTTCCTTGTAGCCATACTTAGTTACTCCGCCAATGTTTTATCATTTTAAAATAACACTTGTATTCCTTTATGAAGCAAGTCTAACAAATGTCTTAATGACAGGAACAGCATTGATTCGCCACTTGAACTCTTAACAATCCATTACACCTAATATGGTATTTTCGGTAAAATGTTTCCCAGTGTCCCAATGCAAGAGAGATAGTACGCAGTGATTGTGCAAGTGAAATCTTTCTTTTGAAGGGACACAGGGAAGCGACCAATCGTTACCTTCTCCCCCTTTTTAACATTTTACCAAATATGTCTTATACGTAAAAAAAAGAGGAAACAATACTTGCTAATCATTCATAGCGCGGTGATGACGTGTAGATGCCGGCAGGTGGCGTAACGTTTATCAATAGGCGATCCAGAACTACAAACAAAAGACCACGGAATAATGTGAGCAACATGCTCTTTTATTTACCTGATTATCATGCTTACCCGTGTGAGTAATAGACTTTTTTTCATGACATTGGGCTTTGTATCACTGCTATATCAGGCACGACATTGATGTTTGTGACTCTCATCATAACCCGGACTGATGGGATCATACCCAATCACGTAATATAGAATCCAGCCAATTAGCATGCCTTGGGAAATTATGCCATCGTTCTCAAGTACATATGTCTTATTATTCTATTTAAAACAACTCTTAATAGTTAAAAGAAAAAAAGTTATTGTCATCACTTGGAGTTCTATACTAATCAATAGTTGGATCAGGTAATAATATTGCCGGCGTAAATTAAAAAAAGCAAAAAGCTTAAAAATTAATACCCAACATGGCGTAATGACGAAACGTACGATATATACGCGATGAGCTTATAAAAATAGCTCGCCATTATGAAGATGACTACTTATTCAATCAATCTAAGAAATATTGCTACTCTTTAGTTAGCATCAAATCATTTTACTGGCGATCATATTTAAATCATGGCTTAGAAAAAAAAAATGAAGGGTTTGATAGCCCGTTTTACTTCGTACTCTTAATTTTAAAAGTACACTGCTGTGTTCTGATTTCATTCAATATTATTTGTTCCATGAGAAATAAAACAATGACGAATGATGTCTTGTCAATTTTGGATAGTCCACTATATGGCTTATGGACTTAACCCTAATGGTTTAACTCGTTTAACCTCTTTATAGAATCGCTATTGGGATATCCAGATTTACATTAAGTGTTATCCTGGTGAAAAAAAGAATTTTTAAATAAATTACAGCTGAAAAAGAATTGCTCGCATCCTCATATAGGTAACACCTCGGTGCGCGCTTAGTAGTGTCATTATATTAAAAAAGGACATAAAACCACAACATTCAATCGGCGTTCTTCGGATGATAATTCCATTCTGCTTCCAACAACTGTTCCGAATCTCCTCCGTGGAGTGTACTACTTCAGATTTGTTTTCTAGGACAGAGTCATCTAAGCTTTGCTTTGGATATGTATGCTCTTACAAAAAACTCATTTTGCACTTAAAATTCCTTGAAAGTTCTTCTGATACAACATCGTTATCCTGACATGCTGGATATGTGCTTTTTTGTTTTGTTTTTTGCAAAGTTTTCTAGACTCCGGTTAGCACCAAATATTGTATTTCGGTATTACATTATACCGATACAATGTGCGGCTCAATCTGTATCCATTTTGCTGTACATTCTGTGAATGCACACATGTGGTGTTTGTACTGAAATACCATGCGCTTGATATAAAAAAAAGAACTATTTTTTTGCTGGCAGGACATACTTTACAAATAACAAGGAAACTTGACCCATTTTATCTAAAATGTTTAATAACATGTACACATTAAGCATATTAAAAGAATGCAAATAAGCACTGATCCCTCAAGGATATCTGAATTGAATTTGCTTTCTTACTTCCAGAACCGTAATTTAGATGAGTTATAAAGCCTCTTTTGGTTTCAAGAGGTAGCGTAGTGATTGCAGCTAGCATACTGGCAAGCAGATAAATATAAGTTTCCCCACATCTATAAAACCACAGCATACTCAAACAGCTCAACAATAACAAATCCCTTGTTCTGACTAAAAGACCAATTTCTAACATTTTTTTTCTATTATAGATCTTAGCATACTTGTCGTATTTGGGTACGATTCACTTAAGGATAACTAAGCAAATCGTTTAAATAAATAAACTATGAAATTAAAACAACCTTTGATGTTGCATATCAGCTTACGCTTGTATACTGCTATACAACTTCTCCTACTACGAGTACATACTTCTATATTAAAGATCGCATGATAGTCCTAAATATGATATACGAATGACAGTTGGATACATAATGCTATACCACTGAGTTATGATATCACCGATCGAGAAGAAAATCTTCTCAGATCAAATCAAGGATTATAAGAAAGAGAAACTTAATATTAATAGTTCTCTCAACGAATTAGCTACCCATAGAGAGAATAGAACAGCTATTAATATAAATAGGCCATTTACTTATATATTGATATAGTTATACAGCTGATAAAGTGTGTGAAGAAATAGTGTATGAATTAATGTAACCTACTTTCTACAACTATATATACAAATCTCGATAGGGCATTCTATATTTGGGATCTTATTTTATTCGTTACAAAGATAATCAACAACAACTATTATGTTCTACTGCCAATTACACTTGACAAACAAGTATGCATCTTTTACAGTAACCGTTACATGATCTGATAAATAGGTGTGTCTTAACACTAAAGATTTATTAGAATACTCGTGCTCCCGATCCACTGATATGGGACAACGTTAACTGGGAACAATTCTAACGAGTATTCATTTAACCCAAGGCGAGCAACAAAGTGTAGATCTATTTTAAAACCAGAACGGTTGACTCATCTTTAAAACTCAGGGGAGTTGTGCAATATAAAAAGTATCAATTATTTCATAGCAGCAGAGTTCTTTTAGTCAATTTACACCTCCAATAAAGATATACTTTTATCAAGTGTATATTTTTTTTCAAATACCACATTACCCACTGTTTTTTTGTAAACCCGATTGCAGCACAACATTATTATTGTGAAGAATTTGAGCTTAGCTAAAAGATCTTCTGTGTAACTCAATTGAGTTTATTAACGAATTACACAGCAACAATAAAACAATAGTTCTTTCCATTTTATAAATTTTGGTTGTTATTAGCCTTTTCAGAATAAAGTGCAGGATAAGCCAGTTTGACTCAAAAGGGATTAAACTAAGATACAAATCAGAAACTTCGACTTTATTGTGACGTGACCCGTTAGAATACACGATAGAAACCATACCATAATTCAAGCTACAGCCTGAAACCCCTCGAAAATTATCTCTCATCAACATCATACGATCAGAGACTGTCAATTCCCGACCAACATTACATTATGTTATTTGTTATCAATATTCGGTCATTCCTTGCTTAAAAGCGTAAATTATGTGGTTAATTACACAATCAAAATGACAAACTATCTTATTTGCTTATCATATTTAATATAACTAGAATAAAAAACCTTCTCACACTTTCTCTTCTTCATTTTTGCAGGGGATTTCAAATATTCAATCAAATATTGAAAAGTGATATAAAATTGTCTTAATATAATTCATATGAAAAAATCTGCATGTAGTGTTTGAACTTCTTGATCCTCACCCGAGTTTTAACCAGTTAAAATAAGCCTGCATTAATTTTTGGGCGAGTATGTATTAAACATCGTGTGTAGCTTGCCCGTTAAAAAAAATTAAAAGTGGCCACAGCAGATTATCAATTATACATAATCCCCCCCCCCCTTCTATGTAAAAGTAAATATAGTGCACCATTCAGCACATATACGGGGTAGCTGCGGTGGTAACATAGGGTGGCAAAATATCATTTTTAAAGTTTTTGAACACATCAATAGGACATGCTTTCAAATGAACAGCCCTCTCATATCAATGATTTTTTGTAAAAATAGACACGTTTAACTTGTAATAACCTGTAAGTCCCTTTTTGAAGGCCCAGGCTTCAAAAGTAATAATGAATATTAATGCTGATTTACTGATAGAGCGTAGAAGGTTTCGCATTATGAATGCATTATTGAAAGTGATGTATTTTTGTCTAGTGCGAGACTATTTTCTGTTAAACAGAGACAGAAATAAATATGGAGCCCCCATTCCATTTATAAAAGTGGCATGTACGAACCCTGTGCACAGAAGAGATCTTAAGGAAAAAATCTTTAATAGGTTTGAGCCTGCTTTATTCTGAAAAAAAAAAATTCTAATAGTTAGCATCAGTGAAGCTTGTTTGTCTAGTGTCTAGCCAGATCCAGGTTAGATTTTTTATTTCTGATTGTATTCTTGGGGTGCTTTCATTGAAAATAAGCTTGTCTGATGCACATTATCCACGCAAGAAAGATTCTTGGCCTAGAATAAATTAATAGAAAAATAACTGCAACTCAGAAATAATTTTTTTAGACAACTAAGCCCCCTTACATTTAATGTTTGTATTGGAGTATGAAAGATCGTTTGATAGCATATAAAAATTGGGCTTTGAACATATCCGTTACTAAATTAGTAGGGCTGATGGATTATTAAGGATTTTCGTACCATATAAACTTTAAATGCGTGTAACCATGTTTTTACAGCTGAGCCCAATGTTTTTAATTTAAATTATCTAGAATTCATTTTTTTGTTTTTTTGTTTTTGTTTTTAATCAATATCATATATATTGTATTTTCATTGTATATAGTAAAATGGGAATCTATGGTACGACAAAAAAGCCATTTTTTAAAAAATGCATTTTTTTTAATCAGTCATGTAGGAAAAACCGCCAGTAGCTTTTGGTATGCCAAAGGAATATTCAGCCTTAGCATAAAAAACTTCACCGATGCCATGTATTATTTTTTGAAAGCTGCCAAACAAAATCATACAGCGTCTCAATATTTGATCGGCACATTATACGAAAATGGTGAGGGTGTAGATCAAGATTATGCTCAAGCTCTTGCTTGGTATTTAGTCGCTGCAGAGAAAAATAATCCAAGTGCTCAAAACAACCTTGGTTGCTTATATTATTACGGTGAAGGTGTTCAGCAAAGTTATAAAGAAGCTGCTTATTGGTTTTTAAAAGCAGCTAGACACGATGATGTGGGTGCTAGTGCTCAAAATTGGATGGGATTTTTGTATTACAATGGTCATGGCGTCGAAAGAAATTATAAGCAAGCTTTTTACTGGTATAAAAAATCTTCAGATGGTGGTTATGGTCGAGGCCACCTCAACCTTGGAAGACTGTACAGAGACGGTTTGGGAACTAAAAGGAACTACATAGAGGCCTTTAATCTCTTCAAAAAAGCCGCAGCGAAAGAGGTCGATAACGCCAACTATTATCTCGGACATATGACATATCATGGCCACGGTATTGCTCGAGACTATAATGAAGCATTCAGACTTTATTTGAAGGCCGCTAACACTGGTCATGCAACTTCTCAAAACAATCTCGGGTGTCTGTATAAACTTGGTCACGGCACAGAAGTAGACTATGAGATGGCTTTTTACTGGATACAAAAAGCAGCTGAAGGCGGTAACGTTCAGGCACAGAACAATTTGGGCTCTTTATATCAGCACGGTAATGGTGTTCAATCAAACATTGAGGAGGCTTTTCGCTGGACAAAAATGGCTGCCGATTGCGGAAATCCAGGGGCCCTAAACAACATTGGATATATGCACCATAAAGGTCTAGGGACTAAAAGAAATTATACAGAGGCACTACACTGGTATAAAAAGGCTGCTGACAACAAAGTTTCGAGGGCACACTATCATATTGGAGATTTGTACCGATTTGGTAATGGTGTTGATCAAAACTATACAGAAGCAATTATGCAGTACTCTAAAGCTTCCGTCAAGAGCGATAAAGATGCACAACTAGAACTTGGTGTCATGAATCTGCAGGGACTAGGTACAGATGTCGATCGCGATGCCGCACTAGAATGGTTTAAAAAATCATTGGAAAACGGAAACAGTACAGCACAATCGTATATCATGCAGATAACTGGATCAGAACAGAAGGTCACTTGTGGTACGAATGAAGAAAAGAAAGATATATACACTAGACCTGTAGAATTATTATCGCTTTTGGACACAAAACACGACCAAGACTACGATTGGAATGCTTTAGGAAACGAAGAAAAGTCCAAAATTGCTAATTTGGAGAGCAAAAAATTACAGTGTCTACAGACCTACGACTTTACAGAGGCTGTAAAATCATCAGCAAACATGGATGCTCCTCCTGACTACATAACAACAATGAAATTATTCAGCATCGATAATTTGACTACAGAAAAACTAGGTGCATGCCGTTAAATCTATTAAAAAATATTATATTTAATCTTGTACATGTAAATAAAAGGCATATTAGATAACTTTTTCAAGGTTGTTTCCATACAAAAAAAAACGGGTTTCTTAGGGACAGCCATTTTTCTTAAGGACAGCCAGGGTGCACGTAGTCGTAATGTTGGGATTATGGTTTTTTAATAGATATCAAGAGGTCAATAGAACTTAACAACTTGAAATATATACACATTTATCACAACTAACATAGTTTAAACCAGTATATGTATTTTAAAGCTAACTTTCAGCTTCCCGTTTGGACTTTACATTAATATTTCTGCGCAAGATTTAATTCAAAGGAGCTCAAAGGCGAAAGAGTGATAATAGAATTGTCAAAATAAGTATAAATCGCTTGATGTACATTTATTTGTAATTTTTACATTGTTTTTTGATTGTATATTCTTGTTCCCATGTCTACAGAACATCCAAACCATAGATCTTACGTTGCGACTACGTGCACTTTGGCTGTTCCTAAGGAGAAATTGGCTGTCCCTAAGAAAAGCGAAAAAAAAAAATGGCATTGTTGTTTTTCTAACAAGTTTAGGTTTGGATTAAATTGGCTGACTTGACAGTTACGCAGCATCTTTTTTTTTTTTTTTTTTTTTTTTAAAAAAAAAAGTTATAAAGCACTAGAGTATACATTTTCAGAACATGTAGTTGTATCCTTTTCTTTACCTTTCCATTTATTATTATACTCATTCATTCAATCACCTCATATCTTCTCAATAAAACTTTATTGTTCTATTGATTAAAAGTAATTTTTTGTACTCTAATATTACTAAATAGTCACTTTAAATAACAGACTTTATATTGGTATCGATTTATTGGTGGTCTAAAAGAAACTAAAAAAAAAGATTGATTGTGTTGTACTTGCATTCATAGTGATGACAATAATATTTTTGTTGGAATCAATATAATATATGAGTGTTGCACAAAATGAAGCAGTCACATCTGTTACATAAAACTCGCGCTCTTTTTTTCTTTTTTTTTTTGCTTTTTCTTTAGCCTTCACTTACGTTTAAGATGTCCAGAACATTTAGTAATGAATCTCTGTTTTCTATTAATACACCCAACAACAGTAAAGGACGTAGTAGACGCACTGGTGGTATAACCATCAGCAGCTCTCCCTCAAGTAGCAGAAAAAGTTCTAATTCTAATTATGAAACACGCCGGGCACATGAAGAAGTGCCTGCTTTGGACATTCGAAATATTGACCACGAGGTTATCAGAAATGATCCTGAGTTGAGAAGTAATTATTTTTTCAATACGTGGTAATAGAACTTCAATTAATAATATCAATTTAATTAGGTTTATCGCGTAACCCATCGGCATTCCACGGAAGTCCCAGACAACACTGTGGAGATATGGAAAATGAAGAAAATATCTATGCAGAGGTGGAAATGCTTGAAAACAATCCGGAAGAAGAGCTTCGATTAAGAAATCTTTATAAAGCAAGATCAAAATCAAGCTCAAGCGATCATGAACTGCATAATGCACTAAGTTTAACACGATCCTTCTATGGGCAACATCGCGATATAACAGATATTGATGAAGAAGAGGAGGTTGATATCGATGATAGCCAGATTGAACAAGAAATTTTACAACGAACTGTTGCTTACAAGACCTTAAAAGCCATTGTATTTGTATTGTTTATGGTCTATTGGGTCATCAGCGAACCAATTATTCGATCAATAGCATTTATAACTATGGTTTCCTCAGCAGTCCTCGATCAAAGCAAACATGTATGGTCAAAGTTGACTATTTATGGAAGTGCATGGCCTCTTAAAAAGATTTTAAGTACTCTTATCACAATTAGTGTCCTTGGATTATGTATGACACCTTTAACCTTTTACGCAAAGCCTTACTTTGACGCAACCCTTATTCCTCGATATCGATTAAACAGACACGTGACTGCTCTTGAAAAAAATCTCAAAGTAATTGCTGCGGACAATTTGGCTATGAAATCTTCCCAACATACTGAAATTATGAACATTTGGAATAAACTTGAAGATGTGATCGCTCTCGAAAAAAATATTGAAGCTATTAATGCGGATAACTTGGCTATGAAATCTTCCCAACATACTGAAATTATGAACATTTGGAATAAACTTGAAGATGTGATTGCTCTCGAAAAAAATATTGAAGCTATTACTGCGGATAACTTGGCTATGAGATCTTTGGTGGATAAGATCCAACATACCGAAATTAAAAACATTTGGGACGAACTTGCAGATCATCAAACGCAAATCAACCGCCTTCAAAGTTCAATCGACGAGAAAATCACCCTTGCCTTGGAATCTAAATTACCTGATATGATACTTGTACAAACGAACAAAAATGGGGAATTGGAGTTTTCACCCACATTCTATGCCTACTTACAAGACGCCTTATCCTGGGATAACTTTTTACAACAGAACAATCAATCGATTGCTAAGTATCTATCTGGTGAAATGAACAATTATTTCGAAAAGCAAGAAAAGCAAGGCGCAATTGTTGGAAAAAATACATTTATGAAGTTGATTTCAAACGCTTTAATTCATCATCAAAACCCTATTGCTGAAAATACCGAAGTTTCTTTTGATGATTTAATTAATAGTGCTATACAACAATACCACCAAGATGTACTCAATACTGCCGACTTTGCATTAGATTCTCGGGGAGCCAGAATTTTAAAGGGTCTGACTAGCGAAACTTATCACCCTTTTCCAGCCTGGGCTCTTATTTTGCGTGGTTTATTTAATCTTCCTATACATGTAAATCCTCCCAAGCTTGCAATTACTTCGTACACACACGTAGGTGGATGCTGGAGTATGGTTGGAAGCGAAGGCAATTTGGCAATCAAGCTTAGTGAAACCATTAATGTACAAGGTATAACAGTTGAATTCCCTTCACCCGATGTCATGGTCAACAAAATGTCAAGTGCACCAAAAGATATGGAAGTTTACGGCTTGACGAATCATATCAATGGCGACAATCCTACGTATCTTGGCAAGGTTCGATACGATATCAACAAAGGGTCACCTATCCAGACATTCGATTTGGCCCCCTCTCCAAAATCATTCCGTGCAGTCAGAGTGAAGGTTTTATCCAACTGGGGTAACCAGGTTAAAACAGATTTGTATCGTATCCGAATTCACGGCACTCCTTCATAAACCTAGTGGATTATATTCTTTACGATGCAGCCCTTTACACTTCTGTAAATCAAAATATATCCAAAGGGTTCTTTAATAAAATAATAAGTTTACAAGTTTAATCAATAATAGGCGTGCGTATTTACGGGATAATTTAAAAATGCTTCGAAAAGGATGTAATTGTTGGCTTACAGCTGTAATATTTTAGACTCTAATTGTTATGAAGCTGAGCATACAATATTCGCACTTGTTTTTAGAAAAAAAGCTAACCAGACACTAAACTCTAGCTTTACATCTAAATGAAAGAAGTGCTTTAGCTGGTCAAAAAGTTTTTTTTCTAAAAAAAACCCCCCCAAAACTAATGAAGATCGTTTTGCGTGGCCTGTTTAATGAAATGTTCCTTTAACCTCATGTTAGGCACAAACATTAACTGGTTAAGTCGCATAAATTGACCCTTTGCGCACGATACTGCATCCCCCATCATGTTTGAAAAACCGACAATTTTTGACAGGTGGGGGAAAAAATGTGTGTGTGTGTGCTTTTTTTCTTTTTTTAACCAATGGGTGCTCTCAAGATCGGAAGCCGCAAATAAAAAGTCCATTTCTTATACAAAAACAGTTTGAAAAGACGAAAAACAATATAAATACATATTTGGGTAAAAAATGAAATGTTGATCAAAGTGATCATGTTTTCAAATTATTTACTTGAAAAGAAATTGATAAAATAACAAATGTCTTTAAATCCAGTGTTTTTTTATTTTTTCTTTCCTTTTAATTTGTCAAATACATTTTATCACTTACCTTACTATGAACAATACCGAAGCTAATAACAACACCCCCCAACAACAACGTACGTGGTCGTGGTCGTGGTCGTTGAAATGGACGCGGAGGCAGACGCGGACGTGGCACCTTTGTGTTTGTTGTCGATCCTACCGTTCAGCATAACACCACTCCTATTAACAACATGAACACCGAAGCTGACAACACGACACCCGATAACAGTAACGCCAATGTTGATGATGACAATGAGCTTGAACAATTATTTTCACGGTAATACAATGTATGGCCTGAGGTTGCAATCTGTATCCTCCTTGGAATTATGACTGGTACCGACAGCTACCTGCTGAAAAGAAGTGATACTGCCTTAAAGCAGCTTATCTGGGTACATTCGGCTGCTTTGCTGGAGGAAAAATGGCTGAGAGTGCTAACACCGATGTACTCAGGGCTTTTTTTTGGCATACATCAGCTACACAAGTATGCAAAGAAAGTGGGCAGATATGGAGCAGCGCTTTACCAGAGTAAAGAATGCAGCAAGAGAAACCGGAGTTGGCGGAACTGTTCCAAACATGCCGTACTACGAATAAATTGCTAAGATTACTCAGGATGATCTAAACATCCAGCTGATCCATGAAAGCATCAATATGCAAGAGAGTGGCATTCGATCTTACAGACAATTTAACGACGCCGATTTGATGGATGCTATTGGATCCGGTAGCCGCGAAATTACATACTTGGGACCTACAGAAGTTGATCAACTTTTAATTCAGAAAGCATTTGCTGATAAACGCCCTGCTAGATATTCTGCCAATAACGAAGGACCTGCAGTACCATCTTTTAATGAATCAGCATCCACACCAACAGCACCAACAACAGCACCTGCACCAACACCAACACCAACACCAACACCAACACCAACACCAACACCAACACCTACAGCCGTACCAACCTCAACACCCACACCAGCATCCACAGCACCACCAGCATCGACAGACGCAACGCCTCCACCTCCAACTTCATCCGCACCTCCACCTCCACCTACATCCGCATCAACTACTGATCCTATTGAAGCTGCTCGTCAGTTGTCAGACGAGCATATGGCACATGCCCGCCAACTTGGTGTAGAGATGATGGATCAAATGGCAGCATTGCAAAGGGAAGATCGAGAACAAAGACTTCTCGATGTTGATAACATGCTGCAACGTATCAGTCGTACTCGACAAATTGCATTGGAAGATATGCAAGCAAGACGGCGACAAGAGACCAGAGAGAGATACCGTATGTTTGAAGAAGCAAGAAGTAGACGAGAGGCTGACATGGAAGAGCTTAGACGTAGACGTATGTCTGATATCGAGACTATCTTGAATCGATTTGCAGTCATTCGAAGAGGTGATAGTGATACCGATCTAAATGGTTCATCTTCTACTGACAACAACAATTAAATAAAAAACATATTTTAATATAATAAAACCTTTTGAAAACTATGTAAGTATATCTGTCCCCCTCATGATATTGTTTCTTCTTAAGACAGACATTGCCTTAATACGGCGTATCCCGGCTGCGTCGATGGTAGCGTCGGTACCATCAAAAGGAAGAGGTGGTTCAAAATTCACCTTGTTTTCATACTGGTTTCGGCGATCTGCCTCCACAAAACCCTCGAAATCTAATCCTCCATCCACCACTGCCTCTTCAATGTCATTTTGATTTACACAAATGTTGTGTAAATCACAGCAAGATATGATAGTTTTGGCCATTCTATCAACACTAAGCATATACAAATGCTTCCAAAGGAATCTCCACCTGGATGTTAGTCCACCAAATGCATGTTCTATTTTTATGTGAGAACTAGAAAATATTTCATTGAAAATATTTTCTTCCGCAGTGATTTCACGTCGGCCATGAAATGGAACAATGAGATTCGGCAGCAAAGGGTAAGTCGAATCTAGGTCTCATCGTTAATTATTTGTACACTTTGGTATGATTAATGAATTTACCTCCCAAAATATAAGTGTTTGCGGGACACCATCTGGCCGCATCCAACAAAAGTTTATGATAGATGACACTGTTAGTAAATACTCGGGCATCATGATTTCTGCCTTAATATAATAACAAACGGTAAGCTGCTATATCTTTTTTTTTATCCTTCCACACGAACTTACCGGAATGCCCAGTTTTTACGTACATAAACCGAGTACGGGCATCGCATATGGCCATTAATGTCATAGATTCATGACTCTTTCTATTAACATAAGCGTTTCCATTTGCTGCTGGGTTTTGGATGACAACCAGCTTGCCATCAATTGCACCTAATACGCCAGAAAGTCTCGTGGCATCAGGTCCACCAAGTTCTGAAAACTCACGAGCATTGTTAAGAGCTCTCTCTCTGTTGTCGATAGGCCACGTTATAATTTCGGGAGTAATCTCCAACATGGCATCAATAAATCTGTTTGTGAAATTATTGAGCGATCCGGCAGTTACTCCGAGATGAGTTTCAGCAATGCGATTACCAAAATGGGTGTTGGCGAATCTCCAAAGCACGCACGCAACTTCGACTTCCACAGAGTATCCACCTCGCAAAATTGATTCGAGATAAGCAGCACATCTACTTAGACGATTGACGAGCCACTCAAAGGTACTCTTGTTAACTCGATAATGAGCTCTATAACTGTGGAGGCTGTCACGATCATCTGACAGGTTGGGGTGTTCGATTGTCCAGTAAGTTTCATACGTGTCCATACGCTCAGTTCTAACAACCCTTCTGCGGGTTTCTCGGGTCATCATCCAAGGGCTGCTTATGAAAATGTCATAGTTGAATAAGGCGGTTGTATGCAAAACCGTTTCCCTAACCCAAAGTTCGAACAAGGAAAAAACGTCATAATTGCCTTGGAGGCGAGCGTAGTTGGCAACAATGCGCTCTTCGGCAATGGCAACCTCTTGTTCAAGCATTTCCTCTTCCAAATCGTACGCTTCGTCAATTGCAATAATTTCGTCCACCAAGGCATCGAAATATTGATCTTCGTCTTTGAAAGGGTCAGCGTCATCTTCCATCCAAAGTTGTTCTTGCAACAAGTCGAAGAAAGTTTCGTCAATTGGGTTCATGTTAAATAGGTACTTTAAAAAAAAAATAAAGATAAGCGAAAAGGAAATATTCAGTTTTTTTATTTTCTTTAATAAATCACGTTGGTCTTTTAGTAAATTCGAGAGTGAAGAGCTGTCACGGCACCACCTGATCATTGAATTTTTTTTTTTATTGTCCACCTTGAGAGCACCTAATTGTAACAATGGCCAACAAACCTCAGCCCATTGCGGTAGAAACACCGGACGAAGATCAAACTAGTTACGAGCAAAAGAATGTACACGAAGTATACGAAGTGATCGCCACCCACTTCAGTGATACTAGATACAAGGTTTGGACGTAAATAACCTATCAAACTCATCTTTCTAATGTTGTCTTTTGCTAGCCTTGGCCTGTTGTTGAAGATTTTTTAAACAGTTTAAAACCAGGAAGTCTCGGTGCTGATGTTGGTTGTGGTAATGGTAAATATATCGGAGTGAATCCTAATGTTATGATTCTTGGATCCGACAGGTATGGAAGAAAGAGATTTTGGTGTATAATGACTAACAGCGTCAATTAGGAGTTCAAACTTGATCAAAATCGTTCATGATCGCGGATTTGAAGGAATGGTTGCTGATGGACTCAACTTGCCATATAGAGATAATTCCTTTGTATGTGAAAAAAAAAAAGATATCAGCTACAGCAAAAATAGACTAACTTTGTGCGTAGGATTTTGCCATTTCGATTGCAGTCATTCACCACTTTGCCAGTCCCGAAAGAAGATTACAAGCTATCAAAGATTTATTCAAGATCGTCAAATCCGGAGGAAAGGTTTTAGTGTTTGTTTGGGCACTAGAACAAACAAAGTTTAGCAAACGTAATTTTGAACCTGGGCAGCAGGACGTATTTGTTCCTTGGAAATTAACACCAAAGAAGGGTCAAACACCTGAAGTCAAAGAAAAAGAAGAAGATTATCCTGTTTACAATAGATATTATCACTTATTTAAAAAGGGAGAATTAGACGACTTATTTCAAAAAATCGAAGGTGTTGTTATTGAGACATCTGGATATGATCGTGACAACCATTATGTGATTGCTCATAAGAAATAAATTTGATATTTTAAATTTTTTTATTACAATTTTACATAATTTCTTTGCATCTAGTTTCTTTCATCCATAGCTTCAATTTCATTGCGTGCGGATTCTTCCAAAGCTATTCTTTCTTCATCTTCGCTACGCATGGATTCTAATTGTTCTTGGCTTAATTTGAATACTAATTTACCCATCTCCTCAACGTCTGTAATCTCGGTGGGTTCTCCTCTTTCTCCTACATCACGTTTTGAGGGATAATTTTCGTCGTGTTGAAGTTGTAACTTATCAGGTCGACTATTAAAATGCTTGAAGACTGGCTCAAGTTCATAACAGTTTTCAAATAATGATTTGTGACCGAAAACGTAGAGACCCAATCTAGCACGAGACATGGCTACGACTAGACGACGAACATCGCGAATATGTCCAACTGTCTTGGTTCTTACGAGAGATAACAGAACATCTATAGTAACCGTATTAGTAAAACTGATTTATATATGTATTTATATATGTCAAAGCTTACAATCGTTTTGTTGTCCTTGGTATTTGTCGACCGTGGCAATAGCAGCAGGTTTTCCAAAGTAAGGATTCCAAGCGCATCTACGCTCCATAACATCGTCAATTAAAGCCTTTTGACCGTTGTATGTGGTTAAGATGGAGATTTTTTCAGCTGGGTATCCTAACAAACGCATGTATTGATATACAGCAACGACGTACTCGGCTTCGCCTAGGTTTTGATAAAAGTAAGGTACAGGCTCAGTTTCACCTTGGTTTTGATACTTGTCTACATTAATCATTTGATAATCAAAAGTAAAGCCTGCGTTTGCTTTGGTGTAACCTCCTATTTTGACCTTTTCCAAATCCTGCAAGTTATTGTAACGCCAGTTGTAAAGCTCAGCAAGAGAAGGACGTGCACGTCCTTGTTGATCTAATTGGAGAGCAGGAACGCCTAATCGAATAAAACGAGTAAACATACTTTGCTCCATGTTGCCGTATTGTTGGAAGGCTGTGTTCTTAACAACAGGAGGTAATTGATGATGATCACCAATCAATACAACACGCTTTAAACGATTCATACCAGCCTGAGAATCTTGAAGTAACAAAGGAATGAATGTCTCTACTTCAAGGATTTGTGCAGCTTCTTCAATAATGATATTATCATACTTGAAGTTAAGACCAACAAGTTCGCGACGCTTCAATGCTGCATGAGTACATGTCATGGCAATGATCTTTGCTTCCTTGGTCAACAGGTAGTTGGAACGATCATATCCAGATCTTAAAAGTTCAAACGGTCTGACTTCCGCAAGTTGAGTGAATATATTTTGAAGATGAGTAAAACAACCAGTAGCAGCCTTTAAAGCGGCATTTTGATCAACACAGTCGGCAAAAATTGGCTTAGGAGCATTAGCAAAATATTGGGTGAACGGGAAAATATTGCTGATATCTTCGATCGATTCTAGCTTAGATGCTTTGTGCAAGAATGACTCCCAGCGAGGTGTAACATGGATACTGAAAAAATAGCCAGCAGTTTCACAAGTAGCTCCGTGTTCACCATGAACACCAAGGGTCTGAGCCAATCTATCCACTTCTTGAAGAAGATAAAGACGACGTTCTAAAGCGGCAGATACACGGCCATACTTGCTGAAGCTCATTTCTGAATTCAATTCTTCTTCTCCGTGACCAAGACGTACAAGATGTCTAGGATCAATATCTAATTCAACAATCTTTTCAAAAATTTGATTTAAAGCTTGGTTGCTGTGGGTGACAATCAAAGTATGTTGCTCAGGGTGATTATGGTACAAGTTGGAAATAGTCTGCACAGCAACATCAGTTTTACCGGTACCAGGAGGACCTACAACCATAGTCAAACCATGGTTCATACCAGAATGAATAGATTCAACTTGAACTGGAGTAAAACGTATGGAATTTTTCTTGGGAATATCCTCATAATAAGGCCCCTTGTTAGGCACTTCATAAGATGATACTTCGTATGTTTCTTTCTTTACTTCAGTGGGTGCTGCTGCCTTTTTGGACTTCTTTGATTTCTTTGTGGGTTTGACATCTTCCTCCATGGGATCATTCAATAAGCGAACAGTATAAGGAGGATTTAATGGCTCTGATTCGCCTTGTGCGATCTCAATATTCTTGTCCGCAAAACTTTCCTTTAAATGGTTCCAGTCAAGGAAAGTATCACAAAAGTTATTTTCAGTCAAGCGGTTAGGCATCTTTGTATAATGAGCACTTGCTGGATCGCCATAACCTAAGAATACTTTTTGAAGCCATTCAGGGACCACCAAATCATTCTGCATTAAATCACGGATGGTCTCCAAGACTGCCTTAAAATTATTTTCTTGGGGCTTTCTACGAACGAGAATATTGAATGTTTGATGAACATCTCCAGCCTTCTTGCTGTTGTATTTATCCATATCCATTTTATACTGGTTAGCATCAAGTTCTAAGCGGATGGTGCGTTCAGTTCCCTTCCAATTGCTGACATCATCTTTTTGGTGATATCTGGAGTTTTCGTCAATGACACGGCCATCTTTTCCAATAATATCGACAATTTCACATCCACGAATATATTTTATACCGTAATGTGTTCTAAAGTCTTCGTCTTCTTGTAACTTATCACAGGATTTTTCGATGGCTTGAATAGTCAATAAAAACATAACATCGTGCTTACGTAAGTTGTCCCATTCTTTACGAATTGCATTTGTAAATTTGTTGATCTTAAAACCGACATCTGCTCTAACACGGGAAGGCTTTTCTTCACCTAAGTTTGCTTCAGCGACATCGACGATGCTAGCATATACGTTAGAATTTATATATACATATTTAGATATACATTTTTTAAGATCGTTTAAACATACTTGAAGGAATCGATAGATACAGCCATACGAGCCCAACCAGCAAATTCTGTCTTCATATCAGGGAAAGTCAAACGAGGAGAAAGACGCTTGACAACGTCTTCGATATCTTGACGGATTTCATAAGAACTCTCGAGACGGAATAAAGTGAAATTTCTCAAGAGATAATCATGAAGAGTTAAGAATTGAAGATTGAGCTTTGGTAAAGCTAAGGGGCGTTCACCAGTGTAGAATTGAGTTTGGATTAAGTTATCATTGAAAAGGGTGTCCTCATCGGGGTACAATGGCTGGCTGTTGATTTTTTTGATTTGACTTTCGCGCTTTTGATATTTCTCGATAAGTACATTCATTAAGAAATCCTTAATTTCGACATCAATGGTAATATCCAGAGGTGCACTACGGATTCCTACAGCATTACATAATCTCACCAAAGTTTCTTCCGACAATGGTTCAAAATGCCACAAAAGATCTTTACGGGTCTCAATAGAGGCTAAGTTAGCTAAAGGTAATTCCTTGATCTCGTCTTTAAATTGACGGAATACAATATGCTATACAAGTTGTTAATTGTCAATCTCCCTCTCTTTTTCTAGTCCAACTTATTTTTACCTGTAACTTAATCAATTGTTGACAATGTGCTTCCGTCATTTGAATGTCTGATAAAGCAACACCAGTTTGATCGTTAATTTCGAATTTAGAATAGAATGAGAGTGTATCCAATAATTTCTTGAGGAGATCAACGTCTTTACTTTCGCGACGCATGAAGGGTGCCATTTTACTAAGCACAGTGATTTCATGATCGTCTAATAATGTGTTGAAGAATCTACGAGTAGGTAATTGTGCTTCCAAATCAATAAACAGTTCCAAAAAGCGTTCACTGATTTTAATAATCTCTTCGTCGACTGTATAATTGTGCGCTCGTTAATACTAATTCGCATATGTTTCATTTATCCTAACCTTCTCCTTCAACGGGGATTTTGTATACAATATCAATATACTTTCTCATCAAGCTACTCAGCCAAGTTCTTTCAAATTCCATCTGTTCTCTAACAGGTTCATCTAATGATAGTATTTAGTGATTCGTATGTAGCAGAATCTCAGCGTGCTTACCAGCAGCGACCATCTTTTTGTTGCTCGAGTTCCATAATTTTTGAAGGTTAGGATATTCAGCAAAAAAATCCTCTCGCTTTGCTTGATGAGCTAAGTGACTCCAAATACCGATTGTGACTAACTTTAAACATTCGGTACGAACCAACTCGTTTTCGAGGCTTTGAAAGCAGTGAATCATAAACATCAAGACAGATCGAGAAAGAAACAATGATAATTCAGCATCTGTCAATAAACGAATGACACGCTTGAAGAACAAGGAAAACTTTTCTGCATCATTACCGAACGCGTCTATTGGAAAGACTGGTTAATACAAATATAAACGAGTTGAATGTATTGATGTACCCCAAAGAGAAATATTTTGACGAGCTTTTTCGTTGACGATTAAACAAATTGAAATAATGTGGTTTAAAGAAGATTCTTCTGTGTAGTTGGGCCAGAGGAACTTAAGAAACAAAACAGTCAGAAATTGAGTATATAATGCTTATTCAGGTTTGGCTTTACCCTTTCCAGATAGTGAGACACTTCTAGTAGCAGTAATTTGTGAGAAGAATAGTTTGAAGGTACAAGCTCCTTCTCCATAATAGTTTCGACTACTTTAGGATCCCAATTGACTTTATTTCCACTGAAATGCTTATCTGCGATTTTGGTAATTGAATCAGACATAATTTCATCTAAGGTCAAAGCACGTTGTCTAGCAGACGAGACTTCACTTGGTGCTGCGTGAAGAGGTAAAGTCGTCTTTTGGTACATGATGTCGTTAGGAAAAGAACAAACTTCCTGTGCAAAAACATTTTAAAATGATAACTTTCGTGACTGTCTGACCTCCAAGACGTCATTTAACGAACCCAAAAACTTATAAATTTCTTGCCCTTCATCTTTTTCTTTCGACATGAGTGATTTAAAAGAAACAGCTGGTCCAGGACGAAAGAAAACTGTCCGAAAGGGCATGTTCTCCAAAGACTGTAGGTTTTTTTTAATCTGAACATGTACAAAGTTGATTAATCTTGAGGTGCTTAGTACGCTTATTAATGTACGGTTTCGGCGACGTTCCTACTCCCGCTTCTGATTCAATTGCAGTTATGGACGATCTCGTCATCGATTATATTACTGAAATGGTAAACTAACTACAGCATACTACGAGATGCTTTTAATAATACTTTAATAGTGCCAAAAGGCCTCTGGCGTCGCAGATACCAGAGGAAAAGTGCGTGTTGAAGACTTCCAGTTTGTATTGAGAAACGATGCAAAAAAATTAGCTCGTGTTGAAGAGCTATTGTATATGTCTGAAGATATCAGAAGAGCGAAACAATCATTCGATCCAAAGGAAATGGAGGCGGGTGAAGAAGCTTAATTTGCAGGGTATCCGTCCCTCTTCCCCACACACTGTAAATATATTAAATATCGCGAATAAATGGAATCGATTTCTTTTTTTTATTATCGTAGTTATTCTTCTTTTTCTAATTCTACATAGCTTTCCTCCAAGACGGGTTTGTCTTCTATTTTTTCAATGTGTTTATGTATAGTAGTCACTTTTTCGCCACAACGAAGACATGGCCATTCATCACCAAACACAGACAACTTACTCTGGATACAATAGTAACAATATTGATGACCACAATTTGTTTCATAGGCGTTATGTACAGATAATTTCTGAATCTGGCCGATTGGGCCGCTGTGATTAGAGGCCGAATCATGACAGATAGCACATTGATTGTTAGGTAATTTATCATATCCCTTAGAAGAGACAAGATATGACTTGGGTAACAACATTCGCATCATCTTCATCTTTAATTTTTCAACGTTGATCAAAGGGACCAAAAACAACAAGAATTCCTATTTAAACACACTTGTTATACTTGTGTCAATCCAGACAAACAATAACCCCCCAGGAACTTACAGTGAATGCGTGCCACACCATTTGTCTATTTAAGAATTCAAAACTGACTTGTCTGTTCATTGATTTTTTGGAATAAACTAAACGCATCGCCAAGATACGATCAATAAGAGTACGGTATCTTCCATTCCATAAAAAGATAAGGAAATTGAGCAATGAGAATGCCTTCCAATATTTTTCGCCGGTTTGCAAAAGTTGGTATATCTTGTATTTTGTACTAGAATCGTCCATTTCTCCCCACCCTCTCATTGTAATGTATCGATTTGCTCTTGTCCAAGCGTATTGTCCTCCCACTGTAAATAATCCATATGCTATTTTCTGTCCTTGTGTCAATGGTGCATCTTTTGCAATAGACTCGACTAGTTTAATATTAGTAATTGTACTATCTGATACCCTATTTATCACTTACATGCTCCACCATGCTTCCACTCATTACGGTATTTTAAATTTTGAAGCTGGGAACCGTATGTTGCTGACGAATCATAAATGGACAGTTTGAACAATGTCAAGTTTAATAAACCCAATAATTCTGGTTCAAAGTTTTCTTTAATTGTTGGCTACCAAGTTAAGTAAGACTCAAGTAATTCGACATGTTTGCCTTTACTGTACCTTGAAAAGAGAAAGTGCTGCCCAAAGTTGTTCTTTTAAAATATCTACTAATTCCATGTCTAAAATATCTGAATCGAGTTGACTAACTCTCATAACCTTTAAAGAGGATGTCCGTAAAGAGGCCATAGATCTTCTCACTTTACGTAAAGCAGGCTGAATATCTTTCCAGTTCGAGTTCCATTCGGTGGGGATGGGTTGTGAAGGTAATCGTAACATTTCTAGTGTATGGGGGAAAGGTTAGGTCGTGCGAAAATCGCTTTGTTCTGAACTTCACATGCCGCAAAATCACATTCAGTCTCTGGGAATAAAAAAATCAATTTGACCCAGAAAGCTTAATTTTAACAAAAACGATTTTCTTACCAAATGCCAAACAACATGACACCCAGTTGGTTAGATGGTATGTATGAGGAATATTTCATTGATAAAAGTGATTACGTTCCTGTTGATAATTTCGAAAATGAAAGCTATAGCCCTGATATATTAGAATATTCTGATTACGATCATATCGGGTTGTCAAGAAGAAGTCTCACCAAAATTTCGTTGAGGATTTGTCGCAACAAAATGACGCTTTGTCTCAACAAGATGTTTACAACGTTTCGAACAACGTCTTCGATTTGAACGACAACAATGATAAATATGAGCCTGCGTTGACAGAGGAAGAAGCTATTGCTAAAGAGAAAGAAGCTATCGCAAAAGAATAAGCCGACAAAAAGGCTATTCGCAACTAGCCAATGACTCGAAGGAGAACATCGAAGGTGTTAAGGCTGCCTTTTTCGAGTCACTAAGCAAAGGATTTTCTAAAGCTGAAGCAGTTGAGGTTGAGGCACCTGCTGTTTTGTGTGAAGACCATGAAGTAAATTTCGGGAAGTGAAGTTATACTTCTTTCACCGTAGGTTCTTTTGACGGAAATGTCTAGAACTCCGTATTTTTTTCAAAGGTATTTTTTAGAATAACGTGATGGTCTGCACGTCGATTGACATGCCATATCGTCTAATCTTCATAGGATGATCGATTTCTGTTTGCCACAAAATCTGCTTCACTGTCATTACAAGCTATTATTGGAACACAGATAGACAATTACCAAGTTCTGACTTGCTTGGGGGGGATTTTGCAAGTGTTTCTATTTTAAGTAAAGGCTCAAACATTATGGATGATGAAACAAGCAATTAAATTATTCTGACATAAGCTCTTGTTTATCAGCCTATAAATAAAGCTGGTTCACACACTTTATTCTTCTCCTTTTCTTCTCCCTCAACACACTTCTTCTATCGTATGAAAGTAACCAATAACGTAAAAAGGTTTGTTTAGTAGTGACTCTTATTCCTTTGAAAAGACGCTAAAATGAAAAAAGATATTATTGCGGTATTGCGGCTGCGGCTAGTCTTTGCTATAGGAGGGCGACCTCCTAGGCAGGGTTCTTGAGTTTTTGGAACTCACGGACTGTGAATAGCAGGGATTGCACTGTAAATAGGTGCAATCATACTAGCCTGCTGGTCTTGGCCAGAACTCCTGTAAGTGGTATAAAAAAATACGTTTAAAAAAAATACGGAGGTCTAGACATTTCCTTTTTTGACTGATCTAAAAGTGTACTTTTACTAAAAAACATTTTATTGTAGGCCTTGTCAAAGTGAAATTCCAAGAGTGCAATTGCAAGCCTTTTTAGAAAACTTTAATGATCTTGCAATTCATGCCTACCAGCATTAGACAACCAAAGTCTGCTGTACACTTTGGTATCTTGCAAGCCATTCACGACCGTAAGGTAATCGATCAGGATTCAATCACGTCCTGGGTCGAGTGGATGAATTTGCAGATTTCAAGAAGAGCTGCTGCTAGTGACTCTGGTGAGGAGATAAGACTAAGAGAGGAAGAGTCTTGTTCTTTTTTTCTTTAATATTGTCAAAATGTTAACTTATTTCAATCTTACTTCCCCCAAGCTATGGACTCTGGCTAGCGTGTTGAAGGCTGTAGAGACTGTGTACCCTAACAACACGACACCCGGGAACAGCAACGCCAATTTTGATGATGACGCTGAGCCTGTAGAATTATCTTCGCGGTCATGCAATGTATGGCCTGAGGTTGCAACTTGTATCCTCCTTGAAATTATGGCTGGTATCTACAGCTACCTGCTGAGGAGAAGCGATACGGCCTTAAAGCAGCTTATCTGGGTACATTCGGCTGCTTTGCTAAAGAATCTGACTTGGCTATTGCTCTCCATCTAGACACGGTGATGAGTTATTTTGATGGCAATAGATATATGACAGAATTTATTAAAAAGTCCCAATCTATGGATAAGAAACACATGTACAAGTTATCCGATGGATCATATTTAGAGGAGCGACTCTTTAAATTTGGTTTAACTTGTACACATGAACAGTAAGTGTTATAATACAACGAGTAACTGAGAGGTTTTTTTGTTAAATTTTAGCAATTTTAATATAGCTTATACCATTCTTTCGTCTTTGACCCCAATGATTTGACATATATTCAAAAGAAGGTGCTGACCGAGGATCAAATGACAGAGTTAAAGTCTGTAAGCCCCGTTGAATTTCCTGATTTAGATGATGATTCAATTAATTATTTAATGAAATTTGTAACTGTAAGTCAGTCCTCCCTACCAAGTTATAAATCTTGATATTTAGTAATCTTAACAAATATTTAACAGGTGGCCACAACCGAAGACCTGCGAGTGGCTTTATACAAAAACGGAGACTATAACATGAATTACAACAAGGATCAGCATCAAATTAAGGATTGGATTCGACGCTCCTTGGATCACCTACTATTAGTCTATTAAAGTACTGATGACTTCACCATTAAACATAGTGAACAATGGTATCAGTCACGTAACTGGTTACCTCTCGAACTGCTTTTTGAGAAAATCAATGGGTCTAAAAGTCTTCGTGGTGAATCTTCTTCCGTTGCAAGCAGTGAAAGAAAGAATTTACAAAGATCAGTCCCATCTACTGACAAGTTGCAGGCAAAGAAAATGGGCACCAGAGTTGATATGTTGGTCACTGTTAATAATTTGGAGTTTTTATGCGAAGAAGATAAAGCCAGCGACGATAATACAAAAATGATTGAAGAACGTCATTTTAAGATCGGAAAAGAAATGAAAGACATTCTTTGGGGTTTATTTAGACGTTGCAAGTATGATCGCTCCAAGATGAGAAAACTTGTCTCATTCGGAATTACTACTTTCAAATTCAAGGCTTTTTGGCGTTCTTCACGTAGTTTACGGAGTGTTGAGGATATCATAGATATAATAATAAAGTTAATTGTCACATCACATTATGGATGGATAATAAATATAAAAGTTAATCATGAATCACGCATTACCCCACTTGTTCTCATCCTACCGTTGGAGTCTGTACATAGGGCACGTCCCTGTGTCGAGTAAATATATATTCTGCAAAAGCAATACAATCGAATGGGCCTGGACTATAGAATATTAATAGATCCTGAGCATAAATATTACTCTTGTCATTTGATGTTATAACTGTTGATCCCTCTGACTAATATTTATATACTCAGTATGGAAGGGCTAAAATTAAAGACATGTTGATTATTTACTATCACCAGATTATTACATCATGATCCAATAAGGCGCTTACTATTCTCCCTAGAACTATCCCAGTTCTTTATATAAATATCCATAGTTTTTTCTCATAGACCATCAAGACATTTTTGAATACGTTTTTAATTATATTTTTCGTCCATAATAAAAGTGGTATCCAAGTTCTAACAGTATCACTTTTGGTTTATTTTTTATTTTGTTCTCCATGCAAAACACGGAGTTAGAAAGCCTATGTAAAAAGGGTAAAAAAATACTGTGTTGTCTAAAAACAATGCTTGAAAGTGTCATCATTTTAAGGCTCACAGTCACAATAAAAATTGACAAATGAGTTTAATAAATTGGTTAGAGAGGAGCTGTGAGTCCTGAAAGGCAAAACACACACAAACTTTTTTAGCATTTAATGATTTAATCTACACTTGGAAGAGGGAGACTGTAAGTACCGAACGGCAAAAAAAAAAAGAAAAACTAAAGCACACGAGAGGGCTTCAGGGGAAATGTCTAGGACTCAAATGTATTTTTTAGAATCCCGTGATGGTCTATACATAAGTCTTTACGTCGATTGACATGCGATATCGTCTTAAGGTCATAGGATGATCGATTTCTGTTTGCCACAAAATCTGCTTCACTGTCATTACAAGCTATTACTGGAACACAGATAGACAATTACCAAGTTCTGACTTGCTTGGGGGGATTTTGCAAGTGTTTCTATTTTAAGTAAAGGCTCAAACATTATGGATGATGAAACAAGCAATTAAATTATTCTGACATAAGCTCTTGTTTATCAGCCTATAAATAAAGCTGGTTCACACACTTTATTCTTCTCCTTTTCTTCTCCCTCAACACACTTCTTCTATCGTATGAAAGTAACCAATAATGTAAAAAGGTTTGTTTAGTAGTGACTCTTATTCCTTTGAAAAGACGCTAAAATGAAAAAAGATATTATTGCGGTATTGCGGCTGCGGCTAGTCTTTGCTATAGGAGGGCGACCTCCTAGGCAGGGTTCTTGAGTTTTTGGAACTCACGGACTGTGAATAGCAGGGATTGCACTGTAAATAGTTGTAATTATATTGGCCTGCTGGTCTTGATCAGAATTCCTGTAAGTGGAGGTCAAGACATTTCCGGCCGTAGGTCCCGATCGGCAGTCTGAAGAATGCCTAGAAAACCGGTCGGGAGGTCGGTTTTTTTTATATGCGACTTTAAACTTGGTTATGTAGCACGCATAACTCGTTCTTCTGTATTTAAAGTCCTTGCTAATATCTCCGAATTAAGCAAGTTGTTACCCATGCTGTATATGATGCTTGTATTTCGTTTGATGATTATGGCTAATGTTGATATTATTACTGAAGCAGCACCTGAATCTGATGTCAGAAGCAGTTTAAAAGGCCACACTCACCGAAACCAGAAGATGACTTTGTTCGTGCTGTTAAAAAAATGTTAACGCAACCAGTCCTGACGAAGCAGCAACATCAAGATTTAAATCCGTACTGAAACAAGGACAAGAAAAGAAGTGTTAAGACTTTTTCTATAAAATAAAGTTTTCTCTATTCCCGTGTAATTTTTATACACTCTTATATACCATTGTAACAAGTGTGCGTCTTTTTCTTTTTTTTTTTTACCTTGGTGTTAGTATGCAGCTCTGTTACTGTATACTAAATGATCATGTAGCTGGACCCTTTTTTATTGTCAATAAAGAAAGATATTTTTAATATAAATATTCCAGATTTTAATTCATTATATTTTTTAGACAGTTTTATCTGTAATAATAAACGTCTCAACTTACTTATTACAGTCTTATTACACAATTACTTTTTTTGTAACCGACAATATCCGCCAGCCGGACTGAATCTATAAGCTGACATCTACCGAGATTGAATAATTGAAAAGGAAATATCTATATGGATAATAGAATAAAAAAGACTATAAACTTTGCTCAAACCAATTATTTACAATGGACGAAGCCCTGGTTGCCTCATTTATTATTATTATTATTATTACTGTACAGTTTTTATTATCTTTTAGATTCCAAGGGAGATACCGAAATCTCCGCCAAATGACAATCTTGGTAACCTCGGTGGCGGACAATCATCTTGGATTATATCATTTACGGTATTATTTGATGAACCTTGTAAGTGTGACGATGGACCTTGTACGTGCGACGATGGACCTTGTAACTGTGATGATGAACCTTGTAACTGTGATGATGAACCTTGTAACTTTGATGATGTGCCTTGTAAGTGCTCCGGAAAAGGCTCCTCTTCTACGATTTCATCGTCACTGTCATCCGTGTATATTTTGGTTAATCTCCTACTTGGATCCTTTTTAGGTGGTATAGTAGTGGATGTGGGTATGGGTGGTAATCTAGCGTTGATATATCTATTGGGTGGTGTGGAATCATAACTATTGTCACTGTACCGACTCATCATCATCAACGATTGTATATCTGGATCAACCGTAGATGAAGATCTTCCTCTTGAAACTAAGGAAGGGCCTAGTTGCAATGAATCATTTGTTAACGATGATATAGTAGATAACGCAATTCTTCTATGGAGTGCGTAGCTGGTTCGAGGAGATAAAACCGCTGACGATGCTACTGTGTTCATGGCGGGAGACATGGCAGTAGCGGAATCTGGAAACGTTTCTTCCACTTGTGATGCTTGGATCTCTTGATGTCGCAAAGCAATCGTTGCTGGTAATCCGGGAGCGGGGCTAAAGACGGGCGAAGGGGGTCTTGAATGAAGCGTGGGATAACTCTTATTTGTTGATAATGTAGCGGAAGAGCTTAGGCTCGGTGCATTTGCACTTGTCATTGATGAGTCAGAATAAATTGATCTTAGATCATCATTGCTATCGTCATACCCTGACCATTGTTTGTTCTTTCTGTTGTTTGTGGTGTTATTATGACTATTATCGTTTCGACTATTAATTACGGCTCGATCAACAGCGGGTAAAACATCTGAACTTCCTGAATCATTTATTATTTTATTTTTAGCTGGCTGTGGAGGTAGTGGTAATGGTAGATTGACAGGTGGTGGTGGTAGTGGCCCTCTTTCTTTTCTATTTGCAAGATCAATGTTAAGAGGCGGTAGAGCTTTTCTGTGCATCACTTGTCTCCTCATGGTTGGTGTAGTCGTTCGAGGTCTTTCCTCTGGATCTGCCTCATCAGGTTTGTATAATTCTTCTTGAGACATTATACCAAGCTCAAAATTGGGTGGTTGTAAGGCGTTTCTGTACATTGGTTGTCTTCTCATGGTTGGCGTAGTAGTTCTTGGTCTTTCCTCTGGATATATTGCATCTGGTTTGTATGATAATTCTTGCGATACTGTACTAAGATCCAGAGCAGAAGCAAACTTTTTCAACTGTCTATGTTCTTCCTGTTTCAAATAAGAGCTACCCGTTTCTGGGGTTGGGGACAATGCACGTCTACCTCCGGTAGCAATATCATATTGACATGAGTGGTTATTGTTCGAAACCATATAAGGCGTTGGTGTTGTCGTTTTCATTTCGTTGACAAACATCATAGGTGTCACACGTCCGGTTATATTTCCTTCCTCATCGTCACTTACTTCAGGCATGATATTATTGTCACGAATTACACTGTAACTGTCGTTATTTTGGGTTGTCAGGTCATCGTCCGTTATATTTTGGGGAGCAGATCTTGATTCTAAGCGGTACGGTAAGAATTCTGAACGAGCCACCTCTTCAAAAGCATACTTCATCATCATGTCATCTGCAGGTGCACTGGAGGCAGATGATTCTCTTTTAGGAATGGATGCAACGATGATTGGGATTTTTGCTTTGATCTCTTCGTATTTCATGCCAAATTGGAAAGTCACTTCGATTTGGTGATAAATAGATACAAGTGGGGAATCCAAAGTGTAAGACAAATAAGGGTGGAGACGATGTCGTACAAGACATGGTCGTTTCCAAGCCGAAGTTGTCGAATCGGGTATGTGAATGAGTGCAGGGACTGTTCTCTTGATAAATTTAACATGTGTGTCTTTGTAGTGACTGGCATCAGCCATTTTTTGGTCCAAGTCAAATATTTGTGAATCTCTATTACTGTATGATAAATCGGAATCTGATTTTGATAAAGACTGTCGTCTGGAAGGAGTCCAATCGAATTAATTAATTTGTTATAATTGACATGTCTTTTCTAAGAAAAAAACACAAAAAAAACAAACAAAAACAGAAAGAAAAAAAAATTACCTGTATAATTCTATTTGAACCAAACGAGTTCTAATTGATTGAACAGTCTTTTGGTTTGCGAAACTAATGTATTTGATAGCAATAGGAATATGTTCTTGTTCAATACACACGATTTGCGGGGCATCAATCTCGTAATGAAATTTACCAGGTACAGTTCTTTGAAATAATTTCGTCTCAATGATAGGCGCCAGCTCCTTGTATGGCAATAAATGTCTACGTAATACAATTGGATACTCGGCAGTAAGTGTTCTTGTTATACCAGTAGAGATGGATACAATGACTTTGTAATTGATTGTTGCTCTTTTTACTAATAAGCTTCTGGGGTATATGTTTGGTATATCCATTTCCCAAGGTATTACATGATCCCCTGCTGGTAAGGTCGTCCTTCCAAAAATAGGAAGCTTCAGCTTTGGTAAAAGAGGCGAGGTCATTTCAATGTTTGTAGGTTGATGTAAGGTAATGTGACTAAAACCTTTGAATTTGACAGACATATTTCGGATCTTGACTGGCTTAGTGAGAGTAAATCTTACTTCGCCTTTTAATACACGTGCTGGTTCATTTGTATTATCGAACTTTGCTGGACCAATGAAATCTAGATAACCTTCTGTTGGCTCTATTTCTATTGATTTGAAGCCATCCTTCATATTTATAAGCTTTAATTTTATTGATTGGAAAATGGTATAGACTGTAAATAAGAAAAAAAGAGAAAAGAAAAATAAATAAGTAAACAGCTATCTAATTTTTTTAAATGTGATACGGACATTATGTTTTTGGGATAAAGAAGAAAATTATAAAGAAAGGTCGCACTTAACTTTGGTCAAACATTAATTTTTTTAATTTTCTATTTTGAGTTTTGTCTTTTTATTTATTGTTTGAATCTCGAAATGAAGCTCGTGTTAGCATGCCTATTCACTTTAGTTGTGCTAGAAGCTTACTTAGCCCCATTCACAAAAGTAGAAGAAAGTTTCAACCTTCAAGCAACTCATGACATTATACATCAAGCTTCCCACTACGATCATTTGGATTTTCCCGGTGTTGTACCGCGTACTTTTCTGGGTGCTACGATTTTAAGCTTGATAGGCTGGCCATTTATTCATTTTTTTCCCCTGTCACCTATCGACGAACAAGTATTAGTTCGTATTATACTTTCGGCTGGCGTTGTATTTTCCCTCGGTAAATTTGCCTCCGGAGGTGTTCGTTCTTTATTTGGTTCTTTTACTGCTCAAATCACCATAGCTCTTTTGGTATGCCAATTCCACCTCGTGTTTTGGGCGTCTCGCACTTTACCAAATATGTTTGCGTTGCCATGGGTTATGATGGGCTTGTCTCATTGGCTGATTAGTTTGTCTCAAACAAGCGGTCGCACGTATCACATCGAACAAATGATTCGGTTCCTGACATTTTCTGGGATTATTTTTAGATTCGAAGCTGGAATTATGTTGGTCATTTTGGTGGGCACGGAATGGCTTTGCGGTAGTATTACATTGGGAAATAGCTTTAAGCAAACAATTGTAACTGCAATTATTAGTTTAATTATTTCTGTACCACTAGACTCTTTCTTCTGGAATGAATGGGTATGGCCCGAGGGTATGGTTTTTTACTTTAATGCTATTCTTAACAAAAGCTCTGATTGGGGAACCTTACCATTCCATGCGTACTTTCTGTCATTTTTACCGCGTCTATTATTAATATCATATCCATTATCGATTATCGGTTTCTTTTTGGACTCGCGTGTTCGCCGAATGCTATCCCCAATGATTGTTTATATCCTTATTTTCTCGTGTTTGCCACACAAAGAATGGAGATTTATTATTTATACTATACCTGTGTTTACTGCCGCCGCTGCCGCTTCCGTTTCTTCGGTTATTACAGCCGCCCATCGTTCTCAGATCCAACGTGTAGCATCAGTGGCTATTGTTTTGGGTGCCCTCGCTTCATTCGCTATTTCTATTATCATGTTCCAAATTTCACGACTTAACTATCCTGGGGGAGAAGCTCTTTACACTTTACATGAAATCGAGAATAATACACCTTATGTCAGTGTTCATATGGATGCAGACACGGCCATGACAGGTGCTTCTCTTTATGGTCAGTCCAATCCTCACTGGTCATACTCCAAGAATGAGTCACATAGCTCGGAAGAGGACTTTCTTAAAGCACACTATACACACATTATTACCTCCACACCCGAAAAATTTGATAAGTCTATATTTGAAGTGATTGATCAAACCTACGGACTTGATAAAGTCTCACTGAAATCAATCTCAGAATATATGAAATCTCTTCGGTCGATGGATATATCACCTATTTCATTCAAGATGTCACCAAAGCTATTTACGCTCAAGTTGATTCAGCCTCAAAACAATTTGGATTGAATTTACCGTACGCAAATATCCTGTTGTGCTTTATAGCAAGACATAGGTACGTCTTTCAAAAAATAAAAGTTTCTGTGTTTTTAAGTTACCGATACGCGATTGTCCCTCTTTGCGTTGTCTCTTTCTTTTGTATTATTTTGTTTAGTAGGATAAAAGGGAAAATGGGTGAGTTGGCCATCTTTGTTGGGATTAGCTTTAGAGTCGAAGGTAAGATACAGCCTTATTTTGATGGTAATTGAGGGTAATGGAAGTCTGTTTGAGTTGAAGAATTTGAAAAGTATACAAAAACATTTATCACTCGTTGTTTGTACATTCATTAAATTGTACAGTCCTTCTAGTTGTGCACGACAGCAACTACTCTATCAAGCTACTACTTATTTTAAAAAAAGTAACCCTTGTTACGCTCCTCGCCCATTACTGATATATCTTGCCGGAAAATCTGTCTGCTACGAAAGTCTAATGACATTAGTCTTTGTAAGCATTATGTGGAATTGTATAACATGATTATTTATCGCTGACTTCAGTCTTTAATAACTTAATGAGTCATTTTACGCTCGATTTAGAAGATGATGCTTATACAGATTACGCGAAGACGGAAAAGCAACGGACAAAAGGTATGCACATCTTGTATTTGTTACATCAATACCTTGGAGCAAAATTGATGAAACCACACTCATATTCAACTATTGTGAGTAACCCATGTTTGTCATAAAACGGGAATTAAATCGCATGAAATTAAAGCGTATAAAATTAAAGCGCGTGAAATTAAAATCTAATTTCTGCAAACTTTCAGTCTATGTCAAAGCGGAACTAAACCTTTTGTAAATAAAATGTTCTCAAAACATCGAAGATCGGCGAACTGGTCACTATAATATTTAGTATATGTAAATTTCATATGTAAAACCCTTATCTATCTAATTTTTATAATTAAAAGAATGTGAATAGTTCTAAGTGTCTTTTATTGACTGTGTGTATTTCGTTATCAGCGTACAAATTTGATAAATGACAAATCATATAAACAAAGGTAACACATATTTGCTGACGATGTCTTGGTAGCCATCAATATATATATAATCTGTAACATTAAAAATAAAGTGTGTACACAAATGAATACACATCATGACATTTTTTCTTTGTGCTCACTTTGATGTTATTGCATTAATAGGCTTCTTCTTTTTTTTTTTAATAAAGTGGGGAGAAATTATCTTTTTATTTTTAATGTTACACGGGCGATCCACTGTATTACTACGGCGCATGTTTGATTAAATTTAAGGCTAATCATTATGTCTTACAGCACGATCTGGTCAAATACATCAATTTCATATATGCGGCAATAAACCGTGTTCTATTTTGGATTAATTTGGATTTATAATTGATGTATGTATGGAAAGGGGAGGGAAATGGTTGTGTATAATGTATATGATTTTCTATAAGATAGTGGCCTATTTTTTTTCTGAAAAATGTATATATAGAAAGAGAAGGGGGGTTTATGTATGTATAAAGGATGAAAAGAGATCTACTCGATATCATTTGTGGAAGTGGCAGGAGTGGTTGTATTTGAAGGTGAAGATTGAGCTAATAAAAACATAATGTAAATAAAGTAAAATAGAACGAGTATCAATCGAAAGACCTACTATATGTGTTTAAAAAATCATCCATATTAACAAAATCTAAACCATTAGTATCATTTTCGAACCCTAACTCTGTAGCAAGTGATTTTAAACTAGATTCTAATTCTTCCGCTGCTGCTGCAGAAGAGTTAATCGGGGTACCGACAACGGGTGTATTGTTTGGAGTTGCTGCATCTGGGATATGTGACATGAGTGATGCTTCGTTGAACGACTCGCTCTTATTGAAAGGTTCGTTCTTAGTGAAAATCTCATTCTTAATGTAAGATTCATTCTTGACGTATGGCTCACTCTTGATGTACGACTCCTTTTTGATATATGGTTCGATGGACGAGGATGTTGGTACATCAAAGTAACTGCTATTTGTCAATTGGTTGAATAATGCTGGGTTTGTTTGTGCCAAACTGACCAAGCCCTGAAATTGGGGTAAATTAAGGAGCGATGAGAGGTCAGGCGTATTCGAATGACTATTGGAAACAATATTGTGCTGTGTTGTATTAGTATTCAAATTTGGTGCTGTTACTATAAGCAAACAAAAATATTAGTAATTAAGCATAAACAGTTTAAAGTCTTATGTACCCAATGATGCCGCCGTTGCTTTCTTTGTTTGATCATTAAGTGCAATTGCAGCTGCAAGGTCGGCAGTTGCGGGATTTGGTGATGGGGAATTGGAAGGAGAATTAATCTGGTTGATAGTAGGCGGAAGGGAAACGTCATTCACAAATTCAGAAATATCGAATTGTGGCGAGGGACGCGAATATTCGGAACTCTGTTCCTCACTCTCTTCGTCTACATCTTCAATTTTGCTGTATCTTCTCTTTTTTTCATTGTTCACGTTGTTATCTGTGACGTCGCCAAGCAAAAATCTTCTTTTACGAGGAATTACAACGTGCTTATTTTTATCGCTGGAAAATACAGAGGCTAAAAACCTAAGGATTTTGTCAATCGTTTCTTGGTGTCTATGATGTCTTTCTCTTGAAGCGACGTTTTCTTGCCATAACACTTGATTATCAGTTTGAACATTTTTTAATTCATTACTGATAGACATTTGATGCTTTTTGATGGCAGCAATTTCATCCAGAATATGGTGAAGGTCTACTGTACCGGTCTCTTTTTCCTCAGAATCTCGACCTTTCTTTCTGGTAACTAATAACAATAAATCAGGCTGATTACGCTGGAAATGGGGATTACTAAATTCCCAGCGTTCTGTTTCTCCCTCAGTGCTAAGTACGCCATTTTGAAGGTGTGGTACCTTGTGAAATCCATACATGTTCAATTGACGTACAAAGGAAGAAAAATTGCTATGCTTAAAAAACCGAGGCAGAACCTTTTTAGCAAACTCTTCATGACGAACAACAATAAAAGAAAGGCCGTCCTCTGACCACCTAATCAACTCATCTGTAGTATGATCATCTACCATGCTATTCTAATATTTTAGACTCGGCAAGTCAATGTTAAAAAAAAACCTTACTTGTATAACTTATTTAAAAATGCCGGAACATTTTGTAGCTTGTTTCTTTGAATTTGACTAGGGTTCATAACCATTTTTGCTGATGTTGAAGCTGTGGTAGCAGCAGAGGGTCTATGAACAGAGTTTGCCGTTTGTGTTGCTGGATTAGGGGCAATCGAGCTCAGCAAAGGTGCAATCGAAGCAGGGATTTGACTCATTTTGTACTTGTTGAAAGATAAAGTGATATAAATATAAAAAAAAGTGCGGCGCCTCTTTTATTCGTTATTTTAAACGAGTAGAAAATAATTGCTATTGACAAACAATGATGGAAAAGCCTTCAGTTCTAAAAAAATCTTCACACTTGGGGCGCTGAGTACAAAGTTCACACTGCGATTAAGCCGTAAAGCAAGTCACGAACCCCTCCTTTTGTGCACTTCTACCTTTGCTCAAGAAGTATCCTGCATTCATTGTATGTCGGCATATACACTTTCAAAGCGTAGTTATATTGTGCTTCTTTTATTTACCTAGCTTAAAGTGGTTAAAATTGAGGTCATTTATCTCCACGGGCTGATAAAAAACGAAACCAATAACGAAGAGGATCCCCAAGAAAACTTGAGTTGATGAAAAATAAAAGGGAACTTTATCGATATAATGAACTCATAAAAAGATGTATCGACTGTTACTATTCCTCAAGTATTATGTGTTTAACCGATACAATATAGTATAAAATGCCGATATACATTTAATGCAGGGCACTTCTCAAGAAAAGAATCAGCTGCACAAAGAAAGTGGTTTGTCTCTTGCTTTACGTATCAAGTGCAGTGCCAACTTTAAATAATTACATAATATTGTAGGCTCTTCTATTCTTTAAAAGTAACTATACACTATTTAACTTTGATAGCAGTGTCATTAATAGTCGGCTTAAAATATTCTAATTCCCAAGGGATTGTAGGTATATGTCTGGTAGCTAATGACATTTTAAAGACTTTCCGTGCACATACAACAACATATTGTGATTATTCTCAAAGTCTGAAATGGTTTTAATATTAAACTTTTGTGATTATTATTTTAAGAGAAAGGGAATTGAAGATTTTTAAAAGAAAAAGAAAAATAATATAGTAATACTGCTGTACATAGAGGGAAATTTACAACCAAGGCATCCAAGTACACTCCATCTGAGCCATCTTTTGGGGATTACTTGCTTGTGATATTAAATCGATAACATTTTGATTCAAAGGTTTGCCGGCGCTAAGAGTTTTTTCGCGATCAGCTTTACATGACAAGAATTGCGCCTTAGTCTGTACTTGAAGGACATTGGTATTGATTCTTTCACGGAATTGGGCGTCTGTAACAGAGCGATGATTAGCTAAGTGCCATGTCGCCAATTCATCTCTGACAAATAAACATAGATATTGGTCCAATTCGAATTCAGGTTCGGTTAAGCAGCGTGCAGTTGCCATTAAGCAACTAGTAAACAGGCCCTCGATACCAATAGGAGTAATAAATTCTTGGATATTGGGTGTAAATCTAAAGGGTATAGCCTCGCCATTACCGAATAAGGGATTTGCTGCATTCCAACCTAAAAATAAAATTTTGTTTAGCTTTCTTACCATTCTTTATTCTATGTTTAGTATCTAGAAAATTACCTGGTAAAAGTTCAGTCATCCAGACATTACCAGTACTACGAGAAATCATGATTTTATGGGGCATTCTGTGACCCACACTGAAGATGTATGCCATTAAAGTTGCAGTAGCATACTGAGCAGTAAATCGCTTACGGAGCATCCAATAATCTGTGTAAGAGCTCATAGTTTTGAATAGATACTATACGATTAAAAAGTAAATTATCCAATTTTTCCAAAAAAAAAAAAAAAAAAAAAAAAAAAAAAAAAACGCTTACCTTGCTAAGAATATTGGAAGGAACCATATTGGTGGAGATGTAATCGTTGATTTCCATACGTAAGTTCAATAATTCAGTCTTTTGATTAACAATCTGTTTTTTTTAGAAAAAAAAAAATGGGTCAAACATTCCTGATTAATCAAATAACATATCCACTTACATCTTTCTGAGCATTAATATTATTTTTAAACTTTTCGACGAAGTATACCAAGGGATCATCCTTATGCATGTGAACACTATCACAATGGTCTTCGTAGATGTCATACAGGGATGTGTATGAAGGATCATCCTGTACCATTCTGACATTAGGAGCAAGAGGCACGATAGCGGGTAGGTGGAATACTAAATTTCGCATTCTACTTTGTTTTCTTCGTTCTAAAATATAATTCAACATACGGAATAGCTGCATGAGTCTTTCTTCTCTACGAAACTGACGTGCGACGGGATTCTGGATCAAGAAGGGATGAATGGTACCATCATGACCACGAATGGTTAGTCGACGGTAGCAGTTTCCATAACTACGAATAATTTCAACTTCTGGTAAGAATCTGTCGATACGCAAAAAGTCGTTAGCATTATCTTTAAGCATCAGGTATTGACCAGGAATCTCTACATCATCAAACTTCTGATGTTGAAATTCAACAAGATAATGACTAGAGGCTTCCAATTTATGTTTGCGAGGACGAGCATCCAACATAGCCTCAAATTTGTCTCGCCATAAACGTAATTTTGCTACATATTCTTCTAAATTCAATTTAGCTTTAGCAAAATCGTTAACGAATGCTGTCTTCATATGTCCGGGATATAAACTATCAGCGAATCTGTGTATATTGGCCACAGTAGCATGCGTCAGTTGAAATGTATCGGTAGGATTGGTCAATCGAGTTAGCAATTGCTACATAAGTTTTTAGTATAATCATGTTTAGGTTGTATATTTAATTATTACCTGAGCTCCTTCGTTGTATAACGCCACCACTAATCTATACATGTCTTCGTCTGCTTGAGGTTTGAACTTTAACTGTATTTGGTCAACCATAGTTTCCATAGACAAGGCCAACAACGGATATCCCGTCTTCAACATGGACATAATTTCATCTAATGGACTAGCAACAGCAGGTGTAGGATTAATTTGAGTCGGTAAAGGACCTCTGTTACCAGTAGCGTTGGCGAAATTGGATTGTGGGGGCACAGAAGTGGAGGTACTTTCGCTTGCATTACTGATAGCAGGGGAAGGCTGAGCCATAGCTGGTGTCCCTTCTTTTTCGTTGGCTATTTCTTCCATTTTAATTGAAACAGGATCACTAGAATCATCTTCTTTCTTCTCTCCGGTTACGCCCATAGATTCATCTTCTGCTTTAGGCTCTTCATCAACTTCCATCGACTCTTCTTTTGTTGGGGAGGCTTGAGATGTGGCTGTTGTAGTTTCTTGTTGCGCTGCTTCAGCAGCCATGCTGGCTTGTAAAACGCTGGCACGTTTTAGCATATCTTCCTTAGCAGTCCTCAATTGGAAATGAAGGGCTTGAGGGAATTGCTTGGCAATACGAATCAAGATAGCACGGGCATGACGACCTTCTCGGTGTTGAAGCGCAGTTAGCAATTGAGGAATAAATGTTATCCAATACCATACAGGCCATTCTCCCTTATAGCCTTCGACAGCACGAGAAATAGTTCCATTTTGATCATCTAAACTTAAAAGCCAAAGAATTCGCAAAAGATGTTTACGAGCCTTTGCATTCTTATAAAGTCCAGAAGCTTGCAGATAACAACTGACGGCACTGTTAGCCCATGATAAGTCCTTGGGATTCTCCTTGAAACGACGGTCATTATATCTGCCCCATTCCGCCCATGCACGAGGTAGTGTCATGTCGATTTGGACAGCATTAACGTACGCTTCATTTGCCTCGTTGTTGTGGTGTAATTTTGCCAAAAACATACCCTTGAGAGTGAAAAATTCAGCCTTTTGTTGATGTGTAAAATACATGAGATTGGTATTGTTGATAACATCAAGGCCAGCAGTTAATTCGTTAGGATTTTGATAATAGCATTTTGCTTGTTCACGTAGCTTCAAGAACGCTTCTTGAATTTCAATATTTGGAAGGGTATAGATCTTGGTGAGATAATTTATACAAACATCGTAAAGGTGATGTTTACGAGCAACATGAGCGAATCGGTTGATAATCCAAGCTGTTTCGTGGTATCCACGGTAGGCATATGAGTGTCCACTACTTGCACTAGTTTGACCGGCTGCTGGTTGTAATAAAGGAATCAATGGAAGGTACGTTCTGTTAATCGCACTAAATATATGTTGTCGCCATGCTACTAAATCACTCCATACATTAATATCATCCCACATGTTCGGTAAACGTTCACGCCATGTTCCTAAAATACTGCGAAGTTCTGCTGATCTTTGGTCCAGGTTTTGAGCAGTTGTACTAGACAGGCTTTTGAATATTTGACTAGCTTCAGAAAGTTCCAGATACTGTTGAAATGTTTGTAATAAAGGAAGATGGCTTTGGGTAACTACAGCAGGTAGAGAATGCCATTTACGAAGTGCTAGCTGTACACCTTCTTCACAGATTCGAGTAAACTCGGGGAGCTTATCTTGACTAGTTTGAGACTTGATGAGAGACAAGAAACCTTCAAATACCTTTTGGCGAGGAGCAGGGAAGTCAGAGATTTGATGTAAGGATTGCTCCAACAATTCTCGCTCTGCAGTCCAGTCCGATAACCTCCAAGCACACTCCAGAAGCAAGCCGGTGTTATTGTCGTGTTTAGCCAGATCTGATAAGATATCCCATTGCTGTAATTTTTGAGTACATATGATCCAATGATCCTCCCACAACATACTCTCGGATTCGGTATGAGCCAATACACCACTACGGGCTTTGATTTGAATATTTTCATACATGTGTTGCGCTTGTTGCCACATACCACATTGTTCGCAAGAAACAGTCATATTTGTTTCAGAGTATACGCTGCGACGACGCCATAGACCATATAGCATATCATCTTCATTTAAGGAAGAATACATTTCTGCAAGAGAATCCAAGGTACGTTGCTGGTTTACTTGTTCTTCTTTGGGGACATCGATTAATCTTCCGGTAATCACCTGTTTCTGAAGCATTTCAATAGCTGTATGCCAACAATTGTGAGTCTTTCCCAGATACTTGATCAGGTGAGAAGGTAACTCAATTGTGGGGGTTGTATTCGATATACCAGTCAGTAAGGCTTGTATGACATTTGGTCGACGCTCTGACTGCTTAGAGTGATAATCTTTAGAAAGTAGCACGGTCAAAACTTTGGTAATGTCATGGCGCTCCACGCTTGAAAGGGCTGTCCAGCACATGGGGAATAAGTCGACCCAGAGCTTGAATGCTGTATCATCATCCAAATATTGTAATTGGCGTATGTCATCCAAAGTATCTCTAAATTGACTTCCTTGCAAGTTCTTTAAAAATTCCCGATGCTTTTGAATCACATTAATTACATCCTCTGGTACTACTGCATCAATGTTCATTTGGGACAATTCTTCTTCGTTCGCAAAAATACCGATTGGCTTTACTTTAAGCGTATATGGTGCAGAGACATGCGTATCGATTTTGACAGATCCGATCAATAAATCCAACGCTTGATGTAACCAGAACGAATTGGCTAAAGGTTCCCAATTCTGTACACCTAAAATGTAATTTAAACGAGTTGATAAAGGCCGGCTGATGCTTTTGTCAAAAATATCCATAAACTGTGCTCTGATAATGGGATTTTCGTTTCGTGTACCCAGTAAGAATGCTTGTTCCATGCGTACTGTTAACTCAGATCTAGCAAATGATGGGTTGCTATAAATTTTTAGCACTAAACTTAAAAAATCCTCTGTTAATTTAGCATTGTGTCGGGTCTCTATTGTCATCATTTTTCCAAGAAGACCGGCCTTTTCCTTGATAGTAGGAATTGGTTCCACCTTTCCAAGCACCCATTCACTAAGCATATCAAGAATATTGCGTAAAAGCTGGATATCAGGTGACTTTTCAATTAACTGGATAAGACATGTCAAGAACCAACGACGCTGATCTCCTAAATGTGCGATACGTTTCTTCAGGAGAGAGAGTCCTAATATTAACAGGCTAACTTGCGATTCATATGACATACTGGGTGTAGAATGAGATGGTAGCGTGTGCTCTTTAGTCAATAACTGAAGCATTTTTACTATACCAGGTACATAAGGATCCAAATATTCACTTTGGCTACTACTTGCTGCTTGCAATAACTTGAGGACACTGTAAATATTGGTCATATTGGTTAACCCCTCCTTAATGGTGGTATCAATCAATGCCATGAAATTGACTACTTCGGGTGATTGCTCAGGCTGAGGTGGCAATGCTGGTGTGGGGGTCACCTCTTCTGTATCTTCGTCCATCGGTTGTACATTATCGACGGGTGTTATAGGAACAGGGGGAGCTAAGCTCATCTTGTTCTTGTTGACTGCCTCGATAATACGAACTAGAACAGGGTATAATGCAGTTTGTATACGTGAGTTTTCAGACTTTATACTAGCTTCAAGCAATCGATAAAGTGAGCCCATGTTAGTAATAAACCAGTCTGTATCTCTATAGGCAATATCAGCGTTTAAGATTTCCAATGCGTTACATACGCTAGATGCGATCATTTCATTGGCCTCCTTGAAAATAAGAGAACGCTCTAAATGGTTAAAGCGGACATGAACATCACCCCAAAGATCAGGCTTCAAGAAAGACTTTACAAGTTCGATTGTTCGCTGAACAAGTCGCTTCTGAATCATATCGGATGGGCTAAATACCATGCAAGAGAGACGTACAAGGTAACCAACCACATTTTCTCGCAACGTTAAACTTGGTGAATATTCTTTGCTATTCGGTTTAAGACCTTGTGTATTGACTGTCTTTAAATCGCCATTGGATGTTTGAACTTGGGCTTTCTTGGTTGGGCTATCCGCTTCATCTGCTTCATCGTCAATATCCATTTTACGCTTCGAACTAGAAGAGGAAGTAGGTGATAAAGGTTCATTATTAGTCTCCATATCGATACGTTTTTGTTCCCATTTGATGATCAATTCGGCCAATTCAACGGTCAACGTCTTGTGTTCCGGTGTAGCATTTTGAAGCAATCCGAGCTTGGGCAATGTATTCACAATTTGAGGTAAAAAGTGTTCTCTGTATTCAAAGAATAGATCTGCGTGTCTGATCAACAATTGGTAAACATTAACCATTTGTGAGATACTATGAGTGTCCTCTACTACTACTTTTCGTGTTAATCGGACCCAAGTAGGTACACGGTCATTCCCTTGAGATGCGATGCGGAGTGGAAGCACGGGTGCAATGATATCCAAACCTTGTTTAACAAGGATACGGGCTTCGGAGGAATGAGCACGTAAGAGAGCAGCATATATCTGAATGGCAATTTTACTAGGAGTATCATAAGCTGCGATAAAATGAGCGATCAGAACATAGGCAGCTTGTTTGCTCGTAGCATCTTCAAGACGTAAATAATTCCATCCAAACTTGATTACTTCTTTTCGTCGATCAGCCAGTAGTTGCGGTGCATATTGAACAATCATGGCAGTCATTTGTAATAATTCGATACGAAGTGAGTCTTCTGTGTATTGGTTATCTTCAGAAGATTCCATCATCAAATTCGCCCAGATTTTCTGGTCTAATAACTCCATCATACTGGCATCTAAAATTTCTGTGTATTGCTCATCCTTTTGTACAAACGTGGCTAACAAGGCTGGATTCACCACTTGACGCAAGGCCATCATTTTCATGTAGGATGTAGTCGATGTATCAGTAAACAAGTCCAAAAACTTTTCGAGGATTACTCTTTTTTGTTTAGTAGATGACTTTTGAGCGATATCCTCCAATAAAAATCTTTGTAAAAAGGAAAGATCAACTACGGATTCTTGTGCGAAGAGGGCCACCAAATCGAAAATAATATCAATTTCGTCAGGATTCTTTTCAAGGTATCCCACAAAGATTTTTGCTAGTAGTAACAATTCGCGTGTCACCATCAAACTCTGTTGCTCCTCCTCTCTCTGTTGTTGTGTTAATGATTTACTCTGTCTTTGTCGCCACAATTCCAATAAACAATCAAGGACTTCTCGATGAGTTGACAAAAATTCCGAATTGAAATTGACAAGTGTATATACAATCATGACACCACGGTAGTGAAGTTCAGAAGATGATGTACTATTCTCGGATTGGTCCACAATTTTGAAGGTTTTGTTGATTAATACTGCAGACGTATTGGATACTTCATCACGTAACCTTGATGCATTCTCGATGTTTAAAATGTCTGTAAATAATTGACAGCATTTGGGATCGTCCAGTTTTTCGTAAAAGTATGCAACCGTCTCCGTTGGATAACGAGTTAGGTATTTAATCAAGTTAATTCGGAACGGACTCGATACAGATCGACGCAAATGGCCCTCCATTTCTAAAACGACTGTAATCAACTCATCCAAGAAGATATGTGCCGCAGCAGGTAACAAATGAAAGATATTGAGGATGGCCACAATGATTTTAATTTCATGATTTTCACTGAGCGGTTTTCCTGCCGCTTCTTGAAGCACCTTGGGTTCCGCCCATTGCTTCAAATGATCCAGTAATTTTTTCCCTATCTCCACTTTAAAGTAATTGGTAAGTAGCTCCAGTAATCTAGCTAACCCTTCCAATCCCGCCACACTCAATGTTTTATGGTTGGAAAGTGTTGTCAAGATAGGTCGGAGACCTTGCTGCAGTAGTTCCTTTGGCAACTTGTGTTGTTGAGCTAACACCTGTTTTAATCCTCGATGTGCTGCTTCCACAACCTCTAAAGATTTGGAATAAAGTGACTTGAAAAATACTTGGATAATTCGTGCACGGGTATGAGTTTGTCTTTGACTAGAGAAATCGGAGCATGCTAATGCAGCTGATAAAAGCTTGATGCATACAATACGTAAATTCATCAAAGACGTTGTATTTTTGTACTGGGAACTTCGACTGACAAGTGCTTGATCTTCTGCGTCTGCTAATGCAAGTGCTTCGTGTAACAATCGTGTCAATTCATCGTTAAATTCCAGAAAAGGTGGTCGTAACGTTAAACAATATGTGATGGCATCGATATGTCCAATTTGCATGGCAAAAGGTAATGCGCGTAGAGGTTTTGCAAAGATGGGTGCGACCAATCGTTCACGTACGGGTGCTAAAAGCTCGGTCACTTCGTTTCCTGTTAAGTCTGCTAATAATTGGAAAGACGATTGAATTGTTTCACGCACTGCACTGTTGGAATTCGACAATTCGCTAAGCAAAAGTGTGATTAAGTTTTGGAACTTTTGCTGGGCTTCTGCGGATTCACCATCTTCAGGTCCATTGCATACTTTTAAGACATGTGATAACGTCTGGGTAGCTTCCTCTGTATTGACATTAGCCATTTCAGGCGAAGCATCCTTTAATACGAACAACAAAGATCGAATGAAATCCAGTTCGTGTTCACGCATCCACTTCGTACCCATATCCAGTTGAGAACTCATAATAGAAATTCCAAGACATCCACCTCTCTTCTTGAACCATTCAGGTTTGTAACAACATGAGCAAAATTGGGAAGCAAAGACACGGAATATGGGCAATTGATCAACATGTTCTTTTGAACCAAATATCGTCACTGCCACATCGTAACATGCACGCAGTGCTTCTTCACCTCGCTGGCGCAACTGAATTTGTGATGAAGACATGATTTCAACAATAGCCTCTACCAGAATCGTTGTATTTAAGTGTTGTACTGTCAATCTTTCGTCCATCATATTGGCTAACGGCTTGCGACCATTCTCTTTCGCTTCTATGGCTTCGCCAATATGCAACAAGGTGAAATGTCGACAGATATTCAAAAAAAATGTCCACGCATCATCACTTAATTCAGTAATGATCGACGCTGTCATGACAGAAACCAAAATAGAACGAAGTGCTTCCTCTTGTGCAACTCTTTTAGAGACATATTTCGTATACCCATTACCAGCCAGTCTTTTCGGTTTCATGCCTGTTTCATTTAATGTGTTCCCAACCACCGAATTATCCTCATCGACTGTGATACGGCCCAAACTTTGTGTGACGAGTGTAGGTGCTGTGCTCGATTCCTCTTCATCTGGTCGGTCTACAAATTGTTCCTTAACTCTTCTAAATAACGATACGGCTAGGTCATCGGGTCCTTCATCCAATTCGAGCATAAGAATAAGGTGGGTTTTTAAAAAGTTGTAGGCATGTCGTTTGTACACAATGTCTGTACTGGAAGACTCAAGTGCGTGTATCGCAATATCTAAACATTTATCCAGTGGAAGTGTGTGGGGCGTAGGACTTGGATCAAATATCACCTCAATCGAAACTCCACTTTCGATACGTGCGTTGAATCCTAACTTGGGCGGACTCTTGAGCATACGTCGATTACGGCCTCCCAATTTACCTAGAATTCGCATTGCAGCATGGCTATGTTGTTGGTTATAGGGTAATGGCTTCAAATGCTTCCAAAGCGCATCCATCAGCTCTGTCATTACGGGTGCCATGATGTGATCCAAGAATTCTGGGTTCAAATTATCATTGCATAATTCCATTGTACGTAAACCTTGTGATACGAGATCTTGATCGGCTTGAAGTGCGATCACCAGTGGTCGCATTAAATAAGGAAGATACGGTAACAAAGTACTTAAACGTACAGGTACAGCCAAACAAAGTTCTACAAACAGGTTTCGCATATCCGTCTTATGAGCAAGTGATAGTAAAGAGTTGAGGTTTTCGAGAATGACTTGTAGTAACGGAGACACTTCTTTATAGAGTAACTCAAAGCGACCACCTCCAATACTTTTGAATAATGCCCGAAGTAAAAGGAAATAATTTGCAGGCTCCTTAGCCTTGGCTGCGAGTTTAAAACAGGACATGACTAATTTGGCGAGATAAGGTTGCAAGATGCTTTCGTTGGCGTCAGGGAATAAATTGACGGCCATGAAAGCTAATCGGAACAAATGAAGCATTACTGCGGAATAATGCAAACTATCTTCTCCTAATTGATCGATGCGGTCCACCAAGAATCTAAACAATATACCAGCAAATCCTTGTGTGGTTATTTCGTTGACTAAAAAGTATTGTGATAAATGTAAAAGTGATGTATTGATCAGCATACGGTCATAGAAAAAATCGATTTGTGAAGCGAATAATTCTTGAAAAACAGCAGGGTCCAACAAGGTAAAAACGATGGGGAAGGTATCCAGAACTTCCTTTTCGCCGTTTTGTTGTAGATTTAGTTTTAAGCATGTTTCGGTAGATCCAATTGTCCAATTATCTTTAGTTTTTTCCTCTCCTGGTGGAGAATAATCGGGCGGGGAACCATCTGGTCCATAATTATCCACATTGTAATACTCGAAACATCGTAAGCCTTCTCTAAATAGTCGAACAAATAATTGCACATCGTCTTGAGAAAATCCTCTAGCAAATTGTGCGTAAATTTGTGCATTGATGTCCTGTCCTGGTGGCGGTGGTGGGTTACAATGTCGAAGACCGATAAATAGTGGCTTTAAACCAATTGCTAAATTTTTAAAGAGGAATCGTCCGTCCTTGATGCCATCCTGTGTTGCTTCAGGTAAAGAAGAACCGGTATGAATTGAACGAGCACGGTCGAAATCGAATTCTGTTGACTCCTTTTTCTTTTTGTATTGTTTTACACATGTGTCGAATTGTGTGTTTAATGCTTCAAATTTGCTGGCAAATGCATCCAAAATTCGCATTAATAACTTTCGGCCTTCGGCTTTGTCAGTAATTTTCATGATGCAGTCAATTAAATTCAGCAATAATTTGCCGCACATTGTCTGGATGCTGGGTGCTAATGTAGCATCATGAAGGTTACGTGAATAGATATAAATGGTTCTGGAAAGTTGGGTTGCGGATAATTCTGCTCGAATATGATGAATAAGATCTGCGAGCATGCTATATGCTAAAGGTCTACAACAATCTACCGTCAGCCTCTCTCTCTCTCTTTTTTTTTTCTTTTTTTTTTTTTTTTTTTTTTTTTTTTTACACACAAGTTGTATGCTTTCTTTCTCTCTTTCCATACCTTAAAGTATCATGTGCAGTAACGCCTGTTCCGATTAATACCTTTTCATTTAATAACAAGTCAATCTTGGGGACAAATGAAGTTCGAAAATCTGTGGAAAGTATATGACGAGTAGCAACTAATAATTCTTTTCTCGTTGCTGACGATTCCGCTGGACATTCTCGTAATAATCGCAAAACAAAGTCGGGAATTTGGTGTTGATATGGTCGTAATAATGTTGTATAACTTCTTAGGATGTAAGCCAAAAATGACATGGTTTTAACTTGAGCTACGATAAATTCGTTATAGAGACTGCGTTGTTTGATGGCAGGACTGACACCCACAAAAACTTCTCCACGTGCAAGCGCAGCATTGGCAGCTTCCATTTGAGGCTTTGCTTGTAGGCTGAGGGTCTAGATAGAAAAATTAAGTGATTTAGTAATTGATAAAATTAGGTACAGCATATATCAATTACTTGAAAAATGAGTGGGATGAATTTCATAATATTATCAGCAGCAGATCGCCTGTAAGATTGAAAGAGTAAAACGACAATAATTGGGCATTCTGTCAAGACTTTGAAACTAAACATGCTCTTGGCTAAGACTTTTGTGGGTACTTCTGGTGTATCTGCTGCAGGAGACATTGGTCTAGGAGAAGCGGCGGAAAGAGGCTACAGCAACAACAACAACAAAAATATGTTAGAATTGGAATTGGACGTGAGAACTAAACATGTTATATCGCTATTACTGACTGTGGTGATTTGATCAGGATTATCAAAGGAGTCCTTCACTGTTTGTTCCATATTTTGAAATATCTCTTGCACGATATCTAGGAATGGTTGAACTTGATCTTCCAACACTTGTCGAAATGATCGATGCAGGTCAATAATAATTTTTACACAAACAACAGCATTATCTTCATTTTCAACGCGTAAAATCTTCATCAATGCTTTGCATAATTCTGGGACATATTCTTTTAACGCTTCGGTTTGAGGTAAGCGATAAATTATCTCCAAAATAATATTTCGTAATTTCTATTTTTTTTATAAATTAGACAATGAGGTTGCTTTGGTGATGTAGAACTTTGGAGCGGAGGACTCGTTTTTTTCCTACATGTAAATAAGGAAAGATAAGGGGTAACAACTTACTTGTTCGGGAGCATTACTAAGGAAGACGGGTTGTTCGTTTTGTAAAATATCAAGGAACACCGGTATAAGCGTTGACAGGAATTTAGGGTATTCTGCTGTTTGGAATACCTCTACTTGATCTCGCAACTCATTAGCAATGGTGACCTTTAAATTAATCGCTATCATAATGTGGTTAGTTTCAACATTAATTTGTTTTTTGCGCGTAGTCGTGTACCTAAGTTAGAGTCGCCCAGTCTATGAGCGTAGACTTGTAACGTCGTCATATGTTTCTTCTTTCTTTAACTGTAAATGAACTTGCTTTTGTGAGCTCTGTTGTAGTATTTTTCGTGTATGTTGGCGCAATTGTGTAGCCCTTTTTGTTTGTTCTTGATTTTGTATATACAATAAGTTTTTCTGTTACCTCAAGTATAACAGGTTGTAGAAAAAAAAAATAACGTTTTGAGTCTTTTTTTATTTTTTGGGATTGGTTGTATCTTTAAAGATGGTCACAGTTGACCGGACCGGACAAAAATCAATCTTTGTGAAGTAGGTGAAAATTACACACAAGCTGTCATTGTGCAGGAAGTGATCAGCACTGTTGTATAGTATTACCTCTGTGCCAATGCGTGTCAATGAATTCAGGTCCCCTTTCAATGTAGATCTTTTTTTTTTATTTTTGGTTTATACGCTATGATACTTTTATTTTCTTCTGCTTCCCTTCTCTTTTTTTTTTTTTTATTCTGATTATAGTAGATGTACCACCAGTCTGAAGCTCAACTGCCTGTGCACAGGGACGACAGTAGCTTTGTGCCGGATCAGTCTGCTGAGGGCCATTATGTTATTAGAAAAGAGGAGCACGATTCTGAGCATCAACATGAGCAATCACCGACTAAAAGTAGGTTTCTGTTATTAATAGGTCTTTTTTCTTTTTTCTTTTTTTGGTTACAAAGGTAATGCTCACATTGGAAAAACTTTCAGGAACTGGACGAGAAAAGATAAAGCATTATTTGTGCTGTATATGTTGCCCATGTCTACCCATGTGGGCAAGATACGGCTGCTGTGGCATCTTCTTATTATTCATCTTATTTCTGATCATTGTTGGTATACTAGCAGCGATATTTAAAATTCCAACCGTTGATTTTAACGGGCCCACCAGACATCCTGATGATTTAGCTCCGTTTACAAAATCAAATGATACCTTAGCATTTAGTGTAAATTTCGGGTTAAAAATTGCTATTATCAATGATAACTTAGAAAGCATTACCTTTGAATCCGTTCGCACTGTTGTATGTTTATTTTCATTTGTATAAAAAAGAGAAAAAAAAGAGAAAAATAGATAGACTAAAACTTCTTGTATATAGGCTTATTATCCTACAGCTCCTAATACTCCTGTAGGGGGTGGTGAGATCTATAATTTGAACATAAAATCGTATGGCATCAGTAACTTTACGTTTCCATTTTCAATAAAGTACGACCCTATGAGAGACGAAGGGTATGCTATGCTCATAGACATTGCTACCAAATGTGGTCTGCTGGGCGATACAAACAAGGAAGATTTACTGATACAATATGACATTATACCCACTGTGAGAATTGCGGGAATTGCGATATCTCCAGTGATACATCAATCATCGCATTTTCCATGTCCTATCTCGGTATGGAATTGATAATGCTTAAAGTATGATTATATTAAACCATCTTTTTTTTTAAAAATAGGAGGGACAGCTAACAATGGGCATGGAAACCAATGTGAAGGAAGAAAGCGAAGACAACGAAGAAGAAGAGGAAGAAGAATAAGGCAAATGCATGCAATCCTATACAGTGTATTATAAATTTTTATACGGCTGCATTATGTGGTTCAAGCTTTAATCTGTGAAATACGTTGTAATCCGTGAGAGTGTAATTATTATTATTATTTTTGCATAAACTACAATAAAAAAAAAGTCAATATGTCATGTGTAAGCATGAAATTCGGAACGGACTAGATTTTAGGCGAGGGTGTCTGTGTGTGTGTGAGAGTTTTTTATTTATTTTTATTTTCGCGACAAATAAATACGTGGTACTCAGCTTTTAAGAAAAACTTTTTTTTTACTATTATTATTATTCATTAAACACCATGGCTAACCAACATTTAACCGACGATTGTCTTTTCTGTAAAATTATCAGGTAAAACAAGAATATGTTCAAACTATAGTCTTTTGTGATTGACCTAGCCTATTTTCAGAGGCGAGATTCCTTCTTGTAAAATTGCTGAAACCGATAAGAGGTAATAAGACTGAACAAAAACAAGAGAGTCTCGTAAGGTGTATTAAATCCTTTTTACTCAGTTACTGCTTCCTTGACATCAACCCCTTGAGTGAAGGTCACGCTGTAAGTCTAGATTTTTTTTTTTTTAGTTGTTTGTGTCTATATATTTATTTATTTCTGTAATTAGCTTGTTATCCCCAAATGTAAGGCCCGGGAACAAAATTAGACACTGATTTTTTGATACTGATGTGTAACATTAGTTCACGCAGAATTCTTGCACCAAGTTCCAGATGACATTCTTGCCGATATGTTACCTTTAGCTAAAAAGGTTGCGCTTGCAAGTGGATTAGATGCCAGTCAATACAATATTTTGCAGGTATGATAGTCTTTTAAGTGAATGGTTCATGTATAGATGAATACTCATTGCATTTTTTCAATAGAATAATGGACCTTTAGCCCATCAGGTTTGAAATAAAAAAGAAAATATGCACATGAACGCATATGCTAACGAATACCAAAAAAAAAATAGGTTGTAAAACATGTTCATTTCCATATTATCCCCAAGCCTGATGCCAAACAAGGACTTCAAATTGGTTGGCCCCAACAAGTTATCTCTCAAGATGATCTCAAAACCACATTGGGCCGTATTAAGGAAAAGCTTTAAAAAAAAAAAAACCGTGTAAGGTCACCGTGTAAATCTTCATAAAACAAACATTTTGATTGGAGAAAACCGTGGGTAAAGTGACTGTTTCTCCACTTTTTTTTTTTTTTTGGAAAAAAAAAATAAATTTTGCCGAAAAAATTGTGTACCTTATTTCCCATAATGTATAAAAAGACATGTTTTTTACGATTGGGGGCATTTAGGACTTTTTTTCTCTTTTCCATAGATATTTTCAACAAATGTTTGCTTTAAGAAATTTGGCAAAGAAAAATGTTATTCAACCAGCTAGTCGGTTCATGAATTATCGATCAGTAATGATTAAAGGTGGTCGTACTGTTGTACCACAATCATCTTTGTTGAATCGATTCCTTTCTACTACTGCTGCCGAACAGGAGGAAGTCAATGATACATCCTCTAATAAAGATCATCATGCTGTTGTTTCTACTTTCGATCTCTTCTCAATTGGTGTTGGTCCCTCCTCATCTCATACTGTCGGCCCCATGAGAGCTGCAAAGATTTTTATTACGGATTTAAGAGAACACAAGGTCTTGGACAAAGTAGCATCTCTCCGAGTAGGTAAAGTAGCAATTTTATTTTATTTTTTTTTAATTTTTCTTTCTCTCTTGTATTTTGGCTATAAATAGAAAGCAGATAATTTACCTTCCCCGCACGCGGGCTATCTTTAATGCTTATCTATCTCTTTTTTCTCTCCCTTCTCCTATTTACGGAAATTTAATCTCATATCTTCTAGATTTGTTTGGATCCCTCGCTTTGACAGGTGTTGGTCACGGTACCCCGGAAGCAATCTTGATGGGTGTGGAAGGTGAAAGTCCTGATAAGGTAGAAACATCCACCATTCGTTCTCGTGTGAGTGACATTGAAACAAACAAATCCATTCGTTTGGATGGAACACATCGTATCACTTTTGATTATGAAAAGGACATGGTTTTCAATTTTTTCAAGACATTACCCCAACATCCCAACGGTCTTCGATTCTGTGCTTATGATAAGGATGCCAACTTGGTTGCTACTAATGAATATTTCAGTATCGGTGGTGGCTTTGTTGTGAATGCTGAAACTCAATTGGATCACGGTGAAAACGTCTATTACAAGCAAATTAACAAAAAAGACGCTGTGGTGGCTGAACGTCGTGAACAAGATGTGGCCGTTGTTTCTTTGCCTTTCCGTAACTCGGAAGAACTCTTGGCTGTCTGTAAGCGTGAAAACATGACAATCGCTCAAGTGGTCTTTGAAAACGAATTAAAGTGGAGTACTCCCGAAGCTATTCGAGAAAAACTACTTAGAATTTGGAACACCATGGATGATAGTATTCGTAACGGTGTCATGGCTTCTCCCGATGAATATTTACCCGGTTCACTTCGTGTACGTCGTCGTGCTCCCCGTTTATATAGTAAGCTCTTAAAGGGTTTGTATGGTGGTCCCTTAGTCTCTACAGGTGGAACTTATAATGCTTCCCATATATCCGCTGGCAAAGAAGAGGAACACCAATCAGTCTCTCGTGTCGATCCCGCTAATACCCAGTACCCTCTCGCTCTTTCTTTCTTGCCTAAAAAATCCAAAAAGAAGTTTGTTTTGCCTGCCCTTGATTATCTTTCTGTATATGCTATCGCTGTTAATGAAGAAAATGCTTGTGGTGGTCGTGTTGTCACTGCTCCCACAAACGGTGCTGCTGGTACAATTCCATCTGTTCTTAAATATTATTTAGAATTCATTTCCGACAACCCAGAAAGAGATGTCATGGAATTTTTGTTAACTACTTCCGCCATTGGTATGTTGTTCAAGCGTGGTGCTAGTATTTCTGCTGCAGAGATGGGATGTCAAGGTGAGGTTGGTGTTGCTTGCTCCATGGCTGCTGCTGGCTTTACTGCCGTTATGGGTGGTTCTGTGGATCAAGTAGAAAATGCTGCTGAGATTGGTATGGAACATAACTTGGGCTTAACTTGTGATCCTATCGGTGGTCTTGTTCAAGTTCCCTGTATCGAACGTAATGCTTTGGCTGCTGTGAAAGCCATTGCTGCTGCCCAATTGGCATTAAATGGTGAAGGTGATCATCGTGTCTCTCTTGATCAGGTCATTGAAACCATGCGTCAAACTGGTGTCGATATGATGTCCAAGTATAAGGAAACCAGTCAAGGTGGTTTAGCTGTAAATGTTCCCTTGTGTTAAACAATAGAAAACTCCCCTCCCCTCCACACATTCGCATTTCATTTCAATCATATTTTTTTCTTTTTTTTTTTCACATTTTTAAATACTTCTTCATAAACTTCTCTTACACAATGAAAACTTATTAGTAGTGGTATTTTTTTTTTTTTTTTCGTGGAGTGATTATGTCTTGGGAAAAGCATCATGAAATATCTTAATTTTGGTAAAAGCTTTTGACTAGTACATGGAGAATATAAACTGTTCAATTGGGACCTTTAGTAAGTAGCAAAAGTTCGCTAAATGTTCCTACATTGAAGAGTAATGATTCGGAAAAATCATGTCAATAACTTGTAATACATACGTCAGCGATTTACAAATATAATGTAAACTTGAATTGGAATATTTTCTCGTTGGAAACAAGCGTTCAACTAGATACTAATTTTGAGGAAGGCGATTTTCAAGAACGTAACTTGTAAGCTATCAATAGCACCACTTTTAACACTTGTTTACAGTAAATTACTCCAATAATAGCTGTATCATCTCGGTATCACTTTCATATTGTCTAGCTACTGTTTATGCAACCGGGTTTTCACAGGAAAATCTGGATAACTTTTTAGTGTTACCTTGACCGCCCGCGAATATTTTATGACCAACTGACACAATAGTAACTAAATCAAGCAGTGACATTTTAAATTTATAAGACCCTAGGAAATGTAAGGGGTTTCCCCTTACCCTTTATTCTTTGGCACCTCATGACGTTTTTCCGCCTTCATTTAAAATTTTGCAGAAAAAAAAATTCAGTTTCTTTTAAAATCAAATTATTCCGGATGTTGTCATAGATAGAAACCTAAACTATCGAAACTAACCACTGGAAATGTATTTATAATTAATTGGACAAAACAAAAAAAAACAACCATGGAATTCATATTTGTAAAAAGGTTTCTGCATTCTCACATCTAGTCCCGTTGTCCAATCAAAAGTCTAAAACGTGATAAACACGTGATGATTACGTAAGTTTTTTTTATAACATGCCTATAAATATTTTATAATAAACTACAAAATCATCAAATACCGATCTTAGCTCAGTTGGTAGAGCGGGAGACTGTAGTGTATATTGTCATCTCTAGGTCACTAGTTCGACTCTGGTAGATCGGAATCATTTTTTGTATACTTTGGTGTTTGTGGTGTGTCTAGACGTTTGTCAGAAGATTTATAATAGATATAGTTATGTAGACTAGTAATGAAGTAGTAAAAAGATGATCTTTATTAAATTGATATTCTGAATAAGTTTTATAATTGATACGGAGTTTCTACTAAAATAAGTGTGACAATATCCCCTCCCTAAAATGTTGTAAATTTAAGCTAATGATGACATTTTGGAAAAAAAATACAAAGTATAAGATTAATAAGATAATTATGTTTAAATGATAAAGAGGGAGTTGCCTTTGTGGTTGATAAGTGTGAGATATATTTTTATCTATGTTTTTTTTTTTTTTTTTTTTTTTTTTTTGTAAGTTGTAATATTTATTGAGCTCTTGCAGTACGAGGAATATACCAGCTGGCTGAAATGTTGGAGTTATTAATGTTGATAGGCTTTAATCTGTCTGTGTGGACTCAGGAACTGTATATTTGACCTTCAATTTCTTTGATTTGATAGACGTTGAAGTCAGTGTTGCAATTGATAATTTGGTATGGACCCATCCAATTGTATTCTAGTCCCTTTTTGGATTCGTTGCGAAGTAGAACAAAGTCGTTTTTGTTGAAAATCTGTACCTCTTTACCTTTTATCAAATTATCCCATCTTTCTTTATCCTTTATACCTTGAATCCTCATGTTCTCCTCAGCTACAAAGCGGGCTTCGCGAAGGTGGCGTATTCGTGTAAGAGCATCTTCTGTGATTAAATTAGCATCAAATTCGGTAATTTCATTCATATATGGACGGTGAAAGTCGCCTGGAATTCGGGGTTGTGTACCGTAAACTAGAAAGAATGGACTGTGTCCTGTTGTTGTATGTTTTCGAATACGACAAGCAAAGGTAGTTGTGTCAATATACTCGTCCCAACTATGTACGTCACCGTTAACATATTTTTTTAACATATTTTTGATAATCTGATTTAGGCGTTCACATTTAGAATTGCTTCTTGGGTGATATGCGCTGGTGAATGTATGTTTTGATCTGATTTTGTTCATGTATTGTTTGAGAACCTTTGACATAAAGTTTTTACCTCGGTCCGAAAAAATTTCTACAGGGTTGCCAAACTTTAAGACAATTTCTTCATAGATAAATCTTACGATTTCATCGCCAGTTGCATTTTTGAGAGCTCGGATAATGGGCCAATTGGTTGCGTAATCCACAGCTACTAATATCCATCTGTTTCCATTTTTTGTTGTGGGCAATTCACCTATAAAATCAAGATGCCAACGAGAGAAAGCAGGAGGAACATCGAGAGGTTTCATTGGTGAATGGTGAATATTTTTCTCTGAACGACTTGAAAGTTGACATTGTGGACAGAATTTTAACCACTCGGTAATATCGTGTTGCATACCAGGCCACCAGATTCTGGATTTTAATTGATGATAAACTGAAATTTGGCTAAGGTGTCCATAAGCAGCATGAAAATCATCGATCAAATCGGCACGTTGGTGAAAAGGAATAAATTTGAGTTCGATAACCTCATCGGTTTTGGGAGTTTTGGATAATTTGTATATGTGTTGATTCTTTACTAAAAATTTAGGTTGTTGTTTGAGTAAATCTTGATGTAAGGAAGGAGGCCATTGCTCCGGATTGCGAAAAAATAAAAGTGGCCAATCTTGAATAGGGTCGTCTTTAATAGATTTGACGGCTTTGCTTAATGATTTAGAATTATTAGTAGTAACAGTATTATAAAGATATTTTGGTTGTACAGATGTATTTGCAGGGATGCAGTCAGGACCATCTCTACGCGATAGTAAATCTGGAATGATATTGTCCTTACCAGCCTTATATTGAATGTCAGGATTGTATAATTCAATTTCAGACATCCATCGAACTAATCTAGGTACAGGATGTTTTTGATCACGATAATATTTGAGGGGTAGGTGATCAGTGAATACAGTGTATGATTTTCCATCAATGAAACAACGCCATTTTCGTAATGCAATTAGAATGGCTAGCATTTCACGTTCTTGAGCTGGATAAACACGTTCCTCTTTACTGTAACGCTTACTTTCAAATGCTAATGGTCGCCATTGTCCATCTTGATCTTGTTGTAATAATACAGCGCCAGCAGCAAAATCGGAACTATCACATTCTATGCGGAATGGCTTATTCATATCAGGTGTCAGTAGTAATGGAGCCGATGATAATTTATCTTTCAATAATTCAAAAGCAGTTTGACATTGTGGTGACCAGACAATTGAACGCGTTTTATAGCCAGTACCAGCAGTTAGATCAGTGAGGGGTGAAGCGATATGGGCAAAATTTGGTATAAATCGACGATAATACTGAGTAAGGCCAAGAAATTGACGAACTTGCTGTACGTTTTTGGGGACAGGCCAGACACGAATTGCATCGGTTTTTTGTTGGGATGGGGAAATGCCATTTTTTGAAATATGGTATCCTAAAAATGTTAATTCTTTCATGTTGAAATGTGATTTTTTAATATTGATTACAAATTTTGCTTCATCAAGTTTCTGCAATACTTGTTTAACGTGATCTTTGTGTTCTATTTCGTTTTTGGAATAAATCAACAGATCATCAACATATATGATTACAAATTTATCGACAAAAGGTTTCAGAACCTTATTGATGACATCTTGAAAATATGGGCCAGAGTTCTTTAATCCAAATGGCGCTACTAAAAACCTGTGTTGACCGAAACGATGTGAAATAGTTGCCTTCAGAGAATCGGATTCAGACAATCGAACTTGGTTGAATGCGCCAATTAAATCAATTTGTGAGAAACATGTACTATTATGTAGTTGATCTAGACATTCATCTATTCTTGGAATCGGTATTCTTTGTGCGATAGTGATTTTGTTGATACTTCTGAAATCACAACACATACGTAATTTTGGTGTGCCATCAGAATTTTTGGCTCCAGCCTTTCGTACAAATAAAATTGGGAATCCGTAAGGGGATGCTGTTGGTACAATTAATCCTTTCTTTTCTAAATCAGCTAGTTGTTTCTTCAATTCAGTAAGTTCAAGTGGACTCATACGATATGGTTGATGATAAATAGGCGGAGCATTTTGTGGATCAGTAACAATAATATCTCTGGTATGTCTATGTGGTGGTAATTCTGTAACATCACCCTTAAAAGCGTATGGGTATAATTTAGCAAATTCTTCTTTCCATTCCTTATCTAATTGCAAATTGGCTGCTGAGATCGGTGATATGGGAGTGATTGTTGCATTATTGCCAGTGGCTTCATCTATAAAATTTACTACGAAACATTCTTCTATTTGTTCCTTTTTAAACCATCGAGCCACTTGCGTAGCTGAGGCTAGGTAGTCAACATTGAAAGTGTCATTGGGATTAGTAGTATCTTTGTGTGAAATAGTTTTTATAGTGTTTATCGATCTTGTATTTGCTATTTTGATAGGATGAATTTTAATTGTTTTGTTAGTGTTTTTACCTTTGATTTCCCATGTATCGTCAAACCAATCCGGTAATGGTGCAGTATCTTTCAACCATTTACGACCAAGAATGATGTCAAATTTGGATTCAAATACATAAGCCGATATAACCTCTTGGTGTTCATGCTTATCGCCTAGAAACATACGAAATGTAATTCGCTTGTTGATATTAGACTGTTTTCCATCCGCCGTTTCAACTGCTTGGTTGTCAACATTGTTAATATTTAATGCATGTGATATTAATTTGGGATGAACATAATTTGTACTGGCACCACTATCAATGAGAACTTTAAAATTAGATCCACCCACCATGGCATGGTATAGCGGTAACCCATTTGAAGCATTATCCAAATTGTTTAAGAAGGACCAGTCAAGAGATAGGCAGTTATGAGTTTCAGCAATGCTTTTAGGTGCTAGGACAGGATACGAATAAGAATCTTGACTATCAAAATCAGATAAGTCAATTAAACTTTTATTATCAAGATAAGTGTCAGCGGTAGAAGATTTTGCATTATGATTGTTATTTCCATTATTATGAAGAGGGTCATAAGCATCCAATAAAGCATTAAGCTGTTGGCGAAAATTATTAGGTTTTGGATGTGAATTATTCATGGTAGGACGAGATTGTTGTGTACGATAGTTATTAGTTGATCGTTTGGCTTGAAATATACCACGATTTTCATCCCATTTTTTATTACGGCATTCGTGTTTTTTATGTCCCACTTTGTTACAGTAAAAACATACAATAGAAGCGTTAGTGTTTTTGTTGTTGAAATTGGGTGATTTTTGTCTGCTGAGTAGATTGAGTAACATTTTATTTTGCTCCTTTAATGCGGCGACAGAAAGATCCATGGGGTCATCCAAAATAACATTTGTTGGTGGAACTGACTGATTTGAAATAGGAGCAGAGTGGTTGTATTGTATGGCTGATTCAAATGTTCGGGCACATTGGTACATACTTTCCAGATCGATGGGATCCTTCAATAATACATGTGTACGTGCCTGATCCTTAAGACCACGCGAAAATTTGTCCATTGCTTCATCCTCAGCGATATTCAATTCTAATAAAATATTTTGAAAGTCATTGATATATTGTTGGACTGATGATGTTTGTTTAAGTTCAAAGAGTCTATCTCTTGTCGATTGCAAAGTATATTTCGGCTTAAATTCTATATCCATATGGGCTTTAAACATTTCCCATGTTGTTAAATCATATGTTTTCTTGACTCTATAGTACCACAAGCGTGCATGATCAGTTAGTAATGATATGGCGTAAGTTACCCATCGGGATTTGTCAAAATTGTTAAAGTTTAAATAATGTTCCACAGATGTGTACCAATTATCAATTTTGGTCACATCTCTTGTTCCATCATACAAGGGTGGTGTTGGGATTTTAACATGCCCATTATCAGATTGCTGTGATGGTTGCTGTAATTGTTGTTGTTGCAATAAAGCCGTTAAGAGTTGCATAATATCACCTTCGGCGTATGTTTTTGGAGGTTGATTTGTATTCTCCATTTCAATGTCCTCGTTTATGGGTTTTTGATTTTGAATTTTGTAATCTTTAAATTGTTTTAATACTGTGTGAATTCCTTTATATATTGTAAGCTTGTCTGTTTTGCTATAATTAGTGTGTTTATGTTTATTATCTATTATAATTCCTCTGGTTGTAATGAATTCTTCCAATGTTTTTTGTTCTGTTACTGTTAATTTTCGTTTGATTTCTTTGATTATTTCTTGAATTATATGTGTAGGATACTCGAATATGTTTTTATCACTACTTGACGACGACGACATTCGCACAGAATGATCGATTTCAATATTATATTTTTACTGGTGCTACCAATTGTCAGAAGATTTATAATAGATATAGTTATGTAGACTAGTAATGAAGTAGTAAAAAGATGATCTTTATTAAATTGATATTCTGAATAAGTTTTATAATTGATACGGAGTTTCTACTAAAATAAGTGTGACACGTTGTTTTATCCTGAAGTTTTTGAATAGGCTTACAAGTACTTTTTATGTAAGTTTCTTCTTGTCACACTTATTTTAGTAGAAACTCCGTATCAATTATAAAACTTATTCAGAATCTCAATTTAATAAAGATCATCTTTTTACTACTTCATTACTAGTCTACATAACTATATCTATTATAAATCATCTGACATTCTAAAAAAAATTTTTTATTTTGTTGTACTGTTTAATAGTAGATGCAATTGCAACAGAGGCATCAAAAGCATAATTTTTGAATCAAAATTTGTGATCGGAATTGATAAAAACGTTGAGTAATACAACCTGTAGTTGTAAAACGTTTGAATGGAAAACAAATAGATCAATTCGCGTTATTACACTTTTTCTAACTAGAATGTGCTTCCCCATCATAACAAATACAGTTAATAGATAAAGACGAGGGGGGTGCGACAAATGTATTTGTTAAGTATAATGTCCAATCCCCTGTTGCTGTTGTTACAACAATAAAAACATAAACTTTTAGTATATAGTCTAACATTTGGATTCTCTAACAGAACTAAGGATTGCATAATTTGGTGACAGTCTTGAAACAAGCTGATGCTTTTTAAACCTTGTGCAAAAATGTTACTACATTTGACTACTAGGGAAACACCCCCAAACAAATTTGTAGTTGATCTCATATTGGGATATTCAATACAATTTCAAATGTCATGTAGTGTTTAATCCATTGAATTTAAACAATGTATCTTTCGGTTTACTCACTTTCAAGCATTCTATTACCATACAATCTCATCTTAAAAATTCATGCTGAACGGAAAAGGTGGGGGGCGTGTCAAAATATGAACAGAAAATCGTGACTTTGAAAAAAAAGTGGATGTAACCAATCAATTTACCACAACAACTTGCACGACAGTAAATTCTAGTGGTTCAGATAAAAAAAAATATAATCCATCCCGTCGCGCTTCAAGTATATTTTTTTTTTTCTTTTTTTTTCAACTTACACATTCTTTATATAACAAAATGGTAACTGAAAAAAACCCCTAAGATACAACGGAAAGAACAGAGTATTAACTGTTTTATTTGTGGTTTATAGCAAGCTGATTCAACAACTCCCAAGGGTACCATTAGGTAAACATTCAAAATGATTAGAGAGAGGGAGAAAGCAAAAGATGATTACAGGATTTGTGACATTGAAAGCGTTTTAAAAATTACTTGATATCATAACATTTTTTTTAATATCATGTTTACGATGAGAGTAACAAACGTTTTCCCTGTTTATGAAGACCAGTATAAAAAGAGTTAGAGATGATGATGATGGAAGATGATGACACTAATTTTTTTTTATATAACAGAAAGCGTGTCACTTCTCGCACCAACACCAACAACAACGCATCTCGTGGTGGTATTCCTGGTGGAAGCACATCTAGCATGATGCGTATCTACTCTGATGATTCTCCTGGACTCCGTGTGTAAGTTTTGGAAGAAGGTGTGTGTATCTATGTGTACGTGTTACTTATTTTTCTATCAAATTGTAGTGATCCCGTTGTTGTCTTGGTCTTGTCTTTGACCTTTATTGCATCTGTCTTTGGTCTTCATATCGTTGGTAGATTCTTAGCTTAATTGTCACTTTTCTGTAACTTGCAACACACACGAACACTCACCCACACACCCACACACACCTTATTCCACAATGTTTTCTTTTTTTTTCTTTTTGTGCATAAAATAATCAAATAAAATATATACACATTTCCAGGCTTTAAATTTCTTGTACTATGAGTGGATCTTTTTTTATTGTGCGTAAATCTGATGGAGATAAGAGTGGGGTCGTGTTTTAGAGGAACGATTGCCTTTTTTGTCTTTCCCCAGTTTGGGAGCACGGAAGCGCCGTTTTAAAAATCTAGAGGCAGTGCGCACACGAAATCTTTTACCAGCTTTTTTCCCAGACCATTCATAACCAATCTATTTTTTTTATTTTTATTTTTTTTTGGGACTATAAAATAAACCCAAGTTTTTTGCATTGTTGATCTTTTTTTTTTTCTTTTCCATAATTTTTTTTGATTATTTTTTGATTGTCATCCTATAGAAAATGGCTACAGTACAAAGAGATGTTTATAACCCTCTTCTATTTGAGATTGCTTGGGAAGTAGCCAACAAGGGTAAATTATTTAGAAAAAAAAAAAAAAAGATTACGTATATGGGAGTCCGTCAAACGTTTATTAATATTATCTATAAAAAAAATTGACAGTTGGTGGTATCTACACTGTGATCAAGACCAAAGTACCTGTCACTGTTCGTGAGTTTGGTGATCGTTATACTCTTATTGGTCCATTATCGTACAAGTCAGCACCGATGGAGGTCGAAGCATGTGAACCGGAAAACCCAAAGATGCGAGAAGTACTCGAGTCAATGGCTAATCACGGAGTGAAATATCTTTATGGTCGCTGGTTAGTAGAAGGATCTCCCTATGTACTTTTATTCGATACAGGTAGTGTCACGCACAAATTGGATGAATGGAAGGGTGATCTTTGGCGTTCAGCTGGTATTCCTTCTCCTCCCTCTGATACCGAGACAAACGATGCCATTCTCTTTGGTTACTTGGTTACTTGGTTTTTAGGTGAATTCACTCCCAAGGTAAAGTAGTGATTGAGGAGTATTAATAAACTGGGAAAAATGGGAAGAAAAAATAACAGTTTTTTTTTTTTTCACGTTGTAGTACAACCAACCTGGAGACCCTGCTATTATTTGTCATTTCCACGAATGGTTAGCTGGTGTTGCAATTCCTTTGATCAAGAAGCGTCATCTTGACGTCTGCACTATTTTCACCACGCACGCTACTCTTTTAGGCCGTTATCTTTGTGCGGGTTCTGTAGACTTCTATAACAATCTTTCGACTTTTGATGTGGATGAAGAAGCAGGTAAACGTGGTATTTATCACCGTTATTGTATTGAACGTTCTGCTTCTCATTGTGCCGATGTCTTTACTACTGTTTCTCATATCACTGCCTATGAATCTGAGCATCTGCTGAAACGTAAACCAGGTATGTACTTTATGCTATTCTAAATATGGTAGGGCTAATCGTTTTGTTTATTATTTTTGAAAAAGATGGTGTTTTACCTAATGGTTTAAATGTGGTGAAATTCTCGGCTATGCATGAGTTTCAAAACCTTCATGCGATGGCTAAAGAGAAAATCAATGATTTTGTTCGAGGTCATTTCTATGGTCACTATGACTTTGATCTTGATAACACTATTTATCTCTTCACAGCAGGTCGCTATGAATACCGTAATAAAGGTGTTGATATGTTTGTCGAATCCCTATCTCGTAAGTTTTTTTTATTATTTTTTTGCAGCGGCTATTGAAACTTATTTGTTTTTTTCCTACATAGGTTTAAATGCCCGTCTCAAGTCTTCTGGATCCAAGATGACTGTGGTTGCATTCTTGATTATGCCTACACCTACACATTCATTCAATGTAGAAGCATTGAAAGGACAAGCTGTGACGCGACAATTACGTGCGACGGTAAGTGAGATTCAAGACCGAGTGGGTAAAGCGATTTACGAGAACGCACTTCGTATTGAGGACATCAATCCTGCAAGTTTCCTCTCTGATGCTGATAAGGTGCTTTTGAAGCGACGAGTGTTTGCATTAAAGCGTACGACGCTGCCACCTATTGTGACGCATAACATTGTGGATGATAACAAGGATCCTGTATTGAACCAATTACGTCGACTTAACATGTTTAATAACTCTGATGATAGAGTTAAGATTGTGTTCCACCCAGAATTTTTGAATGCCAACAATCCTCTTATTGGTATGGATTATGAAGAGTTTGTGCGTGGATGTCATTTAGGCGTGTTCCCATCTTATTACGAACCCTGGGGTTACACACCAGCCGAATGTACGGTCATGGGAGTACCATCCATCACGACGAATCTTTCCGGTTTCGGCTGTTTCATGGAGGAGAATATTGAGAACTGTGATGATTATGGTATTTATATTACGGATCGTCGCACGAAATCAGTGGAAGAATCACTTCAACAATTATGTGATCAAATGTATCAATTTGTCCAAAAGACGCGTCGTCAACGTATTAATCAACGTAACCGTACCGAGCGTTTATCGGATCTTTTAGATTGGAAGCGCATGGGTCTGGAATACATTAAAGCACGTCAATTAGCTCTCCGTCGTGCTTACCCAGATAGTTTTATTGATGACGAAGAAGATTTAATTGCGGATATTCCTATCAAGATCCCCAAGCCCTTGTCTGCTCCTGCCTCTCCTCGCATCCGAATGGAAGTCAATAGTCTTTTCAATGACGATGAAGAAGAGGAAGACTTTTTGTTTCCCGCTCTTCGTAAGCGGTCCCAAAACCAAACAAGAGAGCAAGAACTCTTGAGTGAAGGTGATATTGAAGCCTTTAATAAGTTGACTCTCGAAAACAAGGCTGCTCACTAAGCTCATACTTTTGCCCAAACCAAAAAAAAAAAAAAGCTTGTTTTTTATTTTTTCTTACCCCTTCTCTTTTACACGCACACACATTTATAGTATTCCTTTTTTTTTTCGTATATAAAACTTTTTCATTATAAACACTTTAGTGTCCTCTTTTCCAATCAACAAACTCGTCGAATAAAACAGGCCCTAGATATAGAAAAGTGAGTGGAGAGAATAAAAAGATATAATAAAAATAGACTGTACAGGCAGAAGACTCGTCATAGTTGGAAATATCGCTAGCAGCAAACTCCAAAAAACTTTGCCACTGATCTCGATTTATCACCCTGACAGGTTTCTTTTCCTGCAAAAAAGCTACAAATTCATGAACCATTGGAAAGCGTTCCCCTAACAACATGGTCCATAACACGGCAGCTGTCTATTGTATAAAGCGTTAAAACAACAAATTTTATGATAACCGACTAGGGAAACTTGCCTCCATTTCCATGCATTTTTGATCTCGATTTTTTGCATAGGTAAATGTATACTTGTACATTTCTTTAAATTGCTCAGCATCGTGAAACACGTTTTCAAACTCCGGTTGCTTCTCTTTTAACTTTTCCAATGAGTCCGTTCTAAAGGGAAAGTATGAGTCTCTCTCTCTCTTTGTGTGTGTCTCTCTATTTCTCTCTATTACTCTAGCTCTTGCATACTGGTCATCCATTCTTCTTGGGTTATGTAGCCTAATCTCTTTGTGTTATAAAAGATGGGTGTTTAAAATTTAGAGAAAGAAAATGGTAGTTACCCATGGTGGCTGTATGCATTTTCCACGCAATGGCGAAAATCATGACCTAATTAAAAAAAGAAGTGTCAGTTATTTTGAGCATGAAAAGTGTGCCGTTTGTTCGTACATCTTCAATCGAAATGCCTAAATCCTCAAAGAACTGTCTTGTACCGTCGGGTGTAATCATGGTGGGAGATTCAGGATCTGCATAATGTTGGAATAGTTGGGCACATTGTTGTTGATTAAACTACTCTAGAAAGATTAGTCTTTTTGTGATGGGGGGCAATAAGCTGTAGTTTATACCTTTGGACTACTGCAGAAAGAAGAAAGAGGTCAGTTTCTGTTTGTTTCACAGTCAGTGAATAGAAGCTTACATGTAGACATTGGCAGGTGCGTTAATGACGGTGGGCCGCGTATGAATAGTGGTGGTGGCAGTGGGTTCTGGCTTAGTGTCGATGGGTATTTGGTGATGATGGGAATGATGGGTATTAGATCTTTTACGTTTGGTTTGGGAAGGGGAGTGCTGGTTGCCTGCCGTACTGCTTTGTTTCGAGCCCATGGGATAATGTTCAAAAGATGTTGTAGTCGAATAGAAAGCGAAGTTTCGCTTCAGTGACATGCAAAAGATGGTAAGAATAGAAAGAAAGAAAAAAAAAAGAATAAAAAAATGGGGTCACAGGGCATAGATGATTTCTTTGTATGAGAGGAGCTTCCTTTGAGCGACCCCCAATAGTTCAACCTAGTCCTTATTGTTCGGCCAAGGTTATTTGTCTTGTTTTCTCAGCTCAATCGCTATAGCATAGCAGCAAAGGAGTATTGTGGTGTTGAGTTCGAGTGTTTAGATATTCATTGTATGTGTATGTGTGAGTGTGCGTGTGCGTATGTAGATAAGCATCAGGCTAAAGATGACCAGTTGGAGCAAGTCTGAGAGATAGGGCTTTGCAAAGCTTTAGTCTGAATCGAGGAGACTTCTCTGAGAATCTTCACAAGCCAATGTGTGTATGAGACATTCGGAGTTTTAAACGATTGTTTTTGTTTGAGCTAAAATACAGTGGGGATAGTACTTTGGGGCAAAAGGGGGGGGGACATATAGGCATTTCGCAAGAGAAGAGATTACTGCCATGCCTTTTATGCACTACCAGGAGTTGTGATGGTTTAAGGCAGTTTGCAGTGAATCTATGTTCTTTAAGAGTCAAAGAGGGGTGGGAGGAGGAAGCTGCAGGAAAATCAATGGTCTTTTCACAGTGACAAGGCGTATGTATTCTCATACTTTTTGCAGTGTGTATTCTCACAGTTGGAAAAAAAGAGGTTGGAATATATATTTATGTTTAAAAAAAAAAGAAAAAAAAGGGGTGTGTGTGTGTTTGTGTGTGTGTGTGTGTGTGTGTGTGGGACGGGGGTTGTTAGGTGGTGGGTTGTTAGGTGGTAAGGGAAGAAGAAAGGGGAGGGAGGAAAAGGGGAAGAAGTGGTTGTAAGAGTGTGACGAATAAAAATAGTTTATTTATTTTTTTATTTTACAAGACAGTACAACCACTCTTCTTCTTCTTCTTTGTTACCATTAATGCAGCTCTTGTTGCATGCTCGAATACCTCACGTACGCCTTCGCCTGTCTTGGCAGAACATTCGAGATACTTGTAAGCACTAATTCTTTGCGCAACCGAAGCACCCTGTGATACATTAAATTAAATATACATTTTATATATGAGGGCTAATAAAAAATAAAAATTGATTTTTTTACCTCTTCAAAGCCAACAGGCTTTTGTGAGTTTCTTCGAAGTTCTTCAATTGTTGCAGCATCATTTCTTAAATCCTTTTTGCAGCCTACTAAAAGAATAGGTAAACCTTGACAGAAGTGAAGTACTTCAGAAATCCACTATATACACCAGTTAGTATATATATATATATATATATATATATAAATAAGGGGATTCACCCCCAAAAAGACGGAGAACCACATACCTTTTCTTGAACGTTCTCCAAGGAATCGGGAGAGTCAACAGCAAAACAAATCAAGATAACATGAGAATCAGGGTATGACAAGGGTCTGAGACGATCATAATCCTCTTGGCCTAAGCTGTATGCGTTAGTAACTGCTATTTTTTTTTTTTTTTTTTTTTTTTAATTTTTCTTTACCTGCTGTATCCCACAAAGCCAACTCCACGTGTTTTCCATCGACTTCGACATCAGCTACGTAATTTTCAAAGACGGTGGGAACATAAAACTAGGGGAAAAATAATAATAATAAATATTATCAGTTTGTTGCTAATGAAAGAATAACATCTTTCATCTCCTTCTGCGGAAGAGAAAAGGGGGATTGAGAAAGAAAGAACTCACCTCTGGGAAGGTACCCTTTGAAAAGACAATCAACAAACAAGTTTTACCACAAGCACCATCACCGACAATGACAAGTTTTCTTCTAATTTCAGCCATCTATATTTATTACTCTTCGTTAGATGATGACCACACAATAAAGTAAAACAAGAACAAACCTTTTTAGTGTAAAAAAGATAATAATGTGTGTGTGTGTGTGTATAAAAAAGAAAAAAAAAAAAAAAAAAAAAAAGGAAAAAAAGAAAAAGGAAGGGAAAAAAAAGTAGTCGACTGATCACGCACAAAAAAATCTGTTTGGGCTTAAATACGTCATCAGTCACGCTTTATTTCCATTGAGGGGCAACATGAACATGTCAAACATCTTGTTCATCTCCAAGACAACACACGTGGGGAAGCTTGCTTACTCGTCTTGTCACTTACTCACTATTACTCTCACATACACTCTCACTCTCACTCTCACTTACACTCACTCACACACTCTCTCATACACACAGGCACAGACACTTACACAGATGCCCACAATGTCAGAAAGGAGCTTTTGTTTGTTTTTAGCGTCATCCTGTGTAGCTTTGATCCCCCCTTATTTTAACCTCCCTTCTTTTCTTAGATGTACGTGCATCTCCCTAATAATAATAAATGGAGATAGTTTTATTTTATTTCTTTTGTTTCTCTCTCTCTCTTTTCTCTCTTTTTTTCTAATATCGCAGACCCCTAAGAATGGACTTTTTAAAGGCAATAGCCAAAGATGATATAGATAAAGTACGACACATGTTACAGTCAGGGATGGACGTCAACAGTTCTTTTCCTTGGAACGCTAAAGACACCTATTCACCCGTCATCCCCAACCATAATAAACCAGACAACTTGCAAACCGATCAAGAGTATCAATGCAAACCTTTAAATATCGCTGTCTTGGGTGGCCATCCCAATATGGTCCGACTCTTATTAAGCGCCGGCGCAGATATCAATAACAAGGACGGCCGAGGAAGGTTTGTGTGCCCCTAAGTATCATATACGTTATACTCATCCATCATTCATCCATACACACACACACACACACACACACACACACACACACACATACACACACGCAGAACACCGCTCGTATGCGCCATCTACGGCTTGGACTTGGACGCTTCCAATATCGACCCATCCAACCTGTACTTTATATCGCAGACAAATCCCTCTCACTTTGACATCATGAAGAACATCTTACTCTGTCACCCCAACCTCTATTATGCAACTCTTGACTCCCCTCAGTATGAAATTAAAGGAATCACTCCTTTATGCCTGGCCAGTTATCTAGGAAAATCAGACATCATTCAGCTCTTATTAGACGATGGACGTGTCAATGTCGATGGCACCGACAGTAAAAACGCAACCGCATTAATGTACGCTGGTACGTCTATTCCCCTTCCCCCTTTTACCCCCTTCTTTCTTTTGCTAATCCATAAAACACACAAACACAGCAAGGGATGGAAATGTCCCCATTGTCAAAATACTACTCGATTATCACGCTTCACCCGATATCACTGATAGTCATGGCTGGTCCGCTATTCAATACGCTGAAGTTAACCCAGAAATCGTTCAACTATGTGAAGCCGTATTACGTATTAAACGTTCAGATGGTGTCAATCACGCCAAATTATCTCACTTTATCACCACTTTACCCGACTATCCATCCTCTCTCTCACACTTACAATTCGACACCTTGAAGGAACTGGATCATTTAGACCCTGCTGCTACTGCACAGGTTCAGATTGTTCAGAGTGCTTTCTTACATGCCATCAAAATACATGATCATCTCTCCTTACAAACCTTATTGATGAAATCACCTTCTGTCAATGGAGGTGTGCCTTCTCCCGGACCCCTTTTAATCAATCATCACGATCCCAAAACAGGTCTAACCGCATTTCATCATGCAATGCGTACAAAGCCTTTACCTTCATTGGATACCATCACCTTGTTGTATCAGGCCGGAGCGGATATCAATGCTCAAACTTATTATGGACGCACCGCTCTACACCATCTATCTCGATTCGGACGGGACAAGGATGGGAAATCATGGGGTATTCAAAAGAACAATCACACAGTCACCCCTCCTATCCAACAACCGATCACCACCATTCAAGGTGTCCCTGTTGCGCAGCACATTGCCATGTGTGCCTCTGTCTTGATCCGATTCGGTGCACTTGTCAATATAGCCGATCCTACGGGAAACACACCGCTGCATTTTGCTGCGGAGTTTGGTGGGGTGATGGAAGTCATTCAAGTCTTGATTATGGAAGGTGGTGCGGATTTAAATGTGAAGAATAAGAAACAATTAACTCCGTTGGATGTATGTAAAACAGAAGACATGAAGCGCAAGATGATGGCTCTGGAATCAGAACGACGTCATTCAAAGACCAAGTCCGTAATTTCCTCTATCAGTGGCACCATACGACCCTTTGATTCAGCCAGCGAATACAATTGTTCTTCTATTACTCGATCTGTTTCACGCTCCTTTATCTTTCATGCCGAGAGTAAAAAACAAGTCATCTTGCAACAGCAAAAGCAGTTACAAGGAGGAAAGACCGGGGAGACCACCAGCACCACCGATTTCGATGTGATCTTGAAGGCCTTTTTCAGTTATCAGACCACTTTTACCGATTCCATTGAGTCTTCCTTGGCTTATATCACAGAATCCATTTTGGGTAAATATGCTTCGCACGAGGGAGATCATCGTTTAACTCTACAACAGTTGGAAAAAACCATTGGTCAATTACGCTTTGAATTGAATGAAGCGGTTGAAATGTTTGATTCCACAGATCAGCTCGTCGAGAAAGTCATGATGGCCTTTCGTGAAGAGTTGGAAGGCGTAGAGCAAATTCATCAAGCCGATTGGGAATTATCCGAGTTACAACATGATAAAATCGAAAAACTATTCGATGTCTTTGAACGAATTGAAGGCCGATTTTGTCAATTAGAATTAGCCCAGGATGATTTGATCTCGCAAGTTGAACGTCTTCGAAAGGCCGCCTCTAGAATTCAGACAGAGGATCATGCTGTCACCGATGTTGGTACCTGTGTCATTCATCTCTCTCAATCGCTGGCTATTTTGGAAACCGTGCCCTTTGTGCTGCATTCGCGGGATGATCGAAATCGCTTGTGTCAAGATATGGCCACCGTGGTCGAAAAAGTCGTTCGAAAGATCGATGTACAGGTCTTGCAAGAATCGGGTATGTCACGTCAAAAGACCTTAAAGGATGCCAAGTCGCTTGTGAACGGACGGTGGAAGGCAGTGAGGGAATTATTAACCAAGGAGGAAGTGCCTGCCTCTTCATTAACACGTTCTGCCAGCTTAGCAGCCCGTACCGACACGAAATCAAAACTCATCTTTCGAGACACGAGCGAGCCCTCTTTAAACCAACTCGAACTCTCTTTTGATATCTTGCATTCCAACATGTACGAGATTCAAAAGGATATTGAAGATGTGATACATAACCTGGAGAAACTCACCAAGAGCAAAAAAACGTTATACGAACTTTGTCTCTCTCTGGAAAAGGAATTAATGGATCCCACACCTCCAGGTCGAACAAAACAAGACATCAATATCGAATTAAAACAAGTCTTGAATATCACACAGCAATTATTAGATAAACAAGCTTCACTCGAAAAAGAACGTATTCATCTCGTGCAGGAATACGAAACCATCCAAAAGGAACTCCTCGTCACGCAAGACTCACTCCAAAAGGTACGCCCTCCTCTCTTATTACAAGGTTTGTTGGATCGTCTCGATACCGATGAAACTCCCTGTGTACGTATCGAAAAAGACTGGAAAGAAGACCCTCATTTAGTCTCAGAAGTCATCATGATGGAAGATATCAAGCGTAGTTCTTTAGAGGAAGAAGAGGAAGAAGGTCTCTCCACTTTACAATCCAAACAATTAAACGCTCAATGCACATCCACATTAGCTGCACAATGCTACATCGGCCGTTTGGATGCCAGTCTTTACTGTCTAAAAGTATTGGCCAAGCATCTCATCTCTCAAGCACGACATAGTCTTGTTCAAGTCCAAGCAGCTTTAGGCCAAGCCAGTACGGACCTAGACGAAACGCGTAACCATATGACACAACTCTACGATGATGCAGCAGAAGTAGCAAGACAAGTGTATGCGCTTAAACGAGAACTCGAAACTATTGTACGTCATCGTAAAGAAGAAGTGATTAAAGTATGGGAAGTAGTGGATGATGTCTCTGCGGGCGTGGATGCCAAAGCGATTCAATGTGCCACAGCAGCAGGGGAAGGAAAAAAGACCTCCTCTACAAGTCATGTAGGCTTACTAGGCGATTTAGCAGCAGGCAATGCACAGGAAGAAAATAAAGAAGGTCAGGATAGACATCAATGGATTATTCGAGAATTGGAGCAATTACAGCATGTGCATGAAAGTCTACAGGATGCAGTGGAAGGATTGAAACAGGAACAAGCTATGATTGGTCAACGTTTGCGACAATTAGCTTCAGCCTATATAGAGCCTCAGGTGGATACGTTGGTTGGTCAGGATGCTCATTCTTTGTTATCCATCAGTGATCGACTAGCAGAACTCATGGATAGGATTCGTGATAGTGAGTTGGGGTTACGCCCTCTTTCTTTCTGGTCGCCTTCAGCCAATGAATCTGTTACCGTGGTTTCTAATACCACCGGCACCGGGTAAGTCCCTTTTTTACGTTTTTGTTTTTTTTTATGGTTTATATGTTTATATTTATGTTATGTTGAAATAGTCCGCGTGTCACGACAAATCGAACAAGCACAAACAAAATGTCGCGTTTGTCTTCGGCGACAAACCGATTGAGTGTATCCACGGTAGCGAGTAAGACGTCGTATGGAGGACGATCCAGTGTGATGATGGATAGTAGTAAACGTATGAGCACAGCAACTACTCGAGATAAGAAACGCATGAGCATGATTTCTGCTACCAGTCTTTCCTCACTTTCTTCATATCAACAGGAACGTATGATTGCACGTGTATCCAATCTCAGTAGTGTTCTTGCTCAAGCCAAACAACAAAGTCGGCTATCTCGACATTAAAAAGATATCGATAACCGTGTAACCATCCTACTTTTTTTTTTGTGGGTTGGCGTATTAAAAACGAGTTTTGTATTAATAATAAAACAATACGGGTCTTTTATTGTTTATGGAAAATAAAAAGACTGTGCATGTATTATAACTCTTGTTTGTTTTGTACCTTACAGTCGCGATTCCAAAAAAAAATCTCACATGTTCATGAAATTTGCATAAATCAATAATATATTTTGTTTTTTTCTCACGTCCCGCGATAGTGTTGAAAATCTATAATTTACGTGACTTTGGATTGCTAACATAGTTTTTTTTATAAAAAAAGTCTCACACCCACCAGCTATTAAGATTAAGGGTAAAAACGATGACGGAAGAAAATCTCGTTTTTTTTTTTCTTTTTGGGTATGACAACAAAAACCTTAATTATTGCACCATAAATAAACCTTATCACACGCAATACCTTTTTATCTTTTTATCTCATTTTGCTACCACTCATGTCTCAACAAGATATTCAAACAGTTCGTACTTCTCACGGAAAAGAAGTCAAAGGTATATTTACATGATAAACACACAAAAAGTATATCTACTCACACGCTTCACCCAGTTCATACTCACCTCTTCATCAACAACGAGTTTGTTCCCGGTCACGGACCCTTAATTGAGACCATCAACCCTGCCACCGAAGAAGTTATCTGTGCTGTCCATTCTGCCGATGAGTCTGATGTCGATGCCGCTGTCCGAGCTGCCAAACTCTGTTACCGCTCCACCTATCGCAAGCTTGCCCCCGCTGAAAAGGGTCGTCTTCTCAACAAGTTAGCCGACTTGATGGAACGTGACAAAGACGAGATTGCCACTTTGGACGCCTTGGATAACGGTAAGGCCTTCACTATTGCGCGTGATGTCGATGTCACGGATTCCATCAGTTGTTTCCGTTACTATGCAGGTTGGGCTGATAAAATCCATGGTAAGACCATTGATACCACCTTTGATAAGATGTGTTATACGCGTCATGAACCTTTGGGTGTGGTCGGTGCTGTCATTCCTTGGAACTATCCTACCATGATGGCCGTCTGGAAGTTCGCTCCTGCTTTGGCTGCTGGTAACACAAGTAAGTAGAAAGCATTTTTTTTTTACGTTTGCAAAGGTTGGAATATTTATCACTTTTTTTTCTAGTTGTGATGAAGACTTCGGAACTTACTCCTTTACCCTTGTACAAGTTTGCTGAGCTCGTCAAGGAAGCTGGTTTCCCTGCTGTAAGTGACTTTTAATAAAAGGTGGGATCAATGTGAGAGATTAACCAAATATATGTATATAAAAAAGGGTGCTGTGAATATCATTACTGGTTATGGTCATACTACGGGTGCTTTCCTTACGGGACATCATGACATTAGCAAGATGGCTTTCACCGGATCCACATTAACCGCACGTAAAATCATGGAATCCAGTGCCCAAAGCAACATCAAGAAACTTCAACTTGAGTTGGGAGGTAAATCCGCACAAATTGTGTGTGCTGATGCAGATCTTGCTAGTGCAGCTGTCTGGGCTTCGGGCGGTATCTTTAACAACCACGGCCAAAGTTGTAACGCCGGTTCTCGTATTCTTGTACAGGAAGACGTCTTTGATCAGTTTATGGCCTTGTTTATTGCTGAAGCCAAGAAAATTGTGATTGGTGATCCTTTCGCCGAAGATACCTTCCAAGGACCTCAAATCAGTAAAGGTCAATTTGAAAAGATTTTGAATTATATCAAGATTGGACAAGAGGAAGGCGCTGTTTTGGCTTATGGCGGTAAGCGTTGGGGAGACAAGGGTTATTATATTGAACCTACCGTCTTCACACATTGTAAGAATAATTTCCGTATCATGCAAGAGGAAATCTTTGGTCCTGTGGTGGCTATCAGTACTTTCAAGACAGTGGAGGAGGCAATTGAGATGGCCAATGATTCCATCTATGGTTTGGCTGGTGGTGTCTATACCAAGGATTTGGATACCGCTGTCACTGTCTCCAATGAACTTCAAGCAGGTACCGTCTGGGTCAACTGTTTCGATGTCTTTGATCAATCTACTCCCTTTGGTGGCTATAAGCAATCTGGTTTCGGTAAGGAGCTTGGTAAATATGCTCTTCATGAATACACTCAAGTAAAGGTTGTTAAGATCCAAAGACAAGGCTTATAAAATAAATAAAATTGCGTTTTTTTTTCTGTGAAATTATATAAAGTGTTTTAATGATAAATAATAATAGTACAACCGCCAGGGGGAGGGGAAATTTATAATATATATACGTTTACTCATACTCCTTGAGTTCTTCATCTTCCTTTAATTGATCCGCGACAATCTTTTCTTGTGCTCTTCTTTCCAATTCCTTACTCATCCAAAGCTTGACGTCCAATTTATAAGTGGATTTAGATCTAAAGTAACCCAATTTCTTTGTCTCGACATGCGTGTAACCATGTCTTTTGACCAAAATCTCTGCCATCTTTGTTTGAAGTTCATCTGTGTCAGCATAGAGGTATTCGATTTGGTTGGCATGAGCCCAAAATGCCACGCGTTTCAAAAGAACCGTGGAAAGACCATGATTTTGACACTCCAATTTGACGGCTAATCGACGTACACTGGCTTCATTGGGCTTATGAGCCTCAAATAAGACACGAGTCTTTTCCTTCTTCTTTTCCTCATCCACTTGTGCCTGTGTGATGCCTCTAACCTTATACACTACATCGCGCACGATATCCAAGGTACCCACCAAAACCAATCGAATCAAATCATCCGCGATGGCCATATAATGTGCGGTCTTTTTCCATTCGGCTTCCTGAATCTCGGTAGAATCCACTGCACGAGGACGTTGTGAAGCGCGCACATATGGTACATGTTTCACGGACGCATCAAGGACGGGTGACAAGGTTTGATCTAAACCGATACAGCCCACTACCTCTTCATTTAATGTCAAGACCCAGAAATTACCCTTACGAATATCGTCGGGGGGTGCACCACGATAATACGCATCGGGTTCCTTTAAATCGTTTTCGATACCTTCGAGTACACGTTGGGTGATATCGAATTTATCCGTATACCATAAAAGAGCAATGAAGCCACCGCCAAAGACAACCAGTGTGATGAGGGCTTGTAAAGCGAAAAGGATCTCTCTGGACCAGCCCAAATTAGCCACAAGCTTGGGTACACGGGTAACAAGTACACCGTAAATGAGGATCCAGATGGGTGCAATGTAAAATGAGGAAAGTCGAACTCGAACTGCTTTAGGTACCATGTTGAAATAAGTCGAATAAAATAGGTATTGCACGAATTTTTTGTCGGTTTCGGCATAATAGGGTCGAAGCCCAATGTTGGCCTTGGGTTTAGGCTCTGTCTTGATGCTATCAACCTTGACTTTGCTCATTGTGGTATAATTAGTAAAAATAAAAAGAAGAGAAAGGGCTTATATAAAAAAACGAACTTTTTTTTATATATAGGTAAAGAGGCGTACACGTGCGGTTATGACTGGACGATGGGATCGGAGTACGTGCTCTGAACGATTGGATATCAATTGAAAGGTACAAGTCATCGTGTCTTTTTTTTTGGTAGCATTCTACCCGTGTAAACTTTCCAAAGGAGAAGGACTTGTGTACTATTCTATGCACCTGTACATCTTTTTTCTCTTTAATATTCGCCTTTGTTTTTTGTTGTTGTTGTAGTGAAAACCTTGTACGACAATAGGGAATAAAACACCAGCCCCATATGTCAAAAAAAAACAAAAAAGCCCACTAGCCCCGCACAGGGCGTTTTTAATTATCTATTGGACTTGGATTTTTTTTCTTTTATGTAAATGTAAAAGGTATACATTGAAGAGATGCTTATGATATCGAACTTATCTATTCAAAAGTATTTATAAAAAATCGAAAAAAAAGTTCAACAGGCTGCTTGTATGAAAGACTGAAGAAAAACACCGCTTTATTTTTTCGATTCATGTCATTAGTTACTTGTAAATGCCGTGTTATTTATGTTACTGATATACGTGCAAATAAATGAAATGAGTAATGTCAAAGATATGAAGATGCTTATGTAAATGCTTAATAGTCAGAATCTTATGCTGATTAGTCTAATACGTTATAAAAACTTGCACAGGAGAAATAATTTTTATGCCGACAAGAACGTTTTTATTCTCGTTTCTTATCGTCATTATTAGAAAGCGCCGGAATCTGTACGAAGTTAAAAATTCAGAATGTAAGATGTTAAGCTGAGAAAGTAATAAACTCAAAGTAAAAGGAAGCAGTTGAGGAACAGACCAAAGTTTATCAATGAGGATTTGAATTATTCTATCTCAGCAAATCGAGGATTTGTAACAAGCGGCCCAATCACTCGTTGTGTAAAAGGCCTTTAGCGCGAATATTCGGTTGTCTTGACAACGCTAAAATACCTTTTGTTTGCGATTAACTGAGTTACTGATATCTGCTAAAATCATGCTTATGGATTATATTTATTTCTTTTTCTTTCCAGAAAGTGCATAAAGTCCTCTCAAAGATGTATTCTGAATATATAAAAGTGGAATATACTAAAGCATCACTTAACAGTAAGGAATCATAATTAAAAACAAACTAAGAGAGGAAAAACAATACTTCAATTTCCTTTTTAAATTAAAAATCCCTCAAACCCCCCATTTATTATTAAGCTCATTTGTAAAAATGTTACTGCTCGCATAAGCCTCGTGTTACATAAAAATAGTGCACACACAAACAAAAGGGCATTTTAATATGAATTTATTTATGTCTTGTAGCATTAATACAGTTTTATTTTTAAATGAAGTTTAATGGTTATCATGTGTAGATATAAATGCCTGTACTGTAGTGATTTATAAAACTAAGAAAGTATAGAGTTGTACTTTCTGGCTTTCAAAAAACGCTAAAATCAACCATTCATGTTCTTTGATTCTCACTCGTGCCGAATTACCCCACATTTCATTGGCTCTAAGTTCGAGTAACCTATATGTACGTGAGATGAGGGCTTTGGACACATTAAATAACTGGCAGATCTATTTAGCGCCTCCCCCGCCATCAAGGTTAACCTATTGCGAGCAAAGAAAGCATTCGTTTATTTATAACTACGGGTAGCAAAAAAAAAGTGTACCAATAAATTTACTTTGATCTGATTCTTCTTTAGATTTTGTCATACAAACTCGCGTGGCCCAACCAGCATTCTTCTATTTCTACTATAGAATGAATTACCAAGAAGATCAGAACTGGTTGCTGAGATAAAATGCATTCTCCTCCGCGCGCGCTCTTTTCATTCTGGTTACGCTACACGTAATTAGAAAGCTCTTATTTAATCACCTATTGTGGATGTTTTATATATAAAAGTAATTAAATATATTGGAAACTTTCCTGTGGATCTTTTTATTAGCCTATGATGAAATGGTTACGTAGCTTATTGTTCTATTGTTTCTTTTAAAAAAACAGCTTTTTCCAGAAAAATAGATGGTAAATTGAATGCCGAACATTTTCATAAAAAAAAAAAAAAAAAAAAAAAAAAAAAAAAAAAAAAAAAAGACCTATAGGATGTCTAGATCTGCATGCAATTTTCACACGTGTATTAATGCCTCACCGTTATTTGGCATACGTTGGTTTTCGGTCCTACCATTTCCTTTTGGCCAAGAAAGGTTAATTATGACCCCACTAACCTTTTTTTTTCTTGCTCCTGTAAGATTCAATCCGGATTCAGTATGTTTACATTATTATGACATTACCTTTTAATTTTTTTATTGTGTCTTATCTCAACCCTCTCAAAAAAATATATATGCAGGTGTATAAATGGCATGACATGATTATTCATCAATTACTGTTTATTCCCAAAATGTTACACCATTGCAAGAAATACTGATCCATTCATCTGTGTTACTTGGTTTATGCAGGTTTTTTTTTATCAGAGTATACAAGCTATTATGGCAGTATGAATATAGTAATTATCAACGATATATCCGTACAAACCTTAATTTCTCGCTTTAAAAGGGAAAGAATGAGTTTCTTTTGAAAGACTACAAGGGTTTAATATAAGTCCATAACGTATAGCAGGCAAGTGAACCGTAAAAGATGTTTTAGAAAACGGGCAACAGTTATTTTCAACTCTTTGACAGAAAGTGGCGTTCTGAAACCAAACTTTTCTAGCCGCGGCTGTTTGCTATCAAACTATATATAAAAAAAAACTGTGTCGAACCAATTCGTTACATCAATCAGCACTGGCATATGCTAATTTAACACCGCGATTTTGTTTGTTGAACTAAAAATTAGAGATGGCCGATGCTTTCAACCCAGACATCATCTTTACGTAACAAAGAGCGGAAAGGTCGAGACTTTTAGCTCTAATACTAAACGATCATTTAATAGCTTGTTGTGTTTAGTTATCCCCAAATCTATACAAATTAACCACCTAGAATTTGTGATTAAAAAACAAAGAAGAACTTAAAAGTAACTTTTTAAACGTTGGGGAAAGGAATAAAAAGAGGTCGGAAGCTAATTAGAAAAATAGATCTGACTCGATAGGACAATTATTATGGGATTTTTTTAATAATTAATTTGGAATATTCTATAAATGAAAATAGGCTACAAATCTAGATGGTTACATTCTAAGAACAAAGGGCAGTTTACTATCATTTTGACATAAATCGCTCGAATTAGGCGATACCACCTGAGATCACCTGTGCCTGTCTTTCCAAACTCCACTTTGATTGAATTGCCGCATTCCTTTCGTCTCATAAATAAAAAGGGAGGGAGTGGAATTATTTTTGTGAATTTTCCTTTCATCATCTTTATTTCTTTCTTTCTCCAAACCTTACATGTTTTCTCCAAAATTAATTGTATCCACATTTAATAACGATACCAAGGCCAATTCTGTTAGAGTTGAATCCCCTGCTTCTTACTTCTGTTCTACCAACCACTATGAGCAGCAGTTGAATATAGAGAACATCCGCAAATATTCCTTATCGGATGCTATTCGCTTAGCCTCTCAAGCCAACATGAAGCATGATGCTAACGGTTGTTGTGATTGTAATGTTGTAGCTGGCTATTACATTACCGCAGTACGCTATGCTCGTGAAAGCGCTCCTGTTATTTGTAATCGTGATATGTTTGATTTGGTCTGGCGCATGACAAACTTGGTGCTATCTCATCGCGAGACTAGCAAATACCAGTACCTGAGCTGGTATGAGATGATCACGCTGGAGCTTTGGGAGTTTGCCAAGCAATTAAAGGATGAGTCTTATGAATGCGATCAGCACATCCCTACTTACGGTGCAAATATCAAACGAGGTTCGATAGACTCGGTGACCAGTGATACTAGCTACAATGAAGATGCCAACGATGAGGAAAATTACCGTAGAGCCATCCGTATCACAATTTATAATTGTCGAGCCTTGGTGTATGAACAGTCAAGTGAGCTCAACCAAGCTATTATATATTACCGAAAGTGCGCCTCTGTACGACCCACCCCCTTCGAACCTCAACAATTCTTACAAAAATCCGCGTTAGATTCCATGCAAAGGCTTATCAGATCTTTCCCCCAATCTCCTATATCAAGACAAAGACCAAGCTATAGTGGTTTTATGAGCTCCGATTCTTTATCCACTTCAACAACTACATCCTCTAGCTCTTCCGTTGTGTCCAGGTCTCCCATGAACTGCTCTCATTGCGGTATTGAGAAAATAACGATGCCTGTTTGTGCCAAATGCAAAGTGCAACCCTACTGCAGTATACGTTGTATGAAATCACATAAAGATACCCATAGTTCTGTTTGCGGATCTACTTCAAAATCCAGGTCATTTTAAATACTTATCTTTGGGCATCGCACAAAGAAAAAAAAAGATCCTCTATACTATTTATTGCACTCATCCTTATCTTACACTTGAATAATTACGACCTCCACCCCTCCTTTTTTTTAGCAAAAAAAAAAAAAAGAGAAAACTTAAGTACGACAATACCTCTTTTCTATCTGTACATTTGCATTGTAAAACCTTAATTTTAATAAAATATAATTTACAATTTCATGATTATAAATGCCATTTTTTTTTATATCTTTTTTTGGGATTTCTTTGTACTATGTATAGTTGTATCGACTTATTTGGTGTAAAGTGCCTAATAGGGTGGTTTCATTTGGCAATTTCATTGTTTTGGTTATCGAGAAAGAAAAACAGACTATTTTACATTGATAGTTGAGGAGGAGCTGTTATAAAAATGGGGTTAACATAGATTAATGTATTTCCTTGGCAAAAACCCTTACTTTTCAATGTTGCTTAGCAAAGTTGGATTACTCACTTCACTAATGTATTTTGTAACCTTTTTTACTGTATTCGTAATCCAAATACAGCATCCCTGAAGTCACCAAGTAACCAACGAATACATCTTGTAGTTCTATTTGTGTTTTAGTATCGCCTTTTTAACTAAACTGACGTAGTTTTTTTTTCGTGTAATTTTTAATTTAAAAGAACTTTTGAAACATCCAAAATTAAAATCGTCGAAATTTCCATAAATGTTACACTTAAAAAAGAAACAATTATGTAATGATTTTCATACTACATGATAAATTGAAACAAAAAAATAAAATATTCTGTTTATTGTGTTTTAAAAAAAAAACGATTTCTAGCGTGTGCGTGTGTGTGTATACAATGGGTTATATGCCAAAGGAAATGTTTTTAACAAAAAAGAAAGAGTCGTTCATGCAGATGTTTCTTTTTTTCTTCTTCTGAAATTGTGGTATTTAAGCCTTGTAACCAAGTTCCTTTAAGGATTCAGACAAGACCTCAACAACCTTATCGATGTGATGACGCTCAGGTTCCATAACAGAGATACCCATATGACTTTATAAAAAAGAAGCTCCCGTTAGCTATAAATTTTTACCCTCTTTACGTCTTTATAATTCTTACCCAATTCTGAAATACTTTCCAGCCAAACCGGTCAAAATACCACCAGCAATTTGGACACCCTTACCAGCAAGAGCAGGAACCAATTGAGGAACCTCAATACCTTCAGGCAACCAAACAGCAGTCATACCATTAGCAGAGCTCTCCTCAGTTTGAGCAAGAGGCTTCAAACCCAAATCACGGATGGTTTGTCTGAACTTTGCAGAAACCTCACGATGTTTTTCGAAGCGGACTTCCATAGGTTCGCTAGTGATAAGCTTAAGAGAGGTATGGAGTGCATAGATTAATTGGACGGCAGGGGTAGCGAAGTATGCAGGTTTACGAGATTCGTATGCTTGCATGACTAATCCACATCGAGTTAGGACACACCTTCTCACTTCAATTTAAATAAATTTACTTACTAGGCAACCACTTCTTCCAGTTGGAATAATAAGCAACAACAGGAGATGTTCTGTTCTTGAAAACATCGAGGGCTTGTTGAGAGACAACAACGACAGAAAGTCCAGGAGGAACACCCAAACCCTTTTGAGAACCTGAAATAACAACATCCAAACCCCAAGCATCGAATCGGATTTCTTCGGAACCAACTGAACAGACACCATCAACAATAACCAAAGTCTCTGGGGAGATAGACTTGACAGTTTGAGCAATTGTCTTAATATCAGACAAAACACCAGTTCTAGCAGGAAAAAAAAAAAGAAAAGAAAAAAAAAAGAAAAGAAAAAAAAAAGAAAGTCATAGATTTAGACTGTGAGACTTTTACATGTGATATCAACTACCGATGTAAACTTACGAAGTATCAACGTGAGTGACGGTAACCATCTTGTACTTCTTTTCCTTCAAAGCTTCCTTCAAAGCTTCGTTGGTAGGACGAGAACCGACTTCAGCACGAAGGGTAGTGACTTTGGCACCATAAATTTCCAAACTAAACAAAAAAATAAATAAAAGGGGGCGGATGAATAAATAAAGTTCATCTATTTTTTTTTTTTTCATTTCCCCCGAATCACTCCGTGCTTACCATTCAGAAAAATGATCACCAAAGTAACCAGTGTTTAAAGCCAAAACTTCGTCACCTTGTTCAAGAATGTTAACCATCATGTCCCAACCTAAAGTACAAGAGCCAGAGACAATGAAGGGTTGGGCAGTCTCAGTCAAAACGACCTTACGGACCAATTCGATACTTTCACCAAAGATAGGGACGAACTTGGGATCAACGTGAGCGGTAGCAGGGGTGCTCATAGCTTGCAAGACGTCTTCGTGGACCTCAATAGGACCTGTCGCATGTATGAGTTTAACGCGAAATGATTAAGAGCTCAAAACTTACCAGGAATCATACAAAGCTTGTGGGGTGCCATTTTATTTTTTTTAGTTTAGAAAGTTTGGGGGAAAAAAGAGTAATCAAAATCAAAAAGTAACGAAAAACGAAACTTAATGCAATGGAACGTGTGACAATTTGTGACAAGCTTTTGATTGTTCAGTATAAAAGATAACGAACTTCTTTCCCAAGCTAGATCATAAACCAATGATAATGCCTGAATTTTTATAATTTTTAAAAACACACGGTATAAATCAGGACTTTTGTACAGGGTCGCACGGAAAAAAAAAATCTGAGCTGTCAGTAATAATTATTACCCCACACGCTATCATGTTTTCTGATTTCGGAATAAGTTAGATTACGCTTTAAAAAAGTCCAATGCATTGGAGTTCGAAAAATAACCTGTATAATTATTTTCGTAAGGAACTGATATAAACTTGAATTGAGGTGCTGGAGTTCATTTAGAGTGTGCAGTCCTGTCTTGATCTCAGACAACCCTTTTTTATTTGCGTGTGCGTTGAACTCTACGAAATAAGATGTCGAATACGCTTCATACTTTCCCCAAATTCAATAGCCCCATAGTTAGTCTTAAATTCAGCGACAAGGCTGATTTCGTTCATTGGTATAATGAAGCATTAATGAAACAATTCCACTGGGTCGAAATCCAAACACCCAGTTACTTGAAGGACCAACTTCTTCAGACACAAACAATTACCACGAAGATTCCCGAAACCCGTCTATACACCTGTCAAGGTCAAATCAGACAGAAGCTAGAAGAAACATTATCAGATGTCGATTGTAAAGCGAAACTCCTCATGCATGAAATGAGCGATGGATCTATTGTGGTTGGGTATTACTGGAAACACTCAGATCATGTCATTAACGATATGACTGAACTTGTTGCCTCTGCCTTGCCCATTGATATTCAGAATTGGCTAGAAGAGCACGCTAATACTTATATGAATTGGAAGGCCATCAAAAATTTACTACGTATAATCAAGCGTAATCCTTTGGAGGTAAATCTCGCTGCTGTAAACATGTTTATGGAACAACACCTAAAGATCTTAAGTCACAGCTCAAAATAGACAACAGTAGCCATTCATTTCCTGTATCTCTATATAACCACTATCAAGATGTCCAAGTTATTGTTGATAGTCGAATAAGTAAAGCAAGTAAGAAATCCCAGACAGAAGCTGATAGTATTTCTCTGTGGATGAGACAACTGAAAAGCGAGGATTATGTCACATTGAGTTTAATTGGGGAGGGACAGCAAACGTTTGTGTTATCTTGGGTTTCCCTTTGGCAAAAAAAGGTATTTACTCAGGGAGAAAATGTATTTCCATAACCGACATGTATTTACATCTTTGAGTCTAGTTGTTACAAAATGCACAGGATTGGGGTATCGACTACATTCATAATACATACAATTTATCCGGAAAAGAGGATAAAATAACCCATATATTTACTATTGTTGTTAAGGATCCTGCTACTGAGAAGGGTGTACCTGTCTGCTTTCTTGTCACGGATAATGAAGTCACTTCAGCTTTATCGCTGTGGTTCTTTTGGCTTAAATCCAATTTTAAATTGCAAGTCAAACAAATTATCACTGACTCCTTTTCTACCGAAGTTTTTTCCATAATAGCTTCATACAACAACAACATAACAGTTACTATGTCTCATTGGCATATTGAGCAGGCGTGGGAGACACAAATCGAAAATCATGCAAGTGGTAGATTTGCCATTTTTGGTTACTCATGTTGATTTATTCTAACACTGAAGCCTTTTAGATCAAAGTTGTCGGCTCGTTTCAAAAAACTTATCGGCTACAAAAACGTGTTCGTGAATTCTTAGACTGTATGATGCATGCTCCAAATGAAGCATCTTTCCACCTGAGTCTTGTTCTTTTTAAAATAGAATTTAAAAAATTCAGCTCATTTATTAAATACTTTGAACAAAATTGGGTTGTCAAGAAAGAACTCTGGTGTAAGGCCTGGAGGGAGGTATGTAGTTACTCATTATGTACCTTGATCATATTAACACTTATATATGATTTAATATTTAGCCAACCAGTTTTGATTTTAACAACTTTATGGAATCATATCATGCTCATCTGAAACCTTTTTATCCTGGTTCTGTCGACCCTCTTCGTGTTGATCGTTTAATTTATTTATTATCTCAAGCTGTTATGACGGACTACCAACAAGAGTCTTCTAAAGCTTTACATGGTAATTCAGATCGTCAGTTGACTGAAATTGAAGTAGAACGAGAGAGAGAGGTATTAGCAATCAAATATAGTAAAGCATGTACCATGGTTGAACACACAGGAAACAAAGTAAGTAATGTTATCAGATCGAATAAAGGGAGTTGCATATTTATATCGTTTCAAACAGCAGTATTATAAGTGTAAATCGGTCAAGAAGAAAGACATTGCTTACGACGTGAAATCACATGATGGTTTTTTAAACTTTTGCGATTGTGAGGAAGCCCCTAGTCTTTGTAAGCATATTTTTCTAGTTAGCCGGATATACCATCTGCCTCTTTCTCTCAGCAAGCATAGAAAAGCTACAGCTGTCCTCGATACCGAAAGATATTTGAAAATGTTTGTGAGTACGGTAAGACGAGTAGCTCATAAATTCCGAAATTCTCCTGATAAACTTGCTTTGATTAAAGATATCTTACAAGAATACTTGAAATCATTGGACATTGTTGAAACATCACACCTACCAGATTTAAGACAATCTTAAAAATATTTTTATTGAATAAATTTTAATATCTATTTACACGTCTACCTGTAATGAATAACCCGTAAAAATAAGTTTCATTCGACAGTTTTTACTATCAGCATCGCTGTCGTGTGTTCTCGTTTATACGTTGGTGGGTATAATATAACCCTTCCCCAACTACTTATGGACAATGCAGTGAAAAAGGTCAAACTTTCTTTATTACATCTGAATACTGATTTATCTCGAACATGAAGCACGTGGTCTGTCACGTATTTGCACCGGATCTTATACTGATGTATGTCTCAATTCGATGAATACCCACTGGTTCATCTGTTGGATTAGAAAAAATTTATTACGGCAGCTTTTAAGTTTATTGATCGGCATAAATTACTATAACATTTTCTTATACCGACTCTTTCTGTAATAACTTTATCAATAAACAGGATTATATATTTATGCAATTATACAACTTTTTTTTTGAGACTATTCATGCTGAAGGCGTGATCTTATTCAAAAAGCTTTTCAGAATCCTCCATCCCCCCTCACGATATGCAAGTGTAGAACCTCAAGTAGCACTCATCTGTTCATTTGACATGAATGACATATACAAACAAGCTGTGACAATCTATTTGGTTACAATTATAATTAAATTAGCAAATCAGTGTAACTGCCCCTCCCTCCAAGTGTCATTTTAAATAATTGATGCTCATGTTTCATGATTTCACTATACGGGGATTGTCCATGCAAGTCAAATTAAGTTCGGAAAATATAAATGCGCTGTTACATAGCGTGATTACGCTAAAGTTTAAATGCGGGTCTCTTGCTATTAAAGGAGATATTACTAATATGGAAGAAATCATCATTTTTAAGAAAAAAAAAAAACCGTCCATTACTGTATTTGTTAGTGATGACTGTAATAAGATAAAGAAATCAATGTGGCTATTTTAAGCTTTTTGATCGTATGAGAGAATGCGCAAGGTAACATCATTTGGTGTTCCTCGGGTTTTGCCTTCCGTAATATATAATGTGATCAGATAAAAAAAAAGAAGGGAATTAAGAGATGGATATTTATTTTTTATATACAGTTTAAACAATTTGTTCAGTGTTATGTTTGGTAGTGGGCTTTTTGTCGGTCTTCTTGTAAAATAAGAACTGGCAAAAGATGGAGAAATCAAACATTAAGGTACCTGCACTACCAATCAAATAAGGTAAAGCTTCTAATAAGGAATCGACAGTTTGCCCCGGGTGAGACAATATACTGCTTGCATAAGTAAGATTACCACCAACAGCAAATACAAATAAAGAAGCGGACAGGCCTTCTACTGACTGACGACGGCGGTTCTTTAAAAGCTGGGGGATACGTGACATTAGGTAAAGACAGGTACAAGACCAGGCAAATACTCTGCCAATCCAAACTAAATTATCTTGAGATAATTCGAAAGAATCGTCGGAAGACATTGTTGTAAGACCTTGATTGTTGGAGGTCAAGAAAAGAGTGGAGGTAAAAAGTAACATTCCCATAAATTTGGTAGTCTGTTGCTGCTGCTGCTGCTGCTGCTTCTTTTTCCCGCTGACCATGATTTCGTTGTCTAGGGTATACCATTTGGAGGGTGAGGCGGAGGATGAGAATGGTGTTAATTCACTTTGGATAGCGTGGCTATTGATATCAACTGGGGTATGGGCTGGGTGTTGGAATAATGTATTTGCAGGCTTCTTTTGCAAATCTTCTTCAAAGGTATCAGTGGTGGGTATAATAAGATATTCTTCATGAATTGGTTTCGCCTTAATTTTGTTGTAATATGTCCATTGACATAATAGACAAATGTCAATTGAAACAAAATAAACCCCCAGATATAGCTGGAATGGTAATTGATGAGTTAAGAGAGACCCTATTAAATTTGCGCTATCCCCTATTTTAAAAGTCTTAGCTATATAATTCCCCTGCATGTTATCTTTTTTTTTTTTTCATGTTTTACCTGCTAACCAAATTGATAGGAAATTGAGACTTAGGCCATCTGCTGATCCGCTTTTGTAATTTGCTACTAGTTGACTATAAAAAATGTTAATACATAGTTTATTGTTTATATTAAATAAAACACATACGGTAATTGGGCATTTAACCAGAGTAATATAGAGCAATAGCCTAGTAATAAACTTATCGCGTCTTGTTTGCCATATACGCAATCGCCAAACAATGTCTATTTAGATCGGTCGTGTTACGTTAGAAAAAAAAATTACGTCTATTTTTTTTTTTTCGTAATAATACTTGCATTAATCCACTGAATATATGGCATGCCATCTTGAATTGGTGTACAGACTGTCATTATATGGTGTGTTGTGTGTGTGTGTGTGTATTTGTGTGTGTTGTATTATTTATATTAATCTATTATTTATGTGTATGTAGATAATTCTACGTCTTATTTACAAGTGGAAAGAAGAAGATAAAAAAAAAAAAATTAGAATATCGATTTACCCTTTTTATTATCTTTGAGATAGAAAACGAGCAAAAAAAAAAAATTTTTTTTTGGGGGGTGACATATATCAAAAATGGTCTTTTTTTCAGGTACTCATTTAAGGATAGCCGGGTGATATCACAAACAACTGTTCCGATGACCTAATTCGTCACCTCCTTTGTATTTCATCATCACTCGTCCTCTTTATCTTTGTATAATAACATTAATGCACAAGAAGAAAGGGTTGTGGAGTCTTAAACAATGCCTGACTCATAAAAGCACACTTGTCTGGCCTTGAAATAATGTGCAAAACAGTGACTCATCCTCCCTTAATGACCTAAAGTGCACAGGACCCTTTGTTGGACTATTTGGTCACATTAAGGATCAGTGTACTTTATTCCATTTATTAAAAACCAATTGAAAAGTCGCTTATCTTAACTAGCTGCGGTTATTTTCTGCCGTTTATTGGCATCACTCCGAATGCTCAAGTGACCTTGAAAGATACACTTCAATATATTATTTTTATTTACTTTTGAGGTAAACAAAGAAACCCTTCGTTCTATTTTGTAAACCAACTTGTTATAATTCAGGAACACTTTGTCATGCCATTGTAAGCTAAATTAGTGTTCATTCATAAGCAGTAAACAAACATATTTACAGAAAGATATGCACCCGGCTACATCATAATTTACAGGATTTGCACCAGGCAAACGCTCCGTACATGTATAAAATTGCCGTCCCCGTAATCAAATATGTGGATATTAGAATTATCTGTATTAACGATGATTTCATTATGATATTTGATAGGAAATTTTTCTGGGGAAATAATCATGGGATGCCAATCATTATTTTTTGACGCAGACAAAGAGTGTACAAACGTGGTGCACTCATGGTATTTTCTTTGTGGCAGTTAAATTACATAATCCCGGTTAAAATTTATAACAGGACAATGAGTCACATATAAAGAAAACTCCGTTTTTATCGGCATGACATGGTGTGAATAGTGATTTATTATGGTAATTTTTTCTTCTTACAAATGCCTTGTGTGGGTGGGGTCCTGCTCAGCAAAGAAGAATTTTATTTCCTTTTCAGCTGACTCTCTTGAATCACTCGCATGGATTGCATTCTCTTGAATATCAGTACCATACAGAGCCCTGATCGTTTTAGGAAATGATTGTCGAGCCATATCAGGGTTTGTTGGTCCAATCAAATCGCGTAACTTAGGAACCGCCTTTCTTCTGGACAGTGCAAGTACTCGGATGGGACCTCTTGTCAAGTATTCAACTAATGATGGATAATAAGGTTCTTCCTGTTTGTCGCTATACCAAGCAGACACTTGTTCGACATCCAATTTTTCCGTTTTATCATTTATAATCTTGAATCCATTCTCTTCGATAATTGCCTTAATTTGGCTTTCGTGAGACATACCATCCGGCTTAATTACTGCTAAAGTCACGCTAGGTTCATCACAAAGAAAAGGTAATGCCAACTTTGTGCAAATGTCATCTTGCAAATCCTCTGGTCGTAAGAATATGGAGTTGCTCGGAATCAGTACCAGAAAAAAAAACGGGAAGTAGAATAAGATAAGTACAAAGAGTACTTTGATGGATTCAAACATGTTCAAGATGGTTTTAAAAAAAGGACCTTCCTCCCCGACTTATCTGATGAAGACCCCGCTGCTCAATAATAGCTCATTAGTAGCTCTCTAATGACGTTTAAGTTCTCATCAATTAAAGTTGCGGACAGCCAAACTCTCCTCAGTAACAGCCAAAGTGCACGTAGTCACAACGTAAGTTCTGTGATTTGGCTTTCCTTTAGACCTACAAACAAAAATATACAATCAAAAATAATGTAATAATTACTAATATTTTTATATTGAACGATGTATACTTATTTTGGCAATTTTTTGATTCAGTCATTATGTTAGTGTGTCAACTTAATATTACTGAACATTTATAATTAAAGATTTACCAAATGATATAAATACCAGAGCAATTTATGTAGTAAATAAAGGATTATGTTATATTTGATTGAGATTATAGTCTTAAAAGCTTGGTAACTCTTAAAAACCTCTCAATCCGGTGGTATCTGCATCAATGAATGTTTATTACACAAGGCTAAATACGATATTTATTTCGGTGATGTCAAAACTTTTGGTATTTGGGTAGTTACCATGAAAAAAATATTCTTCGATATGTACCTTATTATATAATAAAGATCCACTTTGTACAAAAATCAAACCATAAAAGTGGTCAATGATGTTAAATATCCTCCTTACACTAGCCGGATATTCAACATTATGAGTATGGTCATGGTCAAACGCTCGATGTAAATCAAGTTAAAATCAGCTGTCATCAAGGCGTTAAGCTTCCCCCTATCATATAGAAGAAGAAAGTACAAAGAATCCAGATCTCTCTTTTAAATTATGCCAATGTCTCCTCACACGTTAAAAAATAGAAGGAATATCTGACAAGTTTTGACCACAAATTTTGATTAATGTGACTCTAAAAAAAATAAAAACGTGTGTTGAAACGAAAAGAATAAATCATTGGTGAAGTCGAGCTTGGCGAGTCGTTTAAATTATAGGATTGTGATTAATTTTGATACGTTAGGTACTAAGCTGTCGTCATTTGTTGGAATAAACACAACACAACACATATAATAGCATGGCATTATGAAAATAAAATCTTGATTATGGTGTTACTGAATATTTCATTTTTAACTGAGCATCTTACTCAACTTAATTTTTTAGCTGTATAATTTAACCCCCCGGGATGAATAATTTTTATTTCTTTCTTTTCTTCTCAAATGGACAGTAAAAAAAGACCCGCCGATGAAGACATTGAACTTCCCCCCACCAAGAGACATACAGTTGTAGTGAGGGAACCTTCGATATTTGGCATCAAACCCATTGACGACATTACAAAATATATTGCTGACTTCATTGCTCAACATGTCACACTCGAAAACGTGGAGGTAAGCTCGATTTATACAATTACTTTTAGTCGTCTAATTTTTTTTTTTTCTTGTAGATCGAAGCAAAGTTGGGTGTCTTTATCGATAAACGTACAAATAAGCGCCTTCAAATTGGTGCACATACAGAAACGGGTAAATCCTTATCTAACCTGCGTCCATGCTTTATTTTAACATTGTTCTAGTTTTGGATGATTTCCGTCAATACAGATTTGAAGCCAACATGCCGTTGGAACAACATCGCCACTTTAACAACATTTTAAATGAGACTGTAAATAGAACTCAAGCACGCGATTATAAGGTAATTCTGGCATTGTTGTTAAATCGATCCAAGACTCAAGCTTTTTTTTATACGTTAGGGAGAACGTGTAAAGTATAAGCACACGATTGAAACCGATCGTTTCTTTGAAAGTCCTACCAACCATAGAAACAGATACAGAGTGACAACTGAACAGTCCACTGGAAAGGTTTGTGTTGTCAGTGAAAGTCGCACACGTCAGGAATTAAAGCAGATTGCATAGGTTGTCGAAAACGGCATTATTGAAAAGATCCGAGTTGCTGATTTAAATATTCATTCACCCAATCAACCACTGGATTTTAGAATCTCCATCAATCTCGAACAGCCAAGAGAAAAACCTTCAACTAACCTCATTTTTGAACGTAACAAAGACAGAATATCATACCAGCATGGAGGTATTCAATTCGATTTGACGCAAGTGAAAGGATCCGCTGTAAGTTTACGAATAAAAATCAAGGGGAAGAGACTAATATTATGTTTAAAGGATCGGGATCCCGATGTACGTCATGAGTTGGAACTGGAATTTGCAGACTCCAAAGCTTTGGCAGCTGAAAAGCAAAAACAAGACCGTAAAGAAAGCTCACATTATCCATCTATGATTGAGGTGTTTGTAAATAATATTCGATTGTTAAGTCGTAGTGCCTTGAAAAAATAAATCCTTTTTTTTTTTTTTATTGGGGTGCAATTAAAATTGCTTTCTTTATCGGTAATGGAGGTGCAGGTTTTGAAGCCATCCAATCGTACCAATCTTGGGTTGTGCGTCGACGTAAAAAGGCTATAATCACAACCGTCATATTGTCACATCCGATACCTGCCATATTGGCTTTTTCTGCTAAGCAGTAATCCATGAGATCTTCGCAGATGGGTCCCAAGGATTTATGCTCGCATAGTTTGTTACGTACAAAGTCAACCACTTGCTGGTTGCTGAAACAGTCCCATATGCCATCACATGCGAGGACTACAAATTCATCATTGTCTGTCAATAGATGTTCTATGATATCTGGTTCAGCTATTGAGAGGAGTAAGTGTCTATGCCATGCCTCTTATTAATGATTAACGTACCTGTCACGGCTTGTTTATCTGGTGTGAGTGCCGTGTTGGTTTTAAAATTGAAATCACCCAGTGCTCTGGATAAGGCTAAGCTTCCATTCACTCGACCATTCTCTACATATCCACCTGCATTTCTAATTCGTTGCTCCTCTATGGAATGTTTAGGTTTATGGTCTTGTGATAATGGAATTGCTTTTCCATCTCTTGTGCTGATCACCGCTCTTGAATCACCAGCATTACTTACATATAACACATTATTTCTCGTCAGCATTGCTGCCACGGCTGTACATCCAGATGTGTCCTTTTCAAAATCAGGGTCTAAATATATCAATGTCTTAATAGCTTATTCCATAATCTTTGTTCGCCCCATCTCACCTTTCTTCAATGCCTCATCAATGCCATAATATCCACTGCGAATAGCATCTCGATACCTACCTCTTTCAAACGATGGTGACTCCATGATTTTCTTGTAAAGTTCCTTTGCACTGTACTTTGCTACCGCATCGCCTCCATGTCCGTCAAATACTGCAAAAAAGCTAGCTCCTGTATTCTCATACGAGATTATCGTTGTATGTGCGTCTTCCATAGCTATTAAATAATTAGTATGTACGTCATTTTATGCCTTTTCTTACACTTACTGGTACGCCAACCTTGCATACTCGACGACCCGTATAACACTCGTTTATCGTTCCCTTCTGTTGTCTTTTTTTCAGTAATCGGCTCCGATAATGTCTGTCCCATGGCGAAATACTTTTTTTTTTTTTGGTGTAAGGAGGGTTGAAGAGAAAAATAACTTTCCGGCCCATTGTTAGTTTTTGCATCTTTTTTTAAACAAAAAATATATTCACTCCGATGTTTATAACTCCGATGATCCAGATTGGATGTCTTTTTCTTAGACCCTTTTTTTTCTTCTTCTTATACAGTAAACATGTAAACAATCATAACTATTTGGATCATCAGGAGAGAAGAGGCAATAACAACAAATTTATTTGTGGTAAATCAAAACAAAAAAAAAGATATGAAGAAAGATAGAAAAAATGAGTTTTAATTGAAAAAGCACTAGTTTACAACTTTGCCTTTAAAAGCAATGGAGAATCTAAAGGAATTAATTGGCGTTTGGATAAGATATCATAGATCTCATAGAGGGTATCTTCATCTTCAATTGTAGCCGGCATATTGACTTGCTTTCCGTCTACCATTTCTCGAATGCTTCGTCGAAGTACTTTACCGCTTCTTGTCTTGGGTAATCTGGGCACAATCACGGATATTTCAAAGCACGCAATAGCGCCTAAATCTCGCCGTGTTGCCTGCACAAGTTCTTTAAATAACACATCGGCCTCCATAGCTTGACCTTCATGTGTCAGTACGAGAATACCCAATGGTACGTGTCCTTTCAGTTTGTCTGGTAAAGGCACTACACAACACTCGGCCACCATCGGATGCGCAATTAAGATCTGTTCAATCGTACCCGTGGATAAGCGGTGGCCTGCTACATTGATGATATCATCGGTTCTTGACATAATATGTACAAATCTAGATGCAACTTTAGTCTCCCTTGCTTTTTATCCCCCATTCTTCTCTATTATCGCTTACCCATCCTGATCAATCATTCCTGCATCACCTGTATCAAAGTATCCAGGATACTTATCAAAATAACTCGACTTGTATCCTGCTTCATTCTGCCACAATCCAGGAAATGCACCAGGTGGCAAGGGTAACTTCAAGACAATGTTACCAAATTGATTGGCTTCCGTTGCCTCTTCCAGCGTACCTTCTTTTAATACCAATATACGAGATCCAGGCACTTGCTTACCGGCAGAACCCCACCTAACACCTTCCCGTGTCTTTTCCTGTAAATGACCCGCACATGTAGCTGTCACAGGCGATCCCACTACAGTCCTTATTATTAGCTTTTTTTTTTCCCTCTCTCTCTCTCTATTTCAAAAATGCTTATCATGCTTACACTCAGTACTCCAGTAATTATCGATCACCGTACAGGTTTTATGCACAAGATTCTGGCACCATTTCAAGGTTTCTGGATCACTTCGCTCTCCCGCCAGGAATAAAGATGTTAAGCTAGACAAGTCATACTGTTTCGAGAGTAAGGCGTGAGGATCTTCTCTGGCAATGGCACGTACAGCTGTCGGAGCTGTAAACATGGTTTTGACCTTATAGTCGCTGATAAGTCGCCAAAAGGTGCCAGCGTCAGGGGAGGCAATAGGTTTTCCTTCGTATAAGATAGTAGTAGCTCCAATTAGCATGGGGCCATATACAGTATAACTATGACTCACTGCCCATCTAAAACAACAATTATCCTTTAGTTTGGTTTTTTTTTTCATGTTTTATAAATAGGTACCCGATATCGCTGGCTGTAAAAATGGTGTCACCTCGCTTGATATTGAACACATAATCAATCGACCATCTCAAAACCACAGCATGCCCACCGTTGGTTCTGACTACACCTTTAGGTACACCCGTTGTACCACTCGTATAAAGAACATATAAAGGGTCCTCACTTTTAACAGATACGCATCCTTTAAATTGTTTACCGTTTGTTTCTATGCGTGCCATCTCCTGGTCAAAATCACGATCGCCTTGCGCATAATTCATCAATGATCTCTGTCTCTCTCTTTGAAGTAAAAGGCGGATAGGTACATGATGATTGGCCAGTCTAAGTGCTTCTTCCAGAAGTGCTATAAATAATATATATTAGCTTAAGTTCCCCCCGCCCCTCAAAAAAAAAGAACCGAGATAATCACTTACGTTTATACGGAATCACGCGTTTCGGTTCAATGCCGCAGCTTGCAGTCAATACAACTTTTGGTTTACAGGCATCAATTCTTTTTGCCAGCTCTTTGGGCGCAAAGCCTCCAAAAACGGCACTATGAACCACGCCTAATCTAGCACACGCCAAAAACGCAAACACGGCTTCAGGCACCATTGGCATATAAATTAAAACTGTATCACCTTTATGAAGTCCGTACGAATGGAATACACCAGCCAAGGTTTGTACGCGGTCCAGGACCTGACGATAGGTATATACCTGCTTGGTGTTGGTAACAGAAGAGTCCCAGATAAGACAAGCTTGATCGCCTAATGAGGCGACATGACGATCGAGACAATTATAACAAGTATTGAGCTTTCCGTCGGGAAACCAAGTATAAGGGTTAGGGCCAGGACGTGAGCCAAGTACCGATGTGGGCTCAACAAACCAGTCAATGTCTTGCGCAGCTTTTTTCCATAACTCTGTGTCAATTTCTGAAGTCATGTTTTTGTTGTTTTTGAAAGAAAAAGAAAAGACAAACAAACGGATGCATCATTTATACACCACTCACGCGTGAGAAAAACCCCCTCATATTCTCATGCACAAAGTATATGTATTCTCCCATGATTTTTAGTAGATTCTTTTTATTATATCAGGTAAACAGGTATACTTATTACGACAGATAAACATATTGTATCAGTAAGTTATTCTATTTCTGTCTTAAAACTGAATATATATATTTATATATCATTGACTCTTAAAACCCAACATAACGTCATAAAGGTCTTTAAGTTATTCGCTAAAAGTACACAAACCATCATCTAGGGGTGTCGATATTCGTTCATTTGTTGGAATATGTTCGTCCCTTTATAAAAGTTATCTACAACCTGATCAAAGTTTAAGTATGCACCTTTAAGACATCTGCACCTTAAGTTGAGCCATTTGTTATAAAATGCCCCATATGTGTTAACACATATTTTACTACCCCACATTGCGCTTATTTAAAGTATTTTCACGTTACACAACATAAATAACTACAACGCGGTTGCAAATGTTCTTGACCAAGGTTCAATTACAGTATTGGCACTTTATATTCAGACAAGGAAAATTTATTTTCAGATAAACCTAAAAATGTTTTCAGATGAACAAAAATATATTTCAGACAGAAGTAAAAAAGTGATTCAGACTAACGTAATATATATAAATATATATATATATACAAATAGAATAAAAAAAAAAATTCCAGACAAAGGCTATCAAAGGATGTATCCTATGAACTTTACAGTTTTTATATTCTGCATTGATAGTTCATAATGTAATTTTATGAGCTCTTTTTACACAAATCCTCAGTTAAAACGTTATAACAGTAAAAAAAGGGGAGAAACGGAATTTCAATTACTATAAATGACGTTGACTTTGAGCATTATAATGTAACTTGATTTAATTGACAATACATCAAACAGTGCTTCTTTCACAAAAAAAAATATGAGACCTCGTATTTACCCAGACACAGAAGATTTTATAAATGCCAAAATAACAGCTAAACTTGCTAAGATGGGGGACGAAACGAGTACCAGCACAATGAATCAACCTGCTGGTGGAAACAGAGGTAAAAATGCACTGTATATGTTCAAGTATATAGCCAAACATAATAACTCATAAAATAAATCAGGCCTAAAGAGAAAGGAAACATTTGAAGCGAAAAAGAAAAGAGTGTGGCTAAAAGAAACAGGACCACTGCGTCTTCAAGCTCATCGACCCTGATTTGCAAGTCTTGTGATACAAGTGGTCATTCTTCTGCGAGAAGTAAATTGTGCCCTAACCATAACTATACCTTACAAGAATTGATCGAAAAGGATCTTGGTGCTAAAAATCAAAGATATACTATATCTCTTCCATTAAAGGGCTTTTTAAATGAAACAGATGATGATGATGACCGATTACAGAAGGCCGTAAACAAGATCCAGGATCTATCTAGTTTCTTACGTCTTGTTTTGTTTAAAGCTCAAATCTTTGTCAATGACTACATTTTACAATACCCCAAAAATTTGTCCAATGAATTTTTTCAGCAAAATTTCTGGTATTCATTGTGTAGAGTGGTTTGTAAACAGCTGTCGATCAAAGACTTTCAGTTAAAGTATGTCAATATTCACCACTTGGAAGACGCATGGATGGAGCTTAATAATCTAGAAGGAGTAAACTTAAACGTAGAAAAAGATGGGCTGAAAAATTATGGTCAAGTGCTTGCAACTGCATGTGAAACTACTGCGATGTGTTACAATAGCTATTACATTGAGAATTTTCAGAACATTATCTGCAACTACTTCATTTATATGATTTGTAAAGAATTTCATGTAAGTTACTATCAGGAAGCACTAACAAGTTATTAACAAACTTAACTTAGGACGCTAAAAAATCTGTCATAAGGAAACTTGTATATGAACATGTTTTAGATCAAGTACTGTCATCTGATCCTGTTGCCGTCCTAAATGATGATATCCTCCCACCATTAAGCCAAGAAACAAAAATTGGTTTACAGGCATTTATAAACCCTTTAATTGTGGAGCTCAAGAACCGCTTGCCATCGTTCACAATTACAAAGGCAACTCAGAATACTGCCCCTTTTGGTATTTTACCGGCATTAAGACACATTCTATCCAAGTATGAATCAATCATTGCGGAAAATTCTACTTTACAGAAGCATGACTCAGAACCAGGAAAACCTCAAGATACGGTTCAATCTGGTGAAAAAAAAAAGAAGAAAGATGATAAAGCAAGGCATTTTGTACCGCCAAGAATATTTAGCCTGTTTCCCAATCCAGGTTTGCAGTGGCGCTTTATCAAAATCGATAGTCAAAACGTTACTGGTATATTCCCTGGCTCAAACTTAAAGAAAGAAAAGGACGAGACTTTATTTAGCTTCACACAAAGGTATTTTTATGATTGTTTTAACTTTGCCAAGTTAAAAGTTAGAAGGTACATACGAAAGAAAGAGCATTGAGAACCCTCTTCATATAATATTAATAATAAACATTTTGTCTATTATTATTAGCCTTAAAGATCTGAAGGAGCTGCCTGCAACCAACGGCAAGATGTTTTTGAACGGAATGTACACGATGGTTATACTTGCCGCTTACTAGTCTGTCGTCGTACTGAGCCATTTTCGTCAACTAAAAGCATTGCCCTAGAACTCGATGACTTTAACACTGAAGAGGTAAATACTTATTTTATGCCATGTACAGTTGATCCCGGAAGGAATGATGTGTTTGTATCCTACCATGGAGACAATGATGTGAGACGTCTTTCTTCAAAAAAATACTACAATATGGGCGGTGTTACGCAAAGACATAAACAAGAACAAGAACTCAAGAAAAGCTTGGGTATTGATCAAATTGAGACCAATATCCCCTCACCTAAAACCACGTCTCATGATACCTATATACTGTACATTACGTATATTCTCCAACATATTGATACACTTTTTAATTTTTACGGGTTTAGAACTACCAATAATAGATGGTGTAATTATATTGCATCACAAAATAGCATAGAGGACGCCGTTAATATCCTTTCAAACGGATCTACAAAGTACAAGAAAAGAAGGAAAAATAAGAAGAAGAGTAAAAAGAGAAGGAGGTCCAAAATAGTTGACTCTTTAAAATCTAAACCGAAAATTATCAAAAGGTAAACTTACAAACAAACCCTGATATTATTGTATTTTAATAATGAAACTTGCATGAAGAGAACATAAAGAGAAATTCGAAGAAGGGGATCGTAATAAAATGCCTTTAATCATCTTTGGCGATGGACTTAATAACAAAAGCCAAACAAAGTTTAAGGGTTTACGCTCCGGTGTAACGGACAAGCTTTATCGACAATTGAAAAGAAGGAAGAAGCTTGGAGAGTTACTTCTTGTTGATATTAACGAGTTTAAAACATCAAAGGTTAGTATATTAATGTTTATCAATACCTTCGACTAAAGTTATAGTTTTATAGACATGCAATTCTTGTTTTAGTAAGGATTTAAAAAACATGAGGTGCGGTACTGACGAAAAATCCTCACACATCCATCAAATATTGATTTGTAAACGATGCAATATTTTTTGGAATCGTGATGTGATGGCTGCAAAAAATATGCTTGCTATATCTCAATCCAGTTGGGATGGCCAAGGCCGACCAACTGTCTTTAAAAGACTAAACGCCACCTCCAGTGTGGTTACCTCGTCTCACTCAAGTGAGGAGAAGGTTTAAAGATTTTACAGGTAAGCCTTAGAGTAACTTATGAAATTATCCGAAAACTAAATTTCATTTGTCTGATTTTTTATTTATTTTGTCCAAAAAAGGTAAGTCAATGTCTGAAAGTAAATTTTGATTCGTCTGAAAAAAAATTAACATTGAATTATAAATGTGAAAACTGTAATGAAACAATAACGAACAGCAATTCTGAATACGAGCTACTGTTAGCCATATGTCTCAAGTTGAATTTCACTTTTTAGTTTAGTCCCGATTTTTTGTAGTTTTGTCTCTTTGCTATTTCATTCACCAATGATATACTGGCAACCACGTAGTGAGATGTATTACCCAGTATTACATAATACAGCAGGATATTGATGGTAACTGTAGGTAGCAATGTTTCAATGGGCTTATCAAAGTCATATATCTCATATGACATGTATTCATGGAGTGCAATTGTAGCAAATTCAGAGATTGTTTTTGTTTCCATTTGTCACAATGATATATAAACAAAAGAGCTTTTGTTATGGAAGCTTGATCTAAAGACTTCCCGTCATTATTTTTATACCAACCGTGAATTTAGGTGACTTGACTGATATAAAGAAATGCTACACTATTGAACGTAAACGTTAGAAATGATTAACTATTTGTGGAGAGATAGGGTTCAGAACATAAGAAAGAATGTTTTTTTTTCCTTTTTCAAGATTAAAAGAAAACATTCCCAACACATATTTTATTGGATGAAAATAAAAGAAGAATGACAGAAGGGAGTACAATAAAATAAAAACTATTGTAAAAATTATTATAAAAATCATTACAGAGTAATGTAAGGGTATAGCTAACTGCACAAAGGCTGATTAATCGATGCTTTTAGGCGGCTCTTTACACCTACGTTGTGTTAGCCGTGTAGGGGATAGTGCACGCATATATCGCATTTTTTGGATTTTGCCACTTGCCAATAATAACTTCTTTTTGGCGGGCAATTCTCCTTCCCAAAGAATCTCTTGTAATGGTGATCGTGCTTGGGCACTGTGTTTTCCTTCAAAAGGTAGCGCTTGAGTTGTTTGATCTATTCCTCCTTTCCATAAACGAGGCTGTCGATTTTCTGATTCATCTTCTTCTTCTGTCTCTTCTACTCCCTCCACTTTGATAGATTGGTCGGATTCTGTACTGTAAAAGAGCTGAGACAACCATGAGCTACTGGGATCATAATGATCCTCCTCTTCCTCCTCCTCCTCCTCCTCATCTTCGTCAAAGCTAAACTGTTTTCTTGATATGCTCACTTCCAGCGGACTCGAGCCAATGAATTCGTCGTCAAATATTGATTTTTTTGTAAATGGTCGATCAGGAGAAGACAAAGGATAAAGTGCTGACGAAAACAAATCTCCGTCAGAATCTTCATCCTCAGAAATTACGCTGTCCTTGGACTTGCTATTCATGCTAATTCGATCAGACCCAAAAAACATGACTAGGTTGCGATGTGGTGCTGCGGAGGCTAATTTTTTACCAGATGCCTCAGACAGTCTATCCATCAAATTGGTGGGTGTTTGGTATAAATGAGATTTCTTATGACGATTATCTCTATTGCTTAGTGATTCAACTGTCAGCCTTGACAAACGAGTACACGGCGTAAATGGTTGCTCTTCGTCTTCTACACTTGAACGATGCGGTGATTTTACTTGGTTTGACATTGGTGAAAAGAAAAAGAAAGAGAAAAAGAAAGGGGGAAAAAGGAGAGATACTGTCTTTACTGCGAGATTTGAATTAATTTATTGGCGGCATTCGCTTAAATATAACAATAAAATTCTTTAGTGTTTTTTTTATATATATCAACGGTAATTAACAAAAGCAATTATTTTGAACTACATATAATATCATCATAAATGTCATATTTTGATCAAGCAAACTTATTGAAGTGATCATGTAAGGTCCTAGCCAATATACATCCTGACATACTATTAGCTCTTCTTTTGTCTATAGCAAAAAAAAAAAAAAAAAAAAGGGGGGGGGGGAGAGGTTGATTGCCCTTTACTGTGTTGATTGATTTTGTTATGAGAGTTTATTTTCATTGTTTGATAAATAAGGAGGTTTTGTCCAAAAAAGGCTCCTGTTCTTTTGAAACCCAACACATGTAGTTGGACAACTATCTTGAAATGCCTCTCCAGCTTACTTCTTGTAGATTGTGTATATGTCAAAAACGAAGACTGCTTCTTTGTGCCTGTTTATTTCATGCAAAGTAGAATATAACGTCTCCCAGGATCAATTGTTACATAATCGTCTTTGTGCTTTTTCAGATCTTTTGGGCTCACTTTTTTGATATAATCTACCACTTGATCACCCACATCCATCTTATTCTTCATACTTGACTGTTTTTTGCCCACATTCGTATTCTGTTTTAGGATAGAAACTCCAACCCCATCAGTTTTAATCGTACCTTGAAACCTTTAAGACATATTCGGTCCCTGAACCTTGAATCCTTTTTTTTTTATGAAAATCGACCACATTGCCCCAAGTGTCCAACTTACTGTCTGCTTTAAAGACTGTTTTTCGTTCCAGAACGTTGTCATAAATAATTTTTCTATCGAGAGTAGTATAGAATAGAATGAAATTGTGTTATTTGACAAAAATAATACATTGGAGAAATAATGAGATAAAAGTATATCGTTATTCGAAGTGAAAATACGCAAAGAACTCTGCTGTTATAAAATAATTGATCCTTTTTTTTATTTCACAACTCTCTTGGGTTTTAATGCTGAGTCAACCTTTCTGGTTTTGGAATAGATCTACACTTTTTTTTCCCGCCTTGGATTAAATGAATACTACTCGGTAGAATTGTTTTCAGTTAACGTTGTCCCAGATCAGTGAGTCTGAAACACCGGTATTTAACTAGCCGAAACTTCTAAAATTTCGTCTTCGAGATCTTCGTTGAGATCATCGTTAAGATCATCTACATCGTTGACGATTTCAAAATTTCTTCTGGTTCGAAAGAGGAAGGGTTCCTGAAAATTATCGTCAGAAGGGTAAGAGGTGTTTTCGTTAAATAAAGACATCAAAACAATAGAAAGTTCAGATAAACGTAACGGGATTGGGATGAAAGTAAAAAGGCATAATTTATTAATGCTTTGACAGAGAAGTCTCGCCAAAATATCAAAATTTAAGTGAAATTAAACTCGCAGTTTTATAGTAACGATACAACTTGAAAGACATTTTCAAGCAGCTCGATTCATTAGAATCTTAAAGGAAATCCTCTAACTTACATGAAGACCCTCTACAAACGTGGCCAGCTACTAAAATTATTGAAGAAAAACGTTTTATAGGTCACTTATCGCTGTTCTACTGCATACATGGTCTACTCGTATGTACATTATCATAAATACATTAAACTCCCATATATTTGGTCCGAAGTCATTCGAAGAAGAAATTGCTATTTGCTATTTAGAATAGAGTTTTGAATATGAAACTCAGGGCATTTAGGGAATAGAAAGTTTTGAATTTGGACGCCACCAAAAAATGAATGTTGCGATTACATCCGAGAAATCCAGCAGTAGTACAGATAAAAAACCAAAAAACAACCAACCAATTGATGAGGAAGAAAGTTTAATGTACGTTGAAGACCTAAAAGTAGAACAGCTTATAAAAAGTAAAGGCAGATGTATTTTTTATGATTCCGGGCGTCAAGATATTAAACTTGTACGAAATAAACAATTACAATAGGGGATCCTCATTAGTTTCGATTTACAAACACCAAAGAGGCAAGAAATCTCGATGGCTAAGGTGAGAAATTCGAGAGATAAAACAACAGATTAAGAATAAAATAAAGAAATTTGACGAAGTAAAATTATCAAACTGCAAAAATAAACTAAAGTCTTTATTATACAATAAATTGGGTTCTTTATATACATATTCAGGCTGGCTGAATATCAATCATTAAAGTGAAACCTGTCAAATATACAATAGGCGTATTGTCAATTGAAGATTGAGCATCTCATGGTACCTTCGAGAATCTTGTTATTGACGAGCGATCATATCATTGGATTGTATTATCTGGAATAAATGTATGACTATTGTTTTCTATATGTTGATGAGTAATCAATGCGTAGTAAATAGAGTGTAATAGCATGTATTTGATTTAAAGAGTAATGCAATAATGATTTATAGAAAGGTTATCAAATAAGAAAGAAAGAATTGATGATAGAGTTATATCTGTATATAAGCTCGATCACAACATAAGGTATTTAAGAAATAAATTGTAACCAGATTCTACTAAATCGCAAAACGTCAACTGTCCGTATTTCCTTGTAAGATGTTGCTTGTCTCGTACCGGGAAGCAATATGACTAAATATAACACAGTTAAGAAGGTGTCATTTGAATGAAGCCTCAGAAGAAACCTTTGTATATTACCCTAATATTTTGGATTCTGTAGTTAAAAACTCGTTTATATTTATTACGCAAAGCGTTGAATGTTCGCAGCACTTCTTCATGATGTCCCTCCTAGAATTTCTTATTTTGATGCTTATCACTTTCCTTCCGTTAACTAAGCATCTTACCCAGAGGCTGACGAATCAAGACAATGGTACCTCGAACATTATGGAAAATACAACTACCTGATTGGGCAAAGAGCAATTCTTAAAAAAAGAAGAAGCCAAGGCAAGCAGGTTAAAGTTAAGCAACAAGTGTACGTTATGATTTCGAGGCTCCTCTTTTATCGTTTCATCAAATGAAATTTATATCGAAAATAAACTACAAGTGCGATTCGTGGTTGCAAAGAATATGAGGAGCAATTTCCGAAAGGATACTCTGTTCTTGTCGTTGGGGACTGATCCGTCCTAAATTCGAAGACTAAGAACCAATAAGGATTAAGGGTCTATTAAAGTATCCGAAAATAAAATGTCTCTCTACTATCTACATAATTAGGAAATATAAAACGTCAACGTGCTGTCCCGTTTGTTCGTTAAATGAAACGCAGAATTTTTGAAAAATTACCAATTGACGAAGAAAGATTCCATAATGTATTACGCTACGATCCATTCTGGTGGTAATAAAAATAGGGTAAAAATACATATCTGATTACTTTTTTTAGATGTAAAACCGAAGCCTGTTTAGTTGATAGAAAAAGAACATCTAACAGGACACGGCATCGATTTTAGGTTTTAGTCTGATATCAAACTATTTGAGGGAACAAGGTCAAAGATCAACAAGGATTGTTAAAATAAAAGAAAAATGTAATAGTTTTTCGTCATATATATCGCTATAGTTGTACTATTTATTTTGAATTTGTCCAAAAGACTGATTCCTTATTGTCCAAGAAATATTAACATTGTGAGGCAACGTATCTGTATTCTGTGTGAGTAAAAATTCTTATCAGTTTCTACTTCATCTACTCGTGTAACCTGTTAGCGGCATCTATTTATACACGCCTTATTTGGTTTGCCTTAAAAAAGACTATATTAGGCGACATGTAAAAAATATGTTTCCATGCTGATTTATACTAAAGAAATCGATTTCTAAATGCTCGAAGATTGACCTGTCAGGGACAAATTTATTGGCATATATTTTGTAACTCAAAATATTTGAGTAAAATAAAACAGGCAATCTAAGTCTTCGGAAATCTAATTCATGTTTTAACATCACCGGCTGCTCGGAGGACAGTTCATTTAAAACACTTCAGACCCTTTTTTTTTTATATATATATATATTTCTTTCATTCTCTCTAATATGAATAACGATATTAAACAGTCTATTAACCATACCATTAAGAGTCTCGACCAAGAACTCCGAGAAATCAGTATCAAGGTAAAGACTAGCGCCTTTGTTTCACTGCTTATTAGTAATTCCTTTTTCTTTTTGTAGATTCATAATGATCCTGAATTAGGAAACAAAGAGTATCATGCTTACGGCCTGTTGACAACTTATCTCGAATCCAAAGGTTTCAACATGACTTATAAGGCTGCCGGTTTAGACACTGCGTTCATGGCTTCCTTCTCAAATGGCTCCGGTAGACGTGTTGGCTTCGTTTGTGAATACGATGCTTTACCTGGGTAAATATACTTCCATCTTGTCATTCCTCCCGCCCCCCTAATCTCTTTGTTATAGTGTCGGGCATGCATGTGGTCACAACATTATTACTGTGCAAGGTCTTGCTTGTGCCCTTGCTTTTAAAACTTTGCTGGAACATAACTTGGTACAAGGGACCGTTGTTCTTTTCGGTACTCCTGCTGAAGAAACTACCAGCGGAAAGATTAATTTTGTAAAGGAGGGTATTCTTCAAAATACTGTGGATTACTCCATGATGCTTGTAAGTTACATTTTAAACATACACCAGCCCTTTTGTTAAATGATTACATATTAGCACCCTTTTGCTGACGATGGCCTGTACGGTAGAATGTTGGCTTTAGATTCGCTTGATGTTGAATTTTTTGGTAAGGCTTCTCATGCTGGTATGGCTCCTTGGAACGGTGTCAATGCTGTGGATGCTTTAATGCAATCTTTCGATAACATAGGATTATTAAGACAACAAACTATACCCACAGACAGGTAATGTTCATGTGTTTTTTGTATACATATTCCAGATAACTGAACTCATTTTTTTAGACTCCATGGAATTATCACAGAAGGTGGTTCATCTCCTAATGTCATCCCAGCTTATGCCTCCGCTCACTTTTATGCCCGTTCTATCACACGAAACCAATTAAACGATTTAAAACCCCGTGTGGAAAACTGCTTTAAAGCAGCAGCGCTTGCCACAGGTTGTAACTATAAATTACAATGGGGTAAGTTGGGACCCGTTGAGGATGTATTCATGAATGATGCTATGACAGCCCGTTATAAGAGTTATATGGAAGAAGAAGGCATTGTCTATGCACCTCGTGTTGATGAAGAACAGACTAGTACCGGAAGTACAGATATGGGCAATTTTAGTTACGTTGTGCCTACTATTCATCCCGCTTATGGTATTCATACAACTGCCGCTAATCATACCAAGGAATTTGCTGCTGCTGCTAGACTCCCCATTGCTCATCAAGATACCCTTCGCGCTGCTAAATGTTTAGCTCTCACTGCCGCTGAAGTCATGATGGACGATAAGCTTTACCAACGTGTGGTCAATGATTTTAAAAAAGGAAAACCCCAATAGAACAGCCGTAATAAAAAGAATAACTATTTTCTTCTCGAAGACAACGTTGGTTATCTCGATTGATCAAAAGAAAAAGGCTGATTTAGAATAACTATCAGGAAGATCGTCTTAATATTCATATATGAACACCACAGTGACTTTTCTCATGAGAGGCACACTTTTTAATTTAAAGCTTTTGTGGCGCCATTTTGTACTTTTATCTCAAGCCTTAGAATCTCAGACTGAATCCCAAATGATCCTATCGGATAAACAACTCAAGAATGCCGTGCTTATCTGTTTATTTTCAGAAATATACGAGATTATGACAGAAAAGCAATTCAATGCATATCAGGGGCTCTTGAGCAATTTATTCGGCTTAAAGTTTTGGAGCATGCGTTTAATAAAACAAACTTTTTTTGATGTTGCTGTAAATGATGTTTTCTGAAATCCATACGATGCCCTCAAAAACTTGATGCACTCGATCCAAAAGGTCAAATACACAATAAACAATCTGAGGAAGCTTCAAAATTTCTGCAACTATTGAAACAGAGGCAGAAACAGGTAACAAAAGAGCGAGCTTTTATAATTTTAGAATCTTGGACAATAAGCTTTCTTTTTATTGAATGCTGTTAAAGTATTCTGTTAGTTGGAGTAATAAAAAAGATACTCTAAATAATAAAAATTGAGATTTACCCTATAAGAGGTATCACTTATCATCGACGGCGGGCCACTCCTTGTTTCCTTTGCAGAAAAAGATGGCGGTTTAGGAACTCAATAGCATTTTTTGGCTGATTTTTGGGTTGTAGAAGGGACAACCGATTAAGCGCCAGAAAAAACTACAGTTACTATGGGAATTGTATTTCTCCTATCATTAACTTCACTTGAGACGACTGATGGACAAATTATGACAGATAAAAGAGCCAACTACATTTTTGGCTTCATCTTCGCTTTTCTTGCTCTTGATTCTTTTGTGAGGGTTGTCGTATTTGACGCCTAAATAAATCGAATACAATTACTATTTACTCTGTCTTGAGTTATAATATACTTCATATATTATAAGGCGAAGGTTCACCGGATGTCTAACATTGCCATAGGTTAACGTGTAGAAGGGAAAGGAAAATGATGAAGTTACAACGCAGAAAAATTGTTATTTGACATACAAAAAAATGAATCACTGGCAGCAATTTATTGCACTCTATTGATCGGTACAAATAAGAATTAAAAGACTGTAAATAGATTCCACTTTAAAGTGTCGTTAGTTGTTGCCCTTGAGTGTGGATTCAGGATTAAGATTATCCTAAGTGTGTTTGCAGTCTAATATATTTTACAGCTATGGTAATATCAACTTGTATTGTAAGTTTAAGCGTTGTCTTATCAATTAAATCGCTTGAAAGTATACTGGCATTTTATTTTATTTGGCTGCTTATGTTTACACAGCTTTTATTTTCAATTCTGACTGGCAGCCTCGTACCATAAAATGTACAAATCACCAAATTTTGTCATTCAGAACATTATTATATAAACGTCACTAGGCATATCATTTAATTTAGTTCCAATAAAATATATTTTACTTCGTTTGTGATATATGGATGCCGGTAGAAGAATCGGAGACATTTGGAAATTGTGAATGTATATAGCTGATTTGCAAGTTTATTGCAAATAATTTGTACTTGCTGTAATTGAAAATTCTGTTCAAAACGCAAGAAGCTTTCATTTTGGTGTTTCACAAAGTTGACATCCCTATTAAAACCAAGAAGTAAATGTCCTAAAATTTGTTTTTCAAGATATATTATTCCTTTTGATATTGTTGTCGCTAATTTACGATTATCAAAGTTATTGTAAATATTCATATAATAACATGGCTTTGAATTGCGTACGACACTACCGATCTTCAATACCGTTTTTTCGAAATGGATTCCCGTTAGGCGAAAACGAGGAAATCAATAATTTGGGAAGTGGTTCTACATATTGCTAGGAAAATGATGGGCCAAATGATGAGAGGTTTTACAACATATCTGTCATAATTTTATAAACAGACTTTTTTGGAAATGCACATGTTTATTCAATTTACTTGTTTCTTTTTTACTTGTTGCGTGCAATACGGACTTGGCACATTAGTTGTTTGTATAGTAATGTACTGGGTAAGATCTTTTCCGGAGTTTATTAAATGATAGTATATTAAACAGAAATAAGAGAAGATTACAATCGACAGAGAAGCAAATGTAATTATCCAGTACGATTTAATAAAGGCAGTTATCTTCTGACTTTTTAATTAATTCAATTAAAATAAGAGACAGAGGATCAGATACAATTAAAAATGATTAAATGAAGCTTGTTCGACAAAAGCTTTATAACCCAAAATATTTTATAACTGAAAGAACGATGATATATTTGTGATTGAGTAGGAAACAGATTAAAAACCAAAACTCTTCAGTCGCACAGGGTTGTTATTCTATTTTTCACAACTGTATGAGATTTATTCACTCCCATATTTAACTTTTATAAGCATGTACTGTCGACACGAGGGACATGTCTGGGACGGAGAGAGATAGAGAATAAATTGTAAATGTTATCATTTTTTTTTTTTTTTGAGTTTAATATATTGACTTACCGACCTATCAACATGTGTTTACGATATAGATGATTAGGGGTTATAAGCCTTTGGAGTCTACTTGGACGTAAGTTGTTATTTTTATGCAATAGAGTGAATATTTCGAGCCGCGTTGGTATTGTGGTATTTGACAAAATATTACAATGGAAAAGTAATGAGATAAAAGTACATTTTTATTATAGGTAAAATAGACTA